AAGCGCTAGATCATTCCTTCTGTTCTACGCCTCCAATCTTCAACATTGAAATTGTCATTTCTAATAATATAAAATAAGTAATATGCTTTCTGGTTACGATTTGGTGGGTTGTAAATATTTTTTTTATTCTTACAGTTCCAGAGGGAAGGAGCAAACCGCTTTGAGGAGTCCCTGCATAAGAGACTATTGGATACTGAAGGGCTGTACTGCAGTGTCGGCTCTAGACTTGGCGAAACTCATACATGAGACCCCACGGAGAACACCATTATTGAAGAAAAAATAGCAGTTGACTTTGTGTATAAGAAGCTGTAGATATATTGATGGTGGAGCTCAGTGGTGTATCCTGGTTTTGTGCTGACCTAGGCAGGACAAAACTCAGGCGCCCCCCTCCCCCGCCCCGCATTCTAAATACACACACACACACACACACACACACAGATATGCATACATTAGCTAACAGAAACTGACACACTCACTAACAGACACAGTCAGACACACACACACACTAACAGACACACTCACACTCTCTAACAGACACACTCAATTTTTTTTTTTAATTTACACCCCCAGCCTCCTTACCTTTGCTAATGCTGGGGGGTTCTCTATCTCCCTGGGGTCTAGTGGGGCTGCCAGTCGGGCTGCTGGGGCGGCAGACGGGCAGCTGGCGAGGGAGCACTTCCTCTGAGTTGTCTGCTTAGCTCCCTCACGCGCTGCATTGTGAGGCTGGGAGCCGGAATATGACGTCATGTTCCGGCTACCAGCCTCACTCTGTGGCGCGCGAGGGAGCTGAGCAGACAGCTCAGCCGCCCCCAAATGCCCTGGGCAAATGCCTTGTTTGCCTCGTGGCTAAAACGTCCCTGGTGGAGCTTGCAGCACTGGATACACAGAGCTAGTCTCTGTTTACATCATTGCATTGTCTACCTGAGTGTGTGTATCTGACAGTGAGTATCCTTGTATCTGTATGTATGTTTCTCTGAGCATGTGTATGTTTGTGTACTGACTGGCCTTTGGCACTGAGTTTATAGCGTAGCTATGTTTTATGACGGTGTGTATAATGATTGCCTTTGGGGGGGTGACAGGATGAGTAAAGGGGTAACTGTGGCAGGGTGAATGTAAAAGAGCAGGAGGGTGCCTGCGTGTTGAGGGTTGACGGTGTGCATGGAGGGAGGTGCCAGAGTGCGGAGAGTGGTGGCCGGGTGGGGAGGGTGACATAGTGTGAGAGGGAGGGTGATGAGGTGAGGGGGGAAATGAGAGAGTAAGAGAGGGGTGACGTAATGTGAGAGTATGGGTGACACAGTAAGGGTGAGTGACAGTGAGGGTGGGTGACATAGTGTGAGGAGGATGACAGAGTGAGGGGGTGATGGTGAGGTGACCGTAAGAGGGGGGTGACAAGGGGTGATGAGGTGAGGTGACAGTAAGGGAGGGGTGACAATAACAATATCTGATATTAGGTCACATGTGCAATTATTATGTAATTAATGGACAACATACTTTTTAAATTTTGTTAAATAAGAAATTTAAATATTGTTTGTCTTTTTTATATTGCCACTTTAAAAAAAATTAAAACTCTTAATTTTTAAATGTACAGTAATTTGTCTGTAATAATGTTAACTTGTTAATTATTGTGGGACAGTGGAGAGCAAACCCAAACTGGGACTCTACTAAACAATCCAGGTCTGTTAGGAAATATGGCTTTGTAACAACATATGATAATTTATGGTGCATATAGGTCCTCGTGTCACTGTGCCTATGCATAGTTTTGCTTATAAATGTGATGACTTTCAAAAGATAGCAATAAGCATAGTAAGAAGTTGCTCTTTAAAAGCTTACGTCATCTCGTTTAAATGGTTTGGGTGCAGTGCCAATGTCCCCTTAATCTTGCAATGTTAAATATCGCAGTTTCTGATAAACTACAATGGAACGCAGCTAGTGATGGTATTATTTGTAGCTAAGTAACACAAATCGCATGTTAAGGTGTCAGCAAAATACTTTATTTCTTCAAAATTAATATGCATTTTAGACTTTATATGTATAGTGGAAAAAATATAAAAGTCAAATTTGGAAACTGGTTAAGAAAAGTCACACTGTGGTATCCAAGAAGGAGAAAGTTCAATCACATGATCACATGTAAAGAAAGGCTGTATGGCATTAGGAAGGTAGTATCTTAATAATGTAATGGTCTCTTTCCCTGGACGGTCCACGAGTCTTAATCACTGGAAAATGAAGGTTACATCATGTCTGCACCATGTGTTCCGAAACAGCCATAAGGACGTTTTCTATAGAAGAAGGTAATCTCTTCTGTTTGAGCAGGTCGAGGTTAATGGTGGTGGGGTTGTCTCTGGCACTGGAACCATCAGTAAAGGAGTGTAAAATTGAGAGGATCACCTTGTTCTTCCCACAAATGTAAGAAAACACAGAACAGAAGAGTGAGGAGAATGGTTAACAAATCAATGAAACCGCAAACACTAAAACAAACTTGAAAAAAATAACATTCACAGTGTAAGCAGTGTTTAGGCGATTGGGTCACAGTGTAAGCAGTGTATAGGAGATACGGTCACAGTGTCAGCAGTGTATAGGAGATACGGTCACAGTGTGAGCAGTGTGTAGGTGATACGGTCACAGTGTCAGCAGTGTATAGGAGATTTCATAGGATAAGGAGTTTCATTCTCCACAATCACAGTACTTTTGGTTACCTTATAAGTATTACAGTGACTCACATTGGTTGAATTGGCACATGAATACACATGTGAGCAGTAACGCCACGTCAAGGCTTCAACCCTTGTTACTGTCCATTCACACACACCATACGTTTCATTCATACGCATTTGGTATCCCAGATGTTTTGGACTACACCTCCCATAATGGTTTGCCAGCATTATGGGAGATGTAATTCACAGCATCTGGACTGCCCAAGGTCACCTACCTCTGAACTATGCTGTGATCACAGTACACAATGTTGAAGTTGCTGTGCAAACAGGAGCAGCTCGTCATGTGTCAGATGCCACTTCATTAGTTATAAATTCAATACTCCACCCTGGAGACGAGCATCAAACATGGGCTTCTTCATTCCTCTTCATGTACTTCGTGTCCCATAGGAGAACATGCTTGTCAGAGCTGTGACACACACAAAAAGAAATAAACTGGTTAGAGTAACTGGCATAACAGACACAGTGCATGCAGACTTGCGTGCCACATACATACAGCAGACAGATACAAAGATTGTGGGAGACACACCGGATTAAATATAAGAATTGGGAGTACCATACATACACAATGCACAAAGAGACGGAGATTACTGAATTCAGTGACCGACGGATTTGGTTGTAGATGTGGGGCTGTCCCTCTCGCTGGGGTGCAGTTTCTCATCCTTCTCTGGCGAGTGACTAGATGGCTGCGGTTTCATAGCAAAAAGCATGCCATGGCATATGATATCTAGGAAATAAATATTTTTCTGTGAAACTAGGGTTGTACACATCTAACACACAGGCCACACGTACTGTACAGCTCCCCATCTAACGCACAGCCCCCAAATATAATACACTGCACGCCCACATGTAACAAACAGCCCCTCCATCTAACACACTGCCCCCCACATTTAACACACACAGGCCACCCCAATATATTTCACAGACCCCCCAATATACTGCGCAGCCCCCCCATATACTACGCAGACCCCCATATACAGCGAAGACCCCCCCATACGGGCGACCCCCATATACAAAGAGACACCCCATATTGTGCCGCAGACCCCCATACAGCGCAGACCCCATATATAGCGCAGACCCCCATACAGCGCAGACCCCATATATAGCGCAGACCCCCATATATAGTGCAGACCCCCCTATACGGCGCAGACCCCAATATAATAATGTACTAAAACCCCCCACTCCACAATATAATGCACTGAAACCCCCCTAATATAGAACCCCCTCCCCTCGGATGGCTGAGAGTGTTGGGAGTAGGGAGAGACTGACCTGTTCCTAGAAAATGCTGTACTCAGACGATCAGAGTCCGCGCATGCGCAGTATAGGGGTAGGGAGATTTCACAGGGCTTAATGGCCATCAGATTTCCCTACCCCTATACTGCGCATGCGCGGTGTGTGTGTGTGTGTGTGTGTGAAGCGCTCCCTGTCCCCAAGTGCGCACGCGCGCTGTACCTCCGACGGGAGTACTTTGGCGCGCGTGCGCACTATGCCTTTTGTCGACTACTCGCTGTGCAAAGCACCGGAAGTGACGTGGGTATAGCAATCTGACGGGGTATACCAAACTGATAGAACACCGGTGTTCTATCAGTTTGGTATACCCCGTCAGATTGCTATACCCACGTCACTTCCGGGGAGGGGAATCAGCACTCCTGCTACTCCTCCACAGCAAGGTCCTGGAAGGTAAGTAAAACTAGTTTTACACTTTCATTATAGTTAGTGCATTCACTAAGCTTAGGACATGGGACATTTAGGGTTAATGTTAGGGTTCAAATTAGGGTTAGGATTAGGGACTTGTTCCTATTTAGTGATATTTCACATTAGGGGAATATCACTAAATAGTGATTTCTCACACTTTATTTTAACCCTTACCCCAAGGGTTAGGGTAAGAATAGAGTGTGAGAGAGGTTAGAATCACTTACCTAACCCTAATTTGTACCCTCACTTAACCCTAAATGTCCCGTGTGCCTAAGCTTAGTGAATGCACTAACTATAATGAAAGTGTAAAACTAGTTTTACTTACCTTCCAGGACCTTGCTGTGGAGGAGTAGCAGGAGTGCTAGCACGCATGTGCAGCACAGGAGACAGCTGATTCCCCTCCCCGGAAGTGACGTGGGTATAGCAATCTGACGGGGTATACCAAACTGATAGAACATCGGCCTCATCTACGAAGAGACTCGCGGGGTGCTGAAGGTCTTCCTGGAGAATGTTATCCGGGACGCCGTCACCTACACCGAGCATGCCAAGAGGAAGACTGTGACCGCCATGGACGTAGTCTATGCTCTCAAACGCCAGGGCCGCACTCTCTATGGCTTCGGAGGGTAAAACCCTGACTCGGCTTACCGCACACCCTAATAACCCAAAGGCCCTTTTAAGGGCCACCCACTATATCCTAATAGAGCTGTGTCTGTCACTGCCCGCGTTGGACGCTCTGTGTTAGTTAATGCCGGCTTCCCTTCTCTTTGTTACACTGGCGTTCACTGTGGCCGGGTTAATGTTAAACTCTCGCTTATTACTGGCTCTAAGAGCCGTCATGTTAACCAGTTGTAATAGACCGCAGGACTTTATAAAAAAAACCTTTCACCCCAGCAGTGTGGTGTGCAGGTCCTCCGTGCTCAAAGACAGAAACTGGGAGGGGGGACACAAAGTGCGGCCTATTGTCGCCATTTTGAGACTATTTGTGGAATTTCCCCTGTAAAGCTCAGCCACAGAGAAGCGCTATTTCCCTGTGATTGGTTGTTTCCTGAGGACCGATCTCCTGCCTATGGGGACATAGCATTGGCCAGATCAAGGAGCGGTTTGTCTTTTCTGCATCCTACTCCCACCACAGCTATAAATGCACTACACGCGTTAGTTGCAAAACCTCCAAGGTGGCTACTTGGGACCCACAAGTTCCATTCACTCGTCCATAATTCCGGTACTGAGGAATGGAGCAGGTTTTCTAAAGACAGATTTCAGTTAAAAATCCATCTAGAAGGCGAAGGTAATTCAAAGAAGAGATACAAGACAGTTTGTGCAACATGTGAGATTCATTAAAACCATAATTACTGAGAACAGTAGAGATACTAGCGGGTTTATCAGGATTAGAGCTCTGACAGACAGTGTGGGTGGCTCTTATAAGAGCCTTTGTGTTTATAGTAAAGTAGAAGAATGCGATTACTTGGCGCTGGTGTACTTGGTAACAGCCTTGGTGCCCTCGGACACGGCGTGCTTTGCCAGCTCTCCGGGTAGCAGCAGGCGCACGGCGGTCTGGATCTCCCGGGAGGTGATGGTAGAGCGCTTGTTGTAGTGAGCCAGGCGAGAGGCTTCTCCTGCGATGCGCTCAAAGATGTCATTGACAAAGGAGTTCATGATCCCCATGGCCTTAGAGGAGATACCGGTGTCGGGGTGGACCTGCTTCAGCACCTTGTACACGTAGATTGCATAGCTCTCCTTCCTTGTCTTCCTACGCTTCTTACCATCTTTCTTCTGGGTCTTGGTCACAGCTTTCTTAGAGCCTTTCTTGGCGGCTGGTGCAGACTTGGCTGGATCGGGCATGATCTACGATGTTTGCTGGAAATACTATGTCACTCTGCGCGCTCCGGCAGCTCTATTTATAGGCAAGCCATGCAAATTAAGCCCTTCCGCTTCCCGTGATGGGATTGGTCACTACAGACAGGTGACATAACGATGTCATAGTTTCAGCAATTGATTGGTTCCCTGTATAACGTGTCTCTAATTGGCTGCTTGTAAAGCCATCCAATCACAGAGCAGAGTGTGTCTATAAATAGCCCGTATGAGGGGGAGGTTTCGTTATTATCAGCGACATTCTTGAACCAACATGTCTGGACGCGGAAAGCAAGGAGGAAAGACCCGTGCAAAGGCGAAGACTCGCTCATCTCGAGCTGGCCTTCAGTTCCCAGTCGGCAGAGTTCATCGTCTGTTGAGGAAGGGGAATTATGCAGAGCGTGTGGGAGCCGGTGCCCCCGTCTATTTGGCTGCAGTGTTGGAGTACCTGACCGCTGAGATCCTGGAACTGGCAGGGAATGCCGCTAGAGACAACAAGAAAACCCGCATCATTCCCCGCCATCTCCAGCTCGCTGTCCGTAACGACGAAGAGCTCAACAAACTGCTGGGAGGAGTGACTATCGCCCAGGGAGGTGTCCTGCCCAACATCCAGGCTGTGCTGCTGCCCAAGAAGACCGAGAGCCACAAGTCAACCAAGAGCAAGTAAATCATCAGATACCGATTCTTCGTACCCAAAGGCTCTTTTAAGAGCCACCCACTATTTCCGAACTGAGCTGAATGATCTTACCAATGTCTATGCAGTTTAAAAAAAATAAAGTGTATATATTCCACACGTCGCATGCTGGGTTCAGCCACTGAATGTAAACAATACTGTGTAATCTAGTGTGGAGAAACAGGGGCGGTTATTTCATAGTGATTCTTTTACTTACTTTTAAAATCCGTGCCTGCAATTTTCCTTTTACAGTTTTATTGACTAAATAGCTCGTTAAGTCAGCTATTGCTTCCGTTCGAGAAACTGAAAGCACACAGGTGTAAAAGGGCTACGTGGAGGGGAAGGATTTAGGCTCATTCTAGTGCAGATTTGGTGGCTCTTAAAAGAGCCTTTGTGGTGTTTGTGTGAGCAGGTTAAAAGCTTATGCTCTTTCTCCTCGGATCCTACGGGCCAGCTGGATGTCTTTGGGCATGATGGTGACCCTCTTGGCGTGAATGGCACACAAGTTGGTATCCTCAAAGAGACCCACCAGGTAAGCCTCACTAGCCTCTTGCAGAGCCATGACAGCAGAGCTCTGGAAGCGCAGATCAGTCTTGAAATCCTGAGCGATTTCACGGACAAGGCGCTGGAAGGGCAGCTTGCGGATGAGCAGCTCGGTTGACTTCTGATAACGACGGATCTCCCGGAGAGCCACAGTTCCCGGCCGGTAACGGTGAGGCTTCTTCACTCCGCCGGTAGCTGGGGCGCTCTTCCTGGCAGCTTTAGTGGCTAGCTGCTTGCGGGGAGCCTTGCCTCCGGTGGATTTACGGGCGGTCTGCTTAGTTCTGGCCATCTCTTCGCGATCACAGAAATTAAAACGCGAATGAAAAACAAAGAGCCGCAGTCTTCTATTTATAGGCCGCTGGACGCATTCTGATTGGCCCGTTCTCTGTACTCATTCTGATTGGCCCGTTTTCTGTACTCATTTTGCTTCGCTGCTTTTTGCCCGCATTCTGATTGGACGAGAAAATTAACCGTTCCTGAGTTCAAACTGGGCGCTAAAATGTCCATCCTCACAGATTATAGAGACGGAACTAGATCTGCTTTTATATAACTGGTATTAGTGGCGTTCTACCCGCTGCAGCGATTCATTAAACTATTCCACGAACAGGGAGGAGGGAGACCAAAGCGGACTCCCTGACATATCATCAGTCCCACTCCTGCGTGTTTGTAGATTTGACAGTGGGCGTTTATTAGGGTCCGGTCACTCTGTTTATGGCTCTTACAGCTTTGCGTTTCAACATGAAGTGACTCCTTACAATAGGCCGCTAGATGGCGACATTGCATTAAATATGCCATTGGAATACACCGTTGCTTGGGTGAATGTATTTTTATTACAAGTCTCCAAACTGAGACGGAGCATCTAATCCCTTTCAGAACACCGTCACAGATTGCAATGGCACCAACAGCTTGATAAATACTCCTAAATCTGTATTGTAGGCAGTGGATGTGTTTACGAAACCAAACATTTTGTACTGGCAGCGATAGCTGAACAATCTAAAGTGGAACGTCCGAGCATTCCATTCCTAATCTAAACGAATATCTCTTTCCTCAACATACAGCGTGTAAAAGCTAAAACACAAAACCCACGATTCCCCTGTGCTCATAGCTCTGAAAAGGACAAGTTGGTGGCTCTTAGAAGAGCCTTTGGGGTTTAAAAAAAAAAAAATCACGAGTAGTAGCTCATTTCTTTTTGGGAGCTGCCTTTTTAGCCTTTGCTGGACTCTTGGCGGCTTTGGCTACCTTTTTAGCCGGGCTCTTTGTTGCCTTTTTAGCCGGGCTCTTCACTGCCTTCTTGGGCTTGGCGGCTTTGACTTTCTTGGGGCTCTTGGTGGCTTTTTTAGCGGGGGCTGTCGGCTTCTTGGCCTTCTTCGGGCTCTTTGCGGCCACCTTCTTAGCTTTAGCCGGAGACTTGGTGACTTTCTTTGGGGCGGGCTTCTTGACTTTAGCCGGTGCCTTCTTGGGCTTAGCAGCCTTGTCCTTGCTCTCCGCCTGCTTCTTGTTGAGCTTGAAAGAGCCAGAGGCTCCGCTCCCTTTGACCTGGACGAGAGTCTCTTTAGTCACCAAGCCCTTGAGAGCCAGCTTGAGGCGGCTGTTATTCTTCTCCACATCGTAACCAGCGGCGGTCAAAGACTTCTTCAGGGCTGCCAGGGAAACACCGCTGCGCTCTTTAGAGGCGGACACAGCTTTAACAATGAGCTCGGACACGCTGGGACCGGCCGGCTTGGCGGCTTTCTTGGCGCTGGATGTCTTCTTAGGCTGCTTCTTCTTGGAATCGATTTCAACCGCAGGTGCGGCAGCGGGAGCAGTTTCAGCCATTTCGCTTTTTCTCTGAGATCAGACGGTAATAAAAAATAATCCTTGGCCTGTGCCAGTCTCTCTTATATAGCTCAAGCTGACACCCGATTGGCTGTTCAGCACCATTTCTGATTGGCTCAAACTGACAGGCGCAGCTCCCCGCACTCTCTCCCATCTCCTGCTTCACGTCGCTCTCTGCTCTGGCTCTGTGTTTCCTGCTCTGTAAAACTTATGTTTTATGTTAAATGTGGCCACTAAAATCGGCGCATTCTCCCCTGAAATGCACGAAGACACCTCATTTGACCTTCCATAGGAATTGCTTGGCTGCTGCCTGCTAAGAGAACACAATTCACTCAGTGAAAGTTTGTAGAAACCAAATGGAGTCAGCTCGATTCATTTCAGACCTCTGACTTTATATACATTTAAAATACAATACGGTAAATGTTTTACCGCTCAATGTCATGCAAGATAAAGAAGGCCCCCCTGAGGATGTAATATGAGGATTAAAGTGTTAAGAAGACCAGAGCAGGATAATGTGTTTCTCTTACTCTTTCACACAGTTAACACAGGCAGCAGTGATTCTTGCTGGTGCTATCTCCTACTACCTTCATACATATTTAGTTGTCTGTTCCAGTTGTGAATAATAAATTACATTTGTATGTCTATTAAATAACATTAATCGTGTTCATCAGTTGTAATACATTTGATTGTTTGAATGGTTTCAACCTAGTGATATAAAATGAGTAACAGGGAGCAGTGTAGCTGAAAGAGGACAGACAGCAACAATCTGTCTCTTGCCTTTTATTATAAGGAGGCCAGTAATAAGCCCCAAACCCAAAGTGTTACTATTTAACAATTATTATTTTTTGGTTAGCCATTGCTTCTTTCGAATTAAACATCACTCCTTATCTCTCTTTTTATCAATCTCTTGAGCTTTTCACCTTGGACAGATTTATTTTTTTGTCTTATGATTGTATATGCTAATTTGTTTAATCTCAGATGGTCAGCTACTTGTCTCTTCTCTGTAAACTTCATACACATTCAGTCCCCCCATTAGATTTGTAGTTTCCATAAATGTAGGATTTCTTAGGGAGCCACAGAAGGATAATGGTTATCAGAATTTACAGTGTTAAGGCAGCAGGTTTCTCAGATTGGATGAGATTACTCATTCTAAAATATATATATATATATATACCGGTATATAAAATGTAACAGGGGCAGAAATGGAACCCTGATCAACATCTTGCAGGGCAGTTAGGCTCCCCAATACACCACCAATGAAGCTTCAATGAAATAAGGAATGTAATGCAATCATGTTTCATATAGTACAAGTAAATATAAACGCTCTTAAATTAATCGCATGAACAAATATTTTTGTGATGCCAACTTTACACTTAAAATTATTCAAAATTAAAAGTTATGTGCTCCCTGAATTCTTTAAACAAGATGTTGATTCAGAGAAACAATGGGTTGTAGTTCAGATACAGCTAGTGGAGTTTGAGATGCCTGCAGTAAGGGATGGCACATTTTCCTGCAAAACAAACCGATTATCAATTGAAGTGTAGGATAAGAGCATAAGACTGAACATAACTTAGACAGGTTAGCACCACCACTTGGGGGCAGCTCAGTGCTGCTAAAGGTAACGTGATTGTGATGGATGGATCTTTAATAATTGTCTTGTCGAGTAATGCCATATTTACACAGATATCTGAAAGACAAACTTTAATTCTTGATTAAAAAAAAGTTACATGAGTTACAAATTAAATGTTTTTCTATCTATTACACTACTTCCTGAAAACCAAAAGAAAGTTAATTAAAACTGGCGCATAAATCTATATGGGGGGGAGGGACTGGGCAAGAGTCTATAATTGACAACAGGGCAGAAAGTCCTGTATGTGCTCCAGTGGCGCAATCGGTTAGCGCGCGGTACTTATATGACAGTAACTAGTGAGCAATGCCGAGGTTGTGAGTTCGAGCCTCACCTGGAGCACACTTTTATATTGATCTTATAAAATTGAAAAATGGAAGCAATTGAAAAATAAGGTTTGGTTCTTGAATGTGCTCTGAAAAAACTTACTCCATACTTTTAAGGACAAGCTTTCACCCTGATCATTAACCACAACCCGTTGGTGTGGTTTAACCGGGTAACAGGAAAACATGCAAACCAATGAATTTACTGTTCATTAGCGACCCGATAAGCAGAATGGGAACACTGACGGTTTGTCCCGGCAGATCGAGCTTGTGAACTAAATAGGAAAATTTATTCATACTTATCGTAATTTTCTTTTCCTGGCTTTTATTCATGGCAGCATTTAACATATGGGTTAGCTCCTCCCTCCAGCCAATAGGACAGGAATACCAATTAAAGAATTCAATTATCCCTGAGGCATAAGAGATCCCAGAATACTAGGTTCCTCAGTCTAGTAGCAAGCTGATCCGACTTAATAAAGGGGTGGGAAACCCAAATGCTGCCATGAATAATCGCCAGGAAAAGAAAATTACGGTAAGTATGAATAAATTTTCTTCTTTCCTGGCTAATCATGGCAGCATTTAACATATGGGGAATACCCAAGCAGTAAATACCACAGGGAGGGAATAGATGCCCAGAAATTTTTATTTGCTTCAAGAAGAACAAGAATTTAGAACCGAAAGTCCAAATTGTAGGTTAGAATCCGAAGAAATATCGAGTTTGTAATGACTAATAAACGTCCTTATAGAAGACCAGTTAGCCGCTCTGCAAATGCTCTCTGGTGATACTCCAGACTCTGCAGCCCATGAAGTGGCAATCGATCTGGTAGAGTGTGCCCTTATACCTTTTGGAACTGGGACTCCTCGGACCTTATAAGCTCTTGAAATAGAGGAAACAGCCCAGGAACGGAGGGTAGAAACAGAGGCCGCTTCACCCTTACGGGAGCCCCAAGGGACAACAAAGAATTGAGGAGATTTCCTCCAAGCCTTAGTACGTTGAATGTAGACCAAAAGACACCTCTTAAGGTCCAGCATGTGAAACTTTTCTTCCATCTCGTTTGACGGATTCTGAAAGTAGACAGGAAGAACAATTTCTTGGTTTATGTGAAGAGGAGAGACCACCTTAGGTAGACATTCTGGTCTGGGACAGAGAATGACCCTGTCATGATAGAAAGTGGTATAAGGTTCTTCTATCGAAAGACCTCTTTTGTCCGCCATCCTTCTAGCCAAAACTAAGGCTAATAGAAGTAGAGTCTTTTGAGTCAGAGATAACATAGGGATATCATCCAACGGTTCGAAAGGCTGCTCCATCAAGGCCTGTAAGACCAAAGGTAAATCCCAGGGACACTTGTAAACCCGGATCAGTGGTCTAATCCTAAGAACTGCTTTCATAAAGTGGATTACCATGGGGTTTTCAGCCCATCTGATACCTGACATGGCAGAAATAGCAGAACAATGAACCTTGAGGGTGTTCAGACTTAGACCTCTATCCAACCCAGCCTGTAAGAATCCCAAAACCTGGGAAATAGAAGGTGATTTTAAATCCTTCACACCTTTATGAAGCCAATCCACGAAGGCCCCCCATATCTTATAGTATGTAGAGGAGGTAGAAGCTTTTCTGGAACGTAGCAAGGTGGAAACAACTTCTTCAGGAAACCCCTGTTCGCTTAAGGATTGCCTTTCAAGAGCCATGCATGAAGACGCAGTTTGCATAGGCGTGCGCAGCCTATTGTATGAGGGTGTGCACCCTAAAGCAGAAACACACGCCGCGTATATATATATATATATATATATATATATATATATATATATATATATATACACACATACATACAAACATACACACACACACACTGCTGTGTGTGAGGGTGCTGTCAGTGTGTGCTGTGTGTGTGTGTGTATGTGTGTAAGGGTGCTGTTAGTGTGTGTGTGTGTGTGTGTGTGTGTAAGGGTGCTGTTAGTGTGTGATTTGTGTGTAAGGGTGCTGTTAGTGTGTGTATGTGTGAGGGTGCTGTGTGTGTAAGGGTGTTAGCGTGTGTGTGTGTGTGTGTAAGGGTGCTCTGTGTGTGTGATGGTGCTGTGTGTAAGGGTGCTGTTAGTGTGTGTATGTGTAAGGGTGCTGTGTGTGTAAGGGTGCTGTTAGTGTGTGCATGTGTGAGGGTGCTGTGTGTAAGGGTGTTGTTAGTGTGAGGGTGCTGTTAGTGTGTAAGGGTTTTGTTAGTGTAAGGATGCTGTGTGTGTGAGGGTGCTGTTAGTGTGTGTAAGGGTGATGTATGTGTGTGCTGTTTGTGTGTAATGTGTTTGGGTTTTGGGTCTGTTTAGTTAATATTCCCCCTCCCTTCTTACCTTATGTAGGGAGGGGGGGACCATGCTCCTGCCTTCCCTGGTGGTCCAGTGGAGAGTGAACTCTAGCCTCTTGTGGGGCTAGAGTTAACTCTTGCAAGATTTGAGTGTTGCCGCGGTAACCGCTGCAACGCTCCGACCGCGCAAGAGGAACCCGGCGGAGCTGCTGGCAAGAGCTCCCCGGGTCCTCTCCTGCCTCCCTCACTTCCTGTGGGTTGGTGAGGGAGATCTTTGATCTCCCTCACCGGTCCACGGAGGGAGGCACATAGCACGTGCCGCGGGGATTAGGGTGTGCCTAGGCACACCCGGCACACCCCGTGCAGATGGCAGTTTGTGTGGCTCTGGGTGTACTAGAGGTCCTTGAGACAGAAGATCCCAGAAGACTGGAATTTGCCATGGTTCGTCTATCAACAGACTCTTCAAGAAGGGAAACCATGGACGATGGGGCCAGAACGGGATGATAGCTATTATCTTGCATCGCTCTTTGGAGATTTTCTTCAGAAGGGCGGGAATGAGCTGAATCGGAGGGAATACATATGCCAGGTGAAATGGCCATCTTGATAAAAGGGCGTCTTGAGCATATGCCAGTGGGTGAAATCTTCTTGACATGAAGCATGGAAGATGAGTATTCTGAGCAGTGGCCATTAAATCCACCTGTGGGAGCCCCCACTTCATTACCAGTCGTTGGAAGGCCAAATCGGATAGCCTCCATTCTGTCTCCTTCACTTGATGTCTGCTCAGGAAGTCTGCAATCGTATTCTCCTTCCCAGGAAGTTATAAGGCCGAGAGACCGGCTAGATTCCTCTGTGCCCAAATCATGATTGGCTTGATCTCCTTCATCAGTGCACAACTGGTACCTGGTACCTCCCTGATGGTTGAAGTATGCTACAGCTGCCCTGTTGTCTATTCTCAGCTTCACCCATTGATCCTGAATGAGAGACTTGAAATGTAGAAGAGCTAGAAAAGTTGCTCTTAGTTCCTTTATATTTGAAGGAAGATGACGGGTGTGCAGGGGCCATAGTGCCTGAACAAAGTGTTCTTTCAGATGTGCACCCCACCATCTTGACTGGCATCCGTGGTGATTATCATCCAGTCCACCTCCCTCAAAGGGAAACCTTTGGATAGGTTTTCCCAAGAAAGCCACCAGTTGAGGGACATTTTTATATGATCCGGAATGGACATCTTCATCTCCCATTTCTGGGAGCCCGAATCGAACTTCTGTAGGAAGTATTCTTGTAGAGGGCAGAGGTTCCACTGAGCCCATCTCACTAGGCCAATTGTGGAGGAAAGGGAACCTATGATCCTCATACACTTTCTTGCTGTAGTTGTCCTTTCGATTTGAAATTCTCGAATGCGTGACAGTTAATTCAGTTTTCTGCCGTGGGCCAGAGACACTACTGCTGACACTGTGTCGAATTTTGCACCGAAAAACACTAGCCTTCTGGCAGGTAGAAGTTGACTGTTCTGGTAGTTGATTAACCAGCCAAAGCGTTCTAGTGTCTGGAGCACCATCCGTCGATGTTTCAGTAAAACCTCGTATGTTTGAGCGACTATCAGGATATTGTTGAGGTAATGGAATACTGCTATTCCTTTCTTTCTGAGCAATGCGATAACCGTCACCAGGATCTTTGGAATCAGCACAGCCCCAAGGACCTTCTCAAACGGTAAAGCCTGGAACTGGAAATGTTGTTTGTTTATGCAGAACCTGAGGAACCTCTGGTGATGAAGAGCTATCGGAACATGGAAGTAGGCGTCTTTCAGATCTACTGATATTAGCCAATCTCCTTGATGTACCACCGGTATGATAGAGCGAAGAGATTCCATCCTGAATTTTCTTATCCTCAACTGGATATTGAGTTGATGTAAGTCCAGAATGGGTCTCCACTTTCCTCCAGGTTTCTTCACTAGGAAGAGAGGGGAATAGAATCCCTGAAACTTTTGACTTTCTGGAACAGGAACAATCACCCGTTGTTGTAGAAGATCTCCAGTGTACTGGATCAAAGCGTCTCTTTTTATTGAATCCAAGGGCAAACTGGTCCTTATGAATCTTGATCGGGGAATGTCCATAAATTCCAGAGAATAGCCCTCTGTAATTATGGACCTCACCCAATTGTCTGGGATCTCTGCCCAAACCCTTTGGAAATGCGTAAGTCTTCCTCCTACCAAAGGTGTTTGGGCGGACCAACCTTCAGAACTGTTTGGAAGGACGAAAGGAAGAAGTGTTAGTCTTTCCTCCGGTGGACTTGCTGGTTTAACCACTTCTCCAGGAGGTAGGCCTGTAGTATTCACGCCCTGGCCTATAAGCCTTACTGTCTCTATAGGAGGGGTGTTCCCTATAAGAACGACGTTCAAGTGGAGGTCCTCTTGGACGTCTATCTTGCAGAAGCAGAACTTGCTTGACATCCAGTGCCCTCTTGATGGCTTCTTCAAAGCGTTTCCCAAACAATACTTCACCCGCAAAAAGGAAGGGAACATAAGTTATGCTTTGAGGCCATATCAGCCCCCCATGATCTGAGCCATAGGGCACGTCTGGCTGCAACCGAGAAAGCCATAACCTTCGACATAACCTTAATCATATCCATAGAGGCTTCTAAGAGCAATTCACTGGCCAGTCTGACCTCCCGTAGGGAATCTGCAATATGTTGCCTTCTGACACCTTTGTCCAAATCTTCTTCAATGTCCAGGATCCATACTCTCATTCCTCTGGACATAGCCGATATAGAAACCGCAGGGTGACATCCAGTACCAGCTGCTAAAAAACATTTAGAAATGTCAGCATCTATTCTTTTTTCCATAGGGTCTCTCAGGGAAGCATTGCAATCTATCAGGAGAATAGAACGTTTAGCCACCTGGATAACTGGACTTCTAACCTGAAGGTTGATGCCTCAAAGTCTGGAGTCCTCCTCACGAATGGGGTATTATAACTTAGGCAGACAGTTTTGCAGAGAAAGTCTCTTTTCTGGAGTCTTCCACTCATTACTTATAAGATCCTTAATGGACTTGTGTACCGGAAATTAAGGTTTCCTTTTACTGAGATCCCCAAAGTGTTTGTCCGCTGCTGAGGTTTCTAGTATCTCATCAGGTAATTCCAGTGTTCTTCTCACCAGAGAGATCAAACGCTCTATTGCTTTAGATTCAAAGGGGCAGGAGTATTCCTCATCGCTAGAAGACATATGTTCAAGGTCCAGGGAACCCGAATTCTGTCCGAAATCTTCGTCTGAAGAATCGTGATTCACCTGGGGATATTCACATCTAGGACGCTTGCCTTTTTATGATTCAGCAATGCCTCCTGCCACTGCCTGCTTAATCCACAAGGCTATTTCCTGGGCCGAGGTGGATGCTTGTGGATGTTGCTGGAATTCAGATTCTCCTGCAACTCGAGTTAAACATTGCTTACACAGCCTGCAGTTGTCCAAAGGTCTGGATCCACATCCAACGCAAGCTGCCGGTTTATCCCTTCTCCTGGAAGGAGATCTAGGGCCTGTCCGGTCTTGAGGGCTGAAATTACAGAAGCCAAGAGACTGTACCCTCTAATGCATTCTTTTTATTAGGAGAATGGTGGAGAAAAAATACAAAAATGACCTATAGCTGACTTAGCTGAAGTGGGAGAGTGATCCATCATAGAAAACACAAAATAAGGCTGAAAGGAAAAAAATGTTTCTCTAAAAAAATTGTTTAACAGAAAAAAAACCAAATTATACCAAAGGTATCCTAAAAGGAAAAAATAAAAATAAATGAATACCTGCAGAGTGAGAGAGCTTGTTTCCCAGAGAGCAGCTTACACCTTCTTGAAGGATTTGAATTTCGCAGCAAAAATAACTCACTTTTCCCCTTTAAATAGAAATGATGCGCTGTTTCTTTAATCGCGCATGCGCGATTCACCGCAAGCGCCTGTATTACTGGCAAACATCGGGCTACTCGCGTCCTCTTACCTTTGCGCATGTGCGGGTGTCCTGAGCCTCCGAACTGGAAATCTGGCGCCAGAATATGAAGTTTCACCTGCAGGGACAGGCATAGCAGCAGCTCTTAACAGGATGCCGGAGGAACACTAACTCTTCTGGCTACCAGGGATCCCCAGCTACCAAGAGGTGGGTTACATGTACCTGGTCTTCCTACAGAGAAAAGGCTGACCTCTTAGGGAATAAAAGGCTTAAAGACATAGCCAGGTGAGCATAAAAAAAAAATCCTATGTAATAAATACATACTGTCCTGTCTGGCTAGGAGGACAGGAAAAAAAGACTAAGGAACCTAGTATTCTGGGATCTCTTATACCTCAGGGATAATTGAATTCTTTAATTGGTATTCCTGTCCTATTGGCTGGAGGGAGGAGCTAACCCATATGTTAAATGCTGCCATGATTAGCCAGGAAAGGACTTTTCCAGGACATCCCCAAGTTGACCCAAACATGTCAAGCTGTGTCTGCCAGAGTACTGACAAGGGGGGAGCAGTGTAACAAAGTGTCCTCATGTTAAAGACCAGTTTACGTTCGAACACTTAAACTATAGACTGTAACTAGTTCCCGTTCGGGAGTTAACTTGCGAGTCATATCCATGGTTCCCCTGGTTCGCTGCCTTCCCTCTCCTGAATTCATCTTAACACTTGCTCTCTGGCAGTCGTTTGTGCGTAACATCTTGCAAACAGGCTTCAGCGGGACGTAGCTGTGACCGCTTTGGAATTCAAATCAGCTATGGGTTGTCGCAGTTCCCGGTTATTTTTACCTAATGTAATGACCCATTTACCCATGTGCCATTAGAGCGCTTATTGGAGAGAAGGTACCTGAAGGGGAGGGGAACAATCATTCCCTGAGAGTCGGGAGGGATACTACTTACTTGGGGCACTGGAGCCACCTGACAGTTGACCGGCCAAAGCTCTGATAACTGAGGAACTCTTTTGGGCATGGACCACGTGTACGGCCAGTCAAACCTTTGCACAGTGGCATTTGGTCAATTCTCCATGGATCCATGGGCGCTATTTAGACAGATTAGGTGTTCAGAGGCAAGCTATCCTGTGGTATAGGACATGTGTGATATTGTATGTTTGGGCAGTAATTGGTTTACCAGTGTAACGGAATCGCTGGGACCCCGACCGGGTACCTTCCGCTGACGGATGCTCCTAGTGCTTTCAAAGGACTCTAAGCACTCTGCCCAACACCATAACCACTGCAGACCCCACGAACCGCCGCAGCTTGGTTGGGGTCTCGCCGTCTCCACCCGAATTCCAGAGAGCAGGAACAGGAACAAGCTCTTAGCAGAGCTTAGTGATTATACCCTAGGGAGTATTGTGATTATGGCAATCCCCAGAGTGTAGTTCTCCAATCCGCCAAACATGAGCCGAAACTTCATGAAGGTACAAGTTGATCTGCTTTATTTGGCACCAAAGGGCCTTCTTTTATGCAGGTTTTTTACATAGGACCACCCACAGGGTTTTACAGAACAGCCAATAACACACGTACATTACAGAAAATACTCCCAGCGATTGCACAGAAAATTCTCCCCTCTGCCTGTAATATAATTATGGTACACAATGCTTAACATAATTAACACAGGAAGGAAAAATACAGTTTTTATACATAAACTGTAACTTTATATTTAAAGTGTACAGATTCTGAATATGTAATTTTTATGAAATATAACTGACGTATATTTTTAAACACTCAAAAATCAGTCAAATCCATTCAGTAGATAAAAAGTTAGACGGAAGTACTTTATGACCGACCGCAAGCACATTTTCCTGCCCAAAACAGCTCCATAGATTTGGGCTGTGCAGCCGGTCAATTTTATGCTCAGTATAACAGTGAGTTCAAACTGCCGAACGGGACTTAGTCTCTGTAGCTGAAAATGGAGTGTAGGAGAAGGTAAGGGTCAGCGGTGTTTGTTGAAATGTATAGCCGATTTCAGTTCCATGAATTGTCCTACACATGCCGCTGACCTTGTTCGAATGAACAAAGGTGGCTGCAGCCATGTGTCCGTTTGTACGAACTGCGGTTGCCTAAGCTGAAAACTTTTTCCTTGAGAAGTAAGCTATGCAGCAATTGAAAAATAATGCCTGATCTTGGTATGGGCTCTGAAAAAACTTACCCCTTATTTATACAGACAAGCCTTCACCCTGATCATGGACCACAACCCATTGGTGTGGCTTAACCAGGTAGCAGGAGATAACGCATGGTTGCTGAGTTGGAATCTGGCCCCTACAACCATATGACTTCACCATTCATTATTGACTTACTAAGCAGAATGGGAACGCCGTTGGATTGTCCCGGCTGACCGAGCTCGTGAACTAAAAAACGTTTTCACGGAAATCCCCAAGGCTATGGATTGTCGCGGCTTACAATATTTTTGGCCCTGTGTAATGACCCTGTAGCAGACCCGGGGTAACCTAACTGGTTACCTCTGCCAATTCCTTCCCTCAGCCACTCTGGAACCATTAAATTAAGCAGACCTCCATCCTCCCCAGTAACCTGACGACACACAGCTCTGGGAGTACAACGCTCTAAACTCAACTGATCTGTTTAATGGACATTGTACAGCCAAGTTATACACAGACCCCAAGCAGGGGGTCTCCATACAATTACACACAAACTCCTTCCCTGTGCCTGGGGGATAATTGAGTCAGGAACTGTACAAACTCAATTATCTCTAAGTTACAGGAAAGCATACAATTGTAAAACACCTCAAAAGTACATTTTCAATTTCAAAAGGGGTTAATATAAATTGCATAAGAATGTGAAAGGGGTCAGATGGTTTACCATATGGATTGATCCTTTGATTAATGAAAGCCTCTGCAAGGTGTGAAATGCTACCATTGAAAAGCCTGTATGTCTATTTTGCCTCTTAGATAGGAATTCCTTTGATATGTAGCAGGTGGTCACTCACAGTGCAGAATTTCTTGATTAACACACAGAATACATTTCACACCTTACTATACTTTACAGTCTATAGAGCTGCTGCTCCACCACCTCCCCCTTTGTTGACCCACATCTGCATATACAGACACATACTGCTCTATGTAGAATACAGGCACACAACACAGAGACATCTAGACACATGGAAAACAGTCACAAAAATGGTGCTGCAAGCTTGTGGCCCGTACCAAACAAATCAGGCCATCCATCACATATCTACCCCCATAGAAATAGACAGACCTGTGACCATACCCACGATGGCCTGCAACAAGTCTGTTGGACCCCTCTGAGTCCACATCCTTGGGGGCCCAATGTGACTGAGCAAGTGGGTGGGCACATGTGGGTATGGCACTCAGTGACAGCATTCTGTCACAGACCCTTTTACCAACATAACAGGAGAGCAATTTTTGGAGGGAAGGGGAGTGAAACAATCGTTCATTGAGAGCTGGTAGCAAGATGATTTACTTTGTGCACAGGAGCCCCCAACAGTTGACCGGTCAAAGCACCAATCACTCTGGAACTTTTTGGAGCATGGGCAATGTGTGCGGTTGGTCAAACCTTTACCACGGTGGCGTTTGGTCAATCTCCATGGACCCGGGCACTATTTGGAAAGATTGGGGGCTCGGAGGCAAGTTATCCGGGAGTACAGGACATGTGGGCATTTGGTACTCTATTGTGTGTTTTCAGGATTTTTGTATGTGAACCCTCTGTGTCCGGGAGATTAATGAACCTTATCAACTCAATTATCTCACAGACACAGAGACACTTGGGCGGGTTTATGGGTCCATAAATGGAGACTCCATGCTGGGGTCTGTGTATAAATTGTGAACCTTGCCTGAATAAACCAGTTTTACTGCCAGCATTAAGTTTTGACTAATGTACAGTGGGGAAAGCTATACCAGCTATAATCACTTCTTCTGGAAGGAGTGATTACACTATGGGAAAGGGAATCCTTAGGGTTGAGAATACAGTGAACCGCCACACTTACTTACACTCTTGGAAATAAGACTCTAACACGAAGACTCTTTCCAACTGAATTCTGGGACTTTGAATTTCTTTGCTAGCCAGATCAACTCTGACTTAGACAGTTTACAACACAGCTCTTGCTAATTTCCTACCAATTTCTCTATCTTTAAACACTTTTACTTGCATTCAATATCCATTGGCTTATATCTCCAGCCCACCTAAAGAACATTTTACAAATTGGTAAATATGTTGGTTTCATTTAATTTAATTTATTTTTTTACGAACAGCAGAAATATACCTAGATAATGTTGATCAGATTTCAAAACTTTTGAAATCATATTTAGCTGAGAAATATATAATTCCATATTCCATACTGCAGCTGTGATAATGAATAATATATTTACTGGTAATTTGTCAAATTTAGCATATCAAGCTATTATCCAGAGATATTGACATATCTGAAATTTCTAGGCAAAGTTAAATATCTGCCGCAAGGCATTAACCCCTTAAGGACACATGACATGTGTGACATGTCATGATTCCCTTTTATTCCAGGAGTTTGTCCTTAAGGGGTTAAAAGTTTAGTTTTTTTTCCTTTTTCTTTTGGTTACTGGATGATAAAGAATAGTTAAATGGACACTATAGTCACCAGAACAACTACAGCTTAATGTAGTTGTTCTAGTAAGTATAATAGCTCCCTTCAGGCATTTTCACATAAACACTGCCTTTTCAGAGAAAAGGCCTCTAGGGACACCTCCAAGTAACCACTCCTTAGATGGCCACTGGATGGGCTTCCTGGCTCAGGGTTGCACCGTAAGCAGCCTTGCCGTTCAGTGTCCCCACGCTCTGCATGCAGACGCTGAATTTTCCTCATAGAGATGCATTGATTCAATGCATCTCTATGAGGAGGTCCTGATTGGCTAAAATCATCACAGGTGCGGGGCTAAATGCCGTTTTGGCCAATCCAGTGCTTTCCTTATGGGAAATCATTGTGGCATCATCAAAATGGCAGATTTTTAGCTGATACAAAGTGGGCGGAGCCAGCACCAGCAGACCGGCGCTGCACTGGAAATAAGGTGCATTTGATTGGCTAAAAATCAGCAATTTTGATGGTCACCAAGGGGGTGGGGCCAACACTGGTGGAACCGTGCAGAGCTGGAAATAAGGATAGTTTTAAACTTTTATGGGGGGCTGAGGAGGGGCAAGCCACCTAAATGGTGGGCTTAGTACTATAGGGGCCAGGAACAAATGTTTGAGTTCCTGACCCTTTAAGTTGACTATTTGTGAGGAACATTCATTGTATATTTTGTTTGCAATGCTTCTCTGTGAGAATTGTAGCCAGCAGTGAGTGAGTTCATTCTTTTTGAACTGATTCTAACTGCATGTTTGCAATCTAGTTTTTACAACTTGGAGCTACGTTGTATAAAAACCTCTCTGTTACATTCTGTAATGTAATTCTAAAGCTGCTCTAATTGTTATGTATCAATGTTAAAATAATTCCTCTCGCATTTAATCAAGTTATCTGTAATTTTTGCATGTAACTCCTTTGGAACTTAATTTAAGTTCTGCTTTTGGATACTATTGCTGATAGCTAATTGATTATTCATATGTCTTGAAAATCTGTAATAATAGTTGCTAAGGATACTGATCCCTACTGGTAGATAATTTCTAAATGGACTAACTCCCTCATCCTTAAGACAATTAAGAAAATGGTAATTGTTGCTATATTTTATACTATTGTTATACTTATATATTCACTGATTATTGTCACACACGTTACATATTATTTGTCACGATAAATTATATTTTTATAATCAATTGTGATTAAAGTGTGATATGCAAATCCTCTAAAAAACATACTCCAGGGTCTATAAGAGTTAAAATAGTGGGTAACTCTTCGCTTTAAATCAATCAAGGGGAAACCGTGCCAAAATATTGATTTTTGAGATTAATACAAATTAATTTTGATTTTTTTTTTTTTAGAAACTATTTCATATTTATTAACCCTATAAATATCCTCAGAGCCTTGTTGTGCAGGAACACTTCAGTAAGATCCCTGGATGACTCATGTTTAAGTCACCCTGTACTCATTGTGGGTGCAGGATGTATATAATGTAATTGTTTAGTGTTAAATGTTAGTGTGCTCTCATGTATTGCTAAAATTTGCAATCAACTAGGTGGATTTGGCTGTGGAACCAGTAGAGCGCCACCTATTGGTTGCAAGGATCTAGCAACCGCTATATGCACTACCTGAATAGCAAGGATTGCGAATGTGCATATTCAGGTAGATTTGCATATTTCTCTTTCTGCAGGCTGGAGAGATGTTTTGTTATTTATAAAGGGGTGGGAAAGACAATAATTATGTTATTATAAATACATGTATGTTGTCTAATGTGATTTGACGGTTTATATTTTTATTGAATTGTCACAATCTATATGTAATTAACATATCGGCTAGTCCTAAACTGAAATTAAGTATTGTATGTTAGTTCTTTTTGGAACTTGTGTTCTGTGTGGATTTTTTTTTGTTTACTGCAGGATCCCTGTAACCCTGGGATAAATCGAAAGAGCTAGGCCTTAGATCCGGCAATAGCTGTAATCACATTATAAGTAGTGTTCCGGATACCTGCCTGGAAAAAGAGCTCCATTGGCAGAGAAAACAATACCTGCCTGGAAGTAGAGAGCTGCAGCGCAATAGGCAGAGGGGATGATACCTGCCTGGAAGAAGAGCTGGGGCCTGGTCGAGTGGAAGAGCACCTAAGAGAACCCAGTCAAGCTTTGGGGACTGGGGCGGAAGTGTTTCAGGGTCTCTGCCAGCGGCTAGGTAATGGATTGGACGGAGGTACTCAGTTGGCGTACATGTCTAATGCGATGCATGTCCTTTAAATAAAATACGTGATTCTTTGAATTTTATATATGTATATATTGATGTTTTGTAGAGCGGGAATCTGAGTTGTGCTCTCTGTATCCGGAAAATAATAAGCTTAGAGAGCAGCAACTCAATTATCTCCAAGACACAGAGGCACCAGGGCAGGATCATTGTACTGTGAATAGGGACACAATGGTGGGGGTCCGTATACAAATGACTGTGCTAAGCTAAATAAAACCAGATCTACTCCCAGCATTAATGTATGGGGAGGAGGGGAAGTTATATCAGTTATACTCATTCTGCAAGGAGCTATAATACTACAGGAATGGGTATCCTTGGCGGTGATACAATGGTGCAATAGCGCGACTGGGCCTCTTTAAAAATTTGCAGCCGCAAAGTAGTGCTGGGAGGAAGTGGCAGTTACTTCCTCCCAGCTTCCTCCACGCGGGAGGGAAGAAAGACAGGCCACGAGGACTGAAGAGCCACGCCGACTCCCATCAGCCACAGCCATCCACCTACAAAAAAAATAATTGCTGTGTGTATGTATGTCAGTATGTGTCTATCTGTATGTATGTTTGTGTGTATATAGGTCAGTATGTGTGTAACTATCTAAGTATTTCAGTGTGTATATAGGTCAGTATGTATCTGTCTGTGTATGAGTGTATGCATGTCAGTATGTGTATCTGTATGTATGCATGTGAGTATGTGTATGTATGTCAGTGTGCATATGTATGGCTCTGTGCATGTATGTATGTATTTATGTATGTGTGTATATGTCTGTCTGTATGCACACTCACACAGACACACTAACAGACATATACACACACACACACTCACATTAACATTTTTTTATTTATTTAACCCCCCCCCCCTCCCCCTAGCCTCCTTACCTTTGGGAATGCTGGGGGGGTGGGTGGTTGTCTTTCTCCCTGGGGTCCAGTGGCTGCTGGGTGGGCAGCTGGCAAGGGAGCACTTGCTCTGAGCTGTCTGCTCAGCTCCCTCGCGCGCCACAGAGTGAGTCATATTCCGGCTCCCAGCCTCACTCTGCGGCGCGCAAGGGAGCTGAGCAGACAGCTCAGAGGAAGTGCTCCCTCGCCAGCCGCACGCCCGCCATATCAGTTAGCCGCAAGGCTAACAAGGCATATGCCCTGGGCATTTGGGGGCGGCTTTTTTGCCGCCCCCTGGAAAATGTCGCCCAAGGCAAAACGCCCCTGTATGTATGTATGTCAGTATGTATTGTCCTTATGCGTGTTTGTGTCTGTAAGTATGTTAGTATGTTAGTATATGCAGGTGTTTCTGTATATGTCTATGTGTCGGTTTCACTATGTATAGGAATTTGTTGAAAATAAAAATAAAAAAATTAAATCTATAAACACAAAAACAGCTATCCCTTTACGGAGATAGTGAGTGATACTCTAAAGTGCCTGAATAAAAGAAGCAGCGCAACACAAAAAGTGGAATACCCTAATCCACAGTAAAGTGCAAATATTCAAAAAAGAGAGGTATAGACTATATACCAACAAGTGGAGCGCTATAATAGGTATAAATAATAAGGGGGTACACAATATATATTTTCAATTTAAAACTATAGTCTGGCCCCCAGCAGTGTCTGAGGGAACATGAACTAGGCCCCTGTTTAAAAAGTTTGAGGACCCCTGGCCTATAGTAGCAAGGATGCAAAGAAGGCCAATAAGATATCAGAAGATAAAGAAATATTTTGTAAATGCGAAACTAAACAAAAATAAGTTAAAGACTGATTACAGTAACATGACATTTTGCAGGGCTTTGTTTTGATGAAACATCAACAATTTACTTTCTTAGAAAAACGTCTCTAAATTCATAGAAAACATTTTAAGTATGACACTTCATCAGAACCTGACTGTTATAAAAAGTATATTTTAAAAAGAGCAAAAAAAAAAGTTTTTAAAATTCATCAATGCTGTTTATTTAACGAAATTTGGCGCTTTCCAAACGCGAATTCAAGTAGAAAAAAAAAAAAGTTAGGATTCAGTTTCTCATGTCCCAAACTCGCACTTGACAGTTTCAAGTGTTGAGATGATTCTTCATGAATTTCTCTTGCGGTGCCCCATCCCATCTTTCCTCCCAGAGGATGGATGCGGCCATATGAAACCCAGGATAGATGGGCATTAGCCTTTAGATGGCTCAACAGCGTGGGCAGTTCGTGTCCTCAGTAAAGCTTCAAGAAGGCACTTTTAGTTTGGAACTCCCCAAGAAGTATTGAAGAATCCGATCCACCACCCAGGCCAAGCAGAAGTCCAACAACAGAACTTTGACAATAACCAACTTAAACTGTGTGTAGGAGGAGAAAAAAAAAAAAAAAAAAAACTTTCAGTAAGAAGATTTTTTGGACAAGAAAGTTTCTCACACACTTAAATATATACATAAATACATACATATACCCTGGGTTAATGCTCTACTTATTTAGCTTACAGATTGTCTTTAAAATAGATCAATTATAGTCCAAAAGGTTTCTATCCATATAGCATGCAAAAGTGATCACAGGTCATTCCTAAAACAATTTTCATATTACCTCCATAGGGATGTCCACCAGACCGAACTGTTCATTGAATTCAGGAGATGAGCCTGACAAGAGTCCCATTATAGCCATACCAGAGAGGATAATACTATAAAGCAAGGGTTTGTTCTCTCGTAGACTTTCCATGAAAGGATGGCCCTAAAACAAGAAAAAAAAAAAAGGTGTGATTGTGTCAACATATAACAGTATGGGCCTGTAATGTCTGATAAAACTTGCAAAATAATGAAAAGAATTGTTTATCCACTCAACTCTTGCTTGTAGAGAATTAAAACCCAAACTGCTAACTTGTGGGTAAAATAGTTAAGCTGTGTCTATAGGGGAGTTGGAGAACTTTTCCAGGTCAGCTAATTGTTTCCTAAATTTTGCAGTTTGGATATTATTTTGCTATAATGTCAAGTTTGGCTAGGGAACTGTTTATTTCAGAGTTATTCACTAAACAAATCCATCTTGTACAAATAAATCCATCTAGAAAGTTAATTTCATATCTTTGGGACAGAAGCAAGTTCTAAAAGTATGAACAGGACAAATAATGGCATATTCCACACTATCAGCCAGATATAGAACAAGCAAAAATATAGTTAAGCATAAAAGAGATGAAATTGGATGCACTTTGCCTTATTATTATATTTTTTATATAGCGCCAACAAATTCCTTACAGAATATGCTATAGGGTAAAATGGAAGACAATTTAGGTTCATCAACATGTTATTAAAATAGAATGAAAGTAACATTTTAAAAAGCCCACTGGCTGTATAAACCTCCATGACAACGTCTGCTTTTAGAAGTGGCCATAATGGTAAGAATGTACAGCTTTTCAGGTAGAAATACAAAGTAATCTGTAATTTTGTGCCAGAGGCTAGTTGCAAACGTGAATTAAACAGTCCAGAACTCTGTTAAGATTCTCAAATTAGAACACTGTTGACCATTTCATTCATAAGAAGATATCTTCTGTTTAGAAAACACAGGTTCTAGTGTAACCAAACATCCTTAAAATTACACTGTTGCAGTTTCAATTCTGAAGATGTCTGCTCCTTGGGAGGACAGTTTCTATTTATAACACAACAGATTCTTTCACCATTAACTCCATAAAGACCAAGGCTTTATTGAGAAGCAACGCAAATAAGACCAAGGCCTTTTTGCCATGTATTCATTTCAATTACAATTTATCCCTTTCTGTTTAAGTGAACCCCTTACATACTGGCTTTCTTTTGGTACCCTATGTTATAGATAATGTAAAAATAAATAGGAAAAAATATATATTTTTAAAAATGGTAAAAAAAAAAAAAAAAAAAGTCTTGGTTTTACATGCAATCACACTGCTCTAAAGTAAATAAAACTAACTCAAAATAGATTTACTATTTAGTGCGGATTGTAAAATGCCCAATATGTCTGGGATACAATTCCTTTTTAAAGTTATAACACAAATACTGCAAGGAGTGAATGATGGAAAGATAGCACGCGGATTACAACTTTAATAGTAGTCATAGAATTCAAAACTACCAGATCAAGCACCTTGAAATGTGACCACCTAGTCGCCTACCTTTGTAGGACACATGCCAACTCTGGCAGGAGTCGCATTTCTATTTCTAAGACTTAAGCTTCGACCGATCAAATCTTTAACCAGGTATTGATTCTACAATGTATATTGTATAAGGGCATAATTTTACAAGTTAGGGCACTCAGGGACAAGCTATCCAGGGATACTATATACATGGGGTTTACGGTTTAAATTAATGTGTTTGGGGATATTCATTTAAGCTGCCCTATTGTCTGGAGGTTGATTAGATTAGTGGTACTAAAACTAGCCATCTCCCATACACAGAGGCACCTGAGTGGGATCTACAATGTTTTAGTTAACCTCCATTTGGGGTCTAGGTATAAATACGTGCATTTGAAACAAATAAATTACTCCTGTTTTCATCCATCATTAACTCTCAACTGATGTTTGGATGGGCTGCTATACATCACTGAACACTGCGGGAAAATTAGAAAGGATTTGGCGCAGATTCTTTGGTCGAGTATTGGATCCCAGCCACAAAAAAAAAAAAAGTAAAAAAAAAAAAGGTTAAAACCCTGGGGAATTTTCACAGACCACAAGTGTCCCAGTACTGTTCTTATCTTCAAATTGTAAGCTGTTATAATTGTAACTGAAATGTAAACCAGGTAAGCTGCCTGTTATCCCATGTGGGGTCTTTATCTAAGCAGATAATGGCATACTGTCACTATTATCTCCACAGGTACTTGTTACATAGTTAAATCTGCTTATAATTCATGCTGCTATGTCATTTTAATTTGCACTCAGGGTCTACTACGGCTTTACACATTTTAAAGAGCACAGATTCTATTAAAGCTATGCTTATGCATTTGAGGTACATCAAGCTGTATTCAGCTCTAATTTGCCAGGATAATGTCATTTAAATGTATTTTAACTCTCCAGAAAAACAAGCTTTGTCTTATTTGGTTTATATTGGGAGCACACCACCAGATTTAATTGGTGTAAATAAAATAATAAGACACTGGGATGTGTTTGCTTATTATCTTACAGTGCATGCATGAACTCCAAGGTCATGAATTTACCAACTGTTGAAATTCACACACAAATTTACATATATACGGTGATGAACTCACCATTAACAGACTGCTAAGAAGAGGTTCCCTATTCTGTTCCCCAGTTGGATTGAACACAATAAGTTCCTCTTCTGTATTTTTCATTTGGCCTAACACTGACCACCCCTAGCTCATTTCCAGTAAAATACACGCCCAAATAGAGAGACCATTCGCTCCCTACGAGCAAGTAAAACCTTTGTTTTCGAATAGGGACTCACAAAAGTTGAGCTGCTGCTACCTCCTTTAACTATTTGGGCAGCAGCCACGTATGCGGTTGATAAAAACTTTACCCCAGTGGCGATTCGGCTATACTTCATAGATCTGAGCACTATTCAGACAACTTGGGTGTCAAGATCCGGGCTATCTAAGGATATAATACTTGTGGGGGTTCCTACTGATATTGCATGATTTTTGGAGTGTTTTATGTACGGTACTTCGAGTGCCTGGGAGATAATTTGTTTAAATAAAAGCAAACTCACAGACCACGCATGTCCCACTACTACAAACACCACATTTGTATTCTGCTACTGTTATCAAGTACAATAATACCCCACGTGTATAACTATTCCCCTAGTCCTGTTTCTAATCCAACTCATAATCCTACTTATAATCCCAGTCCTAATCCTACCTGTCAAGGAATTCCATCTGCTGAGGTCAGTACAGTCATTAGCATAGGGATTTCTCAGCTCACCCAGTACAAAGGGCTGTGTGAGCACTCATGCTGCAGCAGCAGGGTTTCTCACTGAAACAGTGCTAGGCTGGTGGGGGCAAAAGCATTTTTAGATTTACAGAGGAAATGCTGCCACAGCATTTAAATGGCTAAATTGCTATGAACACTAACTGTGACCTCAACTGAAAGGTGACCTTTTTTTTTTTTTTTTAATAAATCTTAGAGGCTGGGGTAAGTGAAAGAAGTACTGAGCAATCTAGCTCAGCTGCAGTATTTAAAAGGTAATGAGCAATGATCATAGCTCATCTGTCAGTCTGGGCCACTAACTGTGGCCAAAATGACAGAGGGGACCCCTCAGTATCAAAATTGCATGAATGTATGTGGTCACTGGGCATTAAAGCATTGCACGGCATTATGGCACAGACAATCACATGGTCCGTTAGTGGTTATGGTATTTATGATTTCTTGTGATCGTAAAAGTTTTGGATGAAGGGTACTTATACAAAGCTTGTTCGATCCACATTATAGCTGCAGCATGCTCGATCTATCCCATTCTGGTTGCATTCAGATAGACCGTTATTCCATCTGAAAATTATACCTCTTGTTCTGCACATCTCGGATATAACACGGTTTGTTAACCTTGCTGTCATGTATATTAAAGAAACAACTTCTCTTTATGTTATGCAAAAAAAAGAAATAAAAATATAGCCACTAGTCCAAAGGTATGTCACCACTATTTTTCCACTACCAACAGGTCAACTCTGCACAAAGTACAAAACAAAACAAAACCACCTATATGAAATCCTGTGCATATCCCACCTTCAGTTTGAGTAGCTCTAGTTGGCAATCTGTCCTTCACCTCAGGCTATTGAGGTCTAAAATGTGAAAGTTACTTTTAATTCCTGATAATTCTCACTTTAGTAAATAACCCTATTGAGATTTTCAGATTCTGTTCTTCTGATTGGTTACCTGTCCCATAATTAGGGAGTCTACCCATTTGTGTATTGTCGCTATACAAAAAAAAAAAAAAAGTAAAAATGTTGCAAAAAATAATTAAAACTTATCTAAAGTTATTTTTTGTTAAATCCGCATTAGGTTTACCTTGTAATTGATGGCAAATGTAGCCATTTGCATCGCCATGGACATTATGTACACTGTGCTGTTGACAAGACTTGGCTCAAACGCTTTATACAAGTCCACAAACTCTTCTTTCCTTCAGAACATATCAAAGTGGTTACAGATATATACACAAGACCAAATACTTTTTAACTATCAAGTTATGAATATAAAAGCAAAGCAAAAAAAAAAAATCCTCTAATAAAATTTTTAATGTGAAAGTATGCACAAATAGACTAAAATATCAGACATACTTTGTTAACTCTTACTTAATGGCCAGAGGAAAAAAAAAAAAAGAAAGAAAAAAAGCCTCCCTACATCAGTAAGAAACATGTCATTCTGGTCTATAAATGTTTTTTCCAAAAGAGCAATTGCACTCATCACATAGGATGAATGAATGAAACTGCTTTAAAACCAGATAGCAGCCACACCACAACTAATATCCGTTTACCATTTAAAGTTAAAGCAAGCTGGTTAGAAACTCACTTTTCTTCAGTTCGTTCTAAAGCCCCTTTGTACAAGTATATGAGACTGCAGAAGTGGACGAGAAACTGTAAAAGCACAGTTAGTACTGTGTATAGGTTGAAGATGTTTGGCAGAGGGCGTTCTTTGGAGAGGTATTTCAAAGGCTGAAATAAAAAAAAAATAAAAAAAAAGGAACAAACCGTTAATAGGCAATACTGGTATAGGTTACTGCATTCTTACATCAAGTTCTAATGTGGTTTTACTTTTACGTCCCACTTTTAGCTAACACCTTGTACTGTATAAATACCCTGCTTGTGCAACAAAGCATGGGGCAGCAACAATGCATACAATGGCCGCAATTCTGTTCTGGAATCTAGAGCAACTAATAACATTACAAACCTTAGACCGTGAAATGAAGAGAAAGCAGCCAGCTAGAAGAAGTCCTTGCAGTGTTGCTTGAAAGTCACTAAATTTTACACCCTCGAGGTATAGGACACTCTGACCATAGGCTAAGATCAGGGCATTTAGTGCCAATATTTTAAACATCTGCAGGGTTGTTACCAAAGTGCAACGGCCTTGTTTGATGACGTGGCAAACTACATAAAACAGAAATAAATGTTAATATTGCTTCTAAAAACAAAACAAAAATAAAAGACACAAATAGCAGTGAACACAGCTACATATCATATCGCTTCTCTACACTACAATACAAAATTAGTTTAAGCTTCCTCCTCCTACAGGCTTTAAAACCGTGAAATAAAATTCAAAAAAAACAAAACAAAAAAAAAAACATTCCCTTGTTTCAAATCTGTAAAAGATAGCCTTTAACTTTCACAAAATGCTGTAAACAACATACATACATGATTCTTGTGATTTAGATTTTAAAACAACTAAAACAAAAAAAAGTAAGAGACTGTATGACAATATCAGACCAGAACAGGCTATCCAGATTATTTCTATGAAGTTTATCTATGCAGTGCCAATTATACTGTGGTCAACAAGATTATCTTATCTTTTTTGCCCGTAATTATTGTTGAAAGATGATCAGGTTATCTACAACACCTATGGATCACTCTAACAGTACATGGAGTGTGGGTGGGCTTAGTGTCCTATACCTTTCTCACCCAATGGTAATTTAACAACAACTAAATGGCCACGGCTGGAAATCCCTGCCCTAGAATGGACAGGATCAAAGATATCAGGGGTATACATCACACCTCTCCTTACATCAGGGCTGCAATCTCAGCTTAGACATATAATTATTCTGAAGATCAGTATTGGTCAGGTTGTAGCTCAGCCAGCTAGCTATGCTGTTCTTTTGCCAAGAACGATTGTTGAGAATCCTGGGACTTGTAATTCCTCTATAACAGGTAGATAGTGCTGACTGCCCCAGATACACCAATTATTTAAATTCTATTACTGAAAAGTAGACATTACAAACATCATACGTACTACACTGGATGGATGATAACTTTGAAGTAAAAGGAGCAGCTATGCTTGCATCTCCCAACTTCACTACTTGCACCTGATCTTCTTCCAAATCCTTGAGGACCTGGCTGATCTTCTCCTGGAAACAAATGCACAATTTTAACAATGGTCATATGAGGGACAGAGAGAGAGAGAGAGAGATAGATAATTTATAGTAGGGTTTGAGGAGTCAATAACTTGTTTTTATTAATGAACCAATTTAAATGATGTCCCTTTAAGCTTTCATTGTATGTGATGCTATAGTCACCAGAACAACTATAGCTTAATGTATTTGTTCTGGTGAGTATAATAGCTCCCTTGCTGAAAAAGCAAGGGATTGGATAGGTTAATTCTGACTGGATTGGCAATTTTGATGATGTCACCAAGGGGAGGAGAGGGCAGCACTGGCAGACCTGTGGAGAGCTGGAAATAAGGTGTTTTAACCCATTCTGAGGGGCTACGGTGGGGGAGGGTGTGGGAGGGGCAGGCCACCTAAATGGTGGGTTTTCACTATAGGGTCCTAAAGTGATCCTTTAACATATGGAACTTTGGTTGACTAGGTAAAAATATTACATCTTTAAAATGAGCTCCATTTGCCACCTTGCAAAGTCGGGCTCTTTTGATTGCATTGTTCATAACATTAGTTAATGCTTGAGACTCTAGTGCTCACATTTCTGCATGGATTTGCTCACGCACACCAGCTCATTCAGATATTCCCACAGGAAATAATCGGGAGCTGAAAGGTCAGGCAAACATGGCAGCCAATTAATCTGGGAATTTCTTGAAATTATCTCACAAAACAGTTGCCCCAGGAGGTCTGTAGTGTAGCTTGCTTTGACCATCTAACAACTGGTGCAGGACTTCATACAATTGCCCCCTGAAAAAGCTAAATCACACTTTACCTCCACCTCCCTCTACCAAAATATATAAAACTAGAAAAGCTACAATTTCTGGGGAAATTGTGTGAAGTGTTCTTGCCTCCACCAGTAGTCTACAACTGGAGTGGGCGGAGTAACTGTTATCATTTATATAGCACATTTAATTGCAACGTTGTTGCACAGTTACATTAAACCATACATTTATAAAAACATTAGCAGGTGTTCAAAAGGCCCTGTCTATGACATCACTTGCTGCTGCAGCCTGACACAGGTCAGAGTATTTTGGCGGTTGCCATCTTCAAACGGTCGTATTTTAAAAACTATAAATCCTACAGCGAAGAGCTTTATATTGTGAGAATCACAAGACTCAGACCTACATTTTGATGCATAGTATGTCTCTGAAGTATTAAAAATGAAGGCACAGTCGCAGTTTAGAAATTGCACTTCAAATTTGAGCTTTGCAGAGTGAAGTTTCAATGAATGTCAATGGACAGCGTTAGTTGCAAACAAATGATTATATTGTGAAAACTATCAGGACTATGGCTTAGCCGTTGACATGTTTAGTGGCAGCAGGGATAGCTGAACGTTTTGATATAAGATTTGTGTAGGTGGGCCTGAAAATAAGGGAGTGGTGGCAGTTTAGAAATCATGTCCTGATTTTTCAGCTTTTGCCAGCTCCCACTCTAGCTTTGCCATTCATTCCTATGGGACAAATTTCGCCACAAGAACGACGATATTCCGTGAACTATTCGGCGAAACGTTCCACAAAGTAATATCAATCCGATCGGGAACAATCTGCACGTTTTGGTAAATTTTTGTCTATGTAGTGTAAAAACTGTGGGAGGAGTTAGGGTGGCAAATTTGGCTATAATAAGAATAAGAACATATATGTGAGATAACATTAATTAAGTGTTCTTGCATAGCAAGACCACTTAATGTTATCTTACATATATATTATTATTATTAAGTGTTCTTGCATAGCAAGACCACTTAATGTTATCTCACATATATATTATTATTAAGTGTTCTTGCAAGAACACTTATTGTTATCTCACATATATATTATTAAGTGTTCTTGCATAGCATACCATTCGGCGAAACGTTCCACAAAGTAATAGCAATCCGATCGGGAACAATCTGCACGTTTTGGTAAATTTTGGTCTATGTAGTGTAAAAACTGTGGGAGGAGTTAGGGTGGCAAATTTTGCTATAATAATAAGAATAATAATAATAATATATATGTGAGATAACATTAATCTTGCTATGCAAGAACATAATACATATATGTGAGATAACATTAAGTGGTCTTGCTATGCAAGAACACTTAATCAATATATATGTGAGATAACATTAAGTGGTCTTGCTATGCAAGAACACTTAATAATAATAATAATATATATGTGAGATAACATTAAGTGGTCTTGCTATGCAAGAACACTTAATAATATATATGTGAGATAACATTAAGTGGTCTTGCTATGCAAGAACACTTAAATATGTTACGATGCATGGGAAGTCCACTTCACACCTTTCAGAAACAAATCATTTACTTTTACAGATATCCAAAGGCCAGAGAGTAATTACCGTATTTATCGGCGTATAACACGCACCTCATTTTAAGAAGAAAATTTCAGAAAAAACAAACAAAAAAAATTAAATTTCAAATAAAGAACTTCTTACCCCCCTTCTTACTCCCCCCTCCCCCCTCTTCTTACCCCCCTCTCCCCCTTTCTTACACCCCCCCTTCTTAACCCCCTCCCCTTAGCGTGGCCGAGCTCTGCTCCTGCAGTCCGCAGTGCCCGGCCGTTTCCTGTACCCGGTGACTGACAGGAAGGTGCACACTGAGCGTGCACCTTCCTATCACTCACGGGTACCAGCGCGGGAACAGGACCGCGGACTCAGAGCAGCTCGGCCACGCTACAGGGGAGGGGAGGTGAGAACCAACTGCAGCCGACAGAGCGCTCAGGCGGCTGCAGTATTTAAAGGGCCGGCGTATAACGCACCCATAATTTGCCCCCTATTTTCAGGGAGAAAAAGTGCGTGTTATACGCCGATAAATACGGTATTTGGTCAAGAACACACATACATGTTACATTTAGTTACTAAGAGCACTTGTTTTGTCTCCATTGACTATTCCATTTAAAAAAAATAAATCACTTTTTGTCCAAAGTCTGAATATTTACTGTGAGAGCATGTCTGGTGATTTTTGCTCCAACATGAATATAAATGTCTGTGTAAATTTAAAATATCCATAGGTTTGCAGGCAATTTTTCTATAATAGAACAGAGAACTACAGATGTGTGGTGAGTACAACAAAAAGGTAATTGTGATTACTTACTCTCTGCAATGCCTGTTGCTCTTCTCGTTGAGACATGATTCTATTTTTTGCAGCTCTAGAAGTGGGTTTGATGGAGTTGCTGGTAAAAGTTGGTCCTGTGGGCCTGCCATCACTTGTCCCTTCTCGTGGCTTCCTTTTCTTCTCTGGCAAACGTTCCGGTGCATTGGCAAGAAGTGCAACCCCTAAAATAAGGGAAAAGTAGAACTTCTGCATTTACCCACTGCAAAACTGCTCTTACATACGTTCCTTGAAGGCTCAACTTTACTCCTATGAAAATTCTTTAGTCATTTATTGCAAGCTACCACAATAACCACATGTTGTACAAGTTTCCAAAAGTTTTCATCTTTTAGTCAGTCTTATCTTGCTTAAATGATAAACAGGATAAAATATATTATTTTAGAGATACTGTTAAATCCTATGATATAATTATTTAACCACTATAAAAACCAGTAAGAGTATATCTAAATCTGTGGACTGCCCTTATATTGTACAAAGATAAAAAACATGAAGCCTTGCAAATGAAGATATAAAAATAAATACAATTAATCTTTAGTTTACTTACCAACATTTGCATGCTTTAAAGCACCCACATCATTAGTTCCATCTCCGCACATTAGTGTAGTATAGCCAAGCTCTTTTAAACTTGTAATAACAAACTCCTGAAATTTTAAAAGGAAAAAATTTGTTTTATACACCTAAAACTAGAAGTATATGAACAGTGACTTTAAAATAAAACTACATGGGAAAAGGGTAGTAGTCAAGATTGATTTTTGTTTTTGTCTGGACTGACTGTGGATTTTATTCACTGCCATTATTGCTGTTAAAAGGACACTATAGTCACCAGAACAACCACAGCTTAATTCTAGTGAGTATAGTCATTCCCTTCAGGCAATTTCATGCAAACACTGCCTTTTTAGAGAAAATTCAGTTTACATTGCACCCTAGGGACACCTCCAGTGGCGGCTACTCAGATGGCCACTGCAGTTGCTTCCTGGGGCAGTGCTGCACAGTAGGCAGCACTGCTGTTCAGTGACTCCACGCTCTGCATGAAGACGCTGAATTTTCCTTAGAGATGCACTGCTTCAATGCATCTCTATGAGGAGATGCAGATTGGCCAGGAAGGAATTTGGCTCTGCCCACATTCCCACCTCCTTGGCTGAGATCAGAATTGACAATCTCAGCTAATCCAATTCTTTTTGATGTCAGCCAAGGAGGCAGATCGGGGTCAGAGCCAGCACTGGCAGAGGGGGGAGTGAGGGGGATGTGCCTGAAAGTGAAAGGTGCAGGTTAGCTGAGAATAGCCAGAAAAAGTAAATAGAGGAGAGTCAATAAGCTAGTTAAAAAAAAAAAAAATAAAAAAAAAAACATTAATTCCTTCATTTCTGGTGTTGAAATGTGTAGACTTTGGCTTTTTAGCACACTACCAAAACTTTTTATAAACACATCTTAATGCCTTATAAAGTTATTTTTCAATATTCTCATTTCACCTTTATGGGATCAATTTATATACATATATATGCAGCTATAAACTTGCATGCCTTGATCTGCTGTTTTCGTTTTTTAACTAGCTTATTGACTTTTCTGTTTATTTACTTTTGCTGGCTATTCTCAGCCAACCTACACCTTTCACTTTCAGGCACGTCTTCTGCTATTTACGATACCCCACTCACCCGCCCCCCCCCTTCTCTAACATCAGTTGTTTTAGTTGTTAAACTATAAGATAGATCAGTATTGCTTCAGACCTGAGGAAGAGAGGAAAACTCTTGAAAGCTTGTCTAGAATGTTAGTCCAATAAAAAAGGTATCATTGCATACTGCAATACTTCAGTATTTTGGCATTAGATATAACTCCCAGGTCCCATCACTCGATGCTCCCAGTCTTTCAATCGCTCCGGTGTAATCTCCAAACAACTGTATATAATCCAAGTAGAGAGCACTCTGGAGTCTTAATAATAATTACAAACTGTTGCTTCATTAGGCAAATACAGTGGTACACAGAAAATAAGTTGACGTTTCAGTCTATTCAGAATTTTATCAAGATTTTTATAGATACTACAAAGTCATACCTTTTGCTTAGGTGCTACTCTAGCAAACACTTGGACATGAGGTATGAGTGCAGAGAGAAGGTCAGGTCTGACCACTTGTAAGTAAGACAAGCCCTCTCCCGTCAGGCACAAGTAGTAGTTGGCAGTAAACGTTTTAGGAGAATCAGGGAATGCAGGCAGAGAGATGGTGTCATCAATGGATTTCCACGTCCAACAAGAGTCTGTGGTATAAAGGAAAAATAAACATGACAGACAAAAAATAAAAAAATAAAAATAAAATATGGAGTGGACAATAAATAGATAAAATTCACAACCAAACTACTGCTGGATAACATATGAAACGGAGTATAAAATCTACATTGTTTGTGTGCTCATATGCTGAGTATAACCAAACATTGAGGGCTAAGATGTGTAAGTCAAGATATTAATGTAAAGAAAATGTTAAAAATGGATTTGCATATTCTACTGCATGACAAAGGTGAAGCGGTTTGCTCTAAAAGTATCACCCTCTCCTATATTGCATCATAATCATGCCGATACTCTAAACAGACTGTAGTATGGGTAACTGACCTTTGTTTTCCTGTGGGGGCTGAAGTATCAATGTATCTTGCTTCTCAATGAAACTGAGTTCTTGGGCCACATGGCAGGCAGTGAGGGGGTTGTCTCCAGTTATCATCACCACCTAGAACACAGCACTGTTTAATGATGCTTTATATTCAGTTTGTGTTACCTTGAAAAATGTTCTATGAGGAGAGTCCCAAACATGTTAGTTTAAGCAAACTGTAAACCACTGCTAAAAAATTACTAGGTTTTCCCTCTTATAGTAGATTGGCACACCATACTTCAGTAAAAGAATCATTGCCACCTCATCTCAAGAAAGTTAATACTAAAACACAAAAACACATGTGGATGTGTAGAACATAGATAAACTAGGTCAGTTTATTGATTAATTTTTTTAAGTGGCTTCTTTGCCTATGCCCACTTTCACCCAAGCTTTTTCTAAAAATAACAACGGCCTTAAAATATGTTTTGCACTGGCAACCCTATCTCTACTTCTGTAGCAAAAGCATAATTTAAATTGAAGTTACAGATCAATTCCACACCTACCCATCTCCCCCCCCAAAGTAAAAACAAAAAACACAAGTGTGTATTACAAGTCACATAATTAAAGGGACACTAAATACATTAACTATTATTCCTTTTTTATTCATTATGGAGCAGTCTCTTAATTTTTTTATATCAGTTTGTAAGGGTTTACCCAGCATTTAAAAAAAAAAAAAAAAAATATTTCAGACATCCCAATGAGGAAGATAAATTCCTAATTATCCATCCAAAATATTTGTATGGCACGAAAGTCCAATGATAAACTCTTAGCAATGGGGTACTGTAGAATTTAACCATATACTGATTTGCCGCAGCTGTTCTGGCATGGATGAACACCTGACAACACTTTCAGAGTCACTAAACTAACACAAATTCCCTACACTTTTTTTTATTTTATTTTTTTAAATCAAAACCACTAACATAAGTTATAGTGCAGGGCTGTTCAACCGGCCCTCCAGATATTGCTGAACTACAACTCCCATGATTTCCTGGCTGTTTCATTGAAATAATCATGAATGTTGTAGTTCAGCAACATCTGAGAGGCTGCAGGTTGGTGAGCCTGCTTTAGCGCTTAAAGAGGTTGGAGAGTCCTTTCAGGGAGGACACACAAAGTAATGCACAGAAAGTGATGAGAGTGCTCCAGAAATTAGTTTCCTACTCGGAGTGAAAATAACTAGTCTCTTACATGGTGGGATGCTTTTTGAATCTCCCGGATGACAGCTTTGGAGTCAGCTTTCAGTGGGCATGAAACTACAATGAATCCTGCAAATCTCAGATCACATTCAAGAGTTTCCCGTTTAACTTCACGGATCTAGAGAGAAAAGGGGGGAATATTTGTTAAAGCACATCCAAGATATATATTTCTCCCCTGCCAAACCCTGCCCTTTTGCAATAAACAGTATCTAGAAGCAGAGGGATATTGTTACTGTCCATTACCTGTTGATGGGAGAGGTGTCCAAGTTCTTTGTATCCTAAAGCAAGAACCCTCGCTCCTTCCCGAGAGATTTCTGTGTGTACTCTGTTATAGTATTCTGGACACTGGGAAAACTGAAATCCACAAAAGAATACAAATAAATAAATTGCTCTGGCAGTCAGGGTTAAAAATGACGGGTTTAGTACTCTCACATGAAAATATAGAAAAATGGATATACATCAATATGCATCGTACAAATTCAGACTTTCTACAGGAAAACACCAGGTTTTAAAAGAATGATTGCATTTGTGTACATAGTACAAAAATAACATTAACCTGATAAGGGAGGGGTGGGGGGGGGTTAACGTAATACTGAAATGTTGCAGTTTTAAACAATTGGTAACTTTAATATGAATTAATTTTCACTCTATAAAGTGTGAAGTGATGATGTTCAATTATGAACATTACATGACAAATATGCTGCCACTGCTGCATTACAGAGCTGGGTGACAGAGATAAAAATAATTTAATACATAAATGAATCAACTGATCATTCACACTTTTACACATTATGTCAAGATAAATGCACAGTGCTTTAGTAAAACAAACAAAAAAACTAAAAAAATTACATGCACACTATACCAAATCCATAAGTAGTTAAAAAGAAAAAATATATATAATTTAAATACCACTACAATGGCCATTTAGTTTAGGCTTATCTGCCAATATCGTAAACAACTTGGGTAAGTCTTATACCAACAATTTGCCTTGCTGCTTTCAGTTTAAATTTAGAAAAAAAAACAAAAAAAACAAAACACTAATCTTTAGATTGTAAGCTCATTAGAGCAGGGCCCGATTATTCACCTACAGTTCCCATACGTCAAACATGCACAAAACTCCCACTAGTCTTGGGCAGAAATATTGGCTATAGTATTCATGAACCAAAATGCAAGAAAACAACTCCCCAAAAAATGTCGTCCGGGCACTATCCAAAGTCTCTGGAATATTAGTGCAAGGCTAATTTCTGTTTGTTTTTTAAATTTGCGTTTGTAGTATAACCTCCTAATTGCAACACAGCTACCAGCCCATGTGTGCCATGTTTAAGGTTAAGAGGTTTGCCTTGACACTAGCAGGCAAGCTAAGGTTTTAATGGTCATTAAAGTTGTGACAAGCCTCCCAAGTCACCGTCTGTACCCTTCTTGGTGACGTCTGTTTTCCTCAAGAGACTATTTTCACTACCCCTGGCTCCCGTCACCTACTCCTCAATGCCAAACCACCGAGAACGCCTTTCACCTTCGCCATACAAGCAGTCCAGAGAACCCCGAGGACTGTGGCGAGACTTACTCTCGAATCCCCTAGAATTCTGTCCCGGTCGCGGCTGATCCTCTCTCCCGGCCATACAGGGAGTGCAGAATTATTAGGCAAGTTGTATTTTTGAGGATTAATTTTATTATTGAACAACAACCATGTTCTCAATGAACCCAAAAAACTCATTAATATCAAAGCTGAATATTTTTGGAAGTAGTTTTTAGTTTGTTTTTAGTTATAGCTATGTTAGGGGGATATCTGTGTGTGCAGGTGACTATTACTGTGCATAATTATTAGGCAACTTAACAAAAAACAAATATATACCCATTTCAATTATTTATTATTACCAGTGAAACCAATATAACATCTCAACATTCACAAATATACATTTCTGGCATTCAAAAACAAAACAAAAACAAATCAGTGACCAATATAGCCACCTTTCTTTGCAAGGACACTCAAAAGCCTGCCATCCATGGATTCTGTCAGTGTTTTGATCTGTTCACCATCAACATTGCGTGCAGCAGCAACCACAGCCTCCCAGACACTGTTTAGAGAGGTGTACTGTTTTCCCTCCTTGTAAATCTCACATTTGATGATGGACCACAGGTTCTCAATGGGGTTCAGATCAGGTGAACAAGGAGGCCATGTCATTAGATTTTCTTCTTTTATACCCTTTCTTGCCAGCCACGCTGTGGAGTACTTGGACGCGTGTGATGGAGCATTGTCCTGCATGAAAATCATGTTTTACTTGAAGGATGCAGACTTCTTCCTGTACCACTGCTTGAAGAAGGTGTCTTCCAGGAACTGGCAGTAGGACTGGGAGTTGAGCTTGACTCCATCCTCAACCCGAAAAAGCCCCACAAGCTCATCTTTGATGATACCAGCCCAAACCAGTACTCCACCTCCACCTTGCTGGCGTCTGAGTCGGACTGGAGCTCTCTGCCCTTCACCAATCCAGCCACGGGCCCATCAAGACTCACTCTCATTTCATCAGTCCATAAAACCTTAGAAAAATCAGTCTTGAGATATTTCTTGGCCCAGTCTTGACGTTTCAGCTTGTGTGTCTTGTTCAGTGGTGGTCGTCTTTCAGCCTTTCTTACCTTGGCCATGTCTCTGAGTATTGCACACCTTGTGCTTTTGGGCACTCCAGTGATGTTGCAGCTCTGAAATATGGCCAAACTGGTGGCAAGTGGCATCGTGGCAGCTATTTTGCGCCTTGGTTTTTCCACACGCTTCTTGCGACCCTGTTGACTATTTTGAATGAAACGCTTGATTGTTCGATGATCACGCTTCAGAAGCTTTGCAATTTTAACAATCACTTCCTGAGAGTTGTGTTGTGCACTCTATATGCGATAGATAATTTGTTTAGCGAGAGACAACTCAATTATCTCTCAGGCACAGAGGCAGCAGGGTGGGATCATTTACTGTTGAATAGGCACCCCACGCTGGGGGTCAGTGTATAAATGGCCGTACTTGTAACAATAAAAGTAGATCTACTCCAAACATTAAGTCTCAATTAATGTATTGGGGGGGGAAGCTATAACAGCTATAAACATCACTACTACTTGGAGGAGCTATAACACTGAGGGAAAAATAATCTCTGGCGGTGATACGCCATAGCAGTGATACAAAAAACCTGACTTGTAACAATCAGTTTTGTATTGTTTATACATTTAGGCTGATGAAAGCTTCACTTTAAGACTAAACTTTTACCTACTAAAAATAAAAAAATAAAAAGTTTTCTGATGAGGATCATGGGATTGAGTAGATGGGGTTAAAGTGAATGCATAAAACATTTTGAATTATCTTTAAACAAATACTATTATCAGGAATAAGTATCTCCTCTTTAAAATGATTCCCTGACAGAGAAATTAGAATTGCTGTCTCTTTGGAGTCACCTACCATAGTTTGTAATGTTTCAGGGGCCCCTTTCACCGTAGCCACACAGCACAGATCGGTGGAGCCTGGCCGTTCGTAGGAAGCCAGTACTGACATTCGCTTAAGAGAACTGGCAAAATGGAAACGCTGGTGGATTTTCAGGCCCTGAGTTTTAATACTTCGAGGGAATACTTTCTCATCTGATAACATAAATAGTTACACATAAATTAATTGTTTGCTAGTAAAAAGTATAATCCATTTAATATTAGAATTTTATCCACTGAACATTCTGGAGCAAGTTATAAAAGTGATGCAGTTCTTAAGCTTTTTTGACTGGAATTTAAGAAGAACATATTGAATACATTTGGTGACCTATTAATGTATAAGATTAGCTCAGTGAACCATTCTTCAATTGTGATTTGGAAAAAAAATAATTTAGCAAAACAGCATTATTAGGTTCTTTATGGTTTCAGAGCAATCTCCACTACACAGAGGAGGCATTGTTGTTTTAAGAACTAAATTTAATGTGAGCACTTGCCTGGGAACTAATGAATCCCATGATTGTTCCAACCAGTCAGTGTCACTGGAAAAGTGCATGCCTGGCAATTTTTACACATGTGTACTTGGAAGATTTCTTCAACTTGTGAAATCCTAACAAGGGGAGAATAGATGGTCTCTGATCAGTGTTATCATGCAGAGCAGACTCCTGTGTGTGTTTTCTCTCATTAGTAGACTGGTCTGAAACGGAGATGGGTAGGTAAAAGGGAGAGAGGAGGGTGAAGATGCTCCCCTACCCAATAATGCAATTTGGCCAGTGTTATAGTATGTTTCTACATGTTTATTACATACTTACTAAAGTTTTTCTTGCTTTATATTGGTTTGTATTTTTGTTTAGAAGTGTTTGCTTGTGGATTAAAAAAAAAATAATTGTCAAATAAAGCATGTCTTTCTAATAAAATTTGTACTTTGTTTCGGATAGGACCTCTGTGCTGTTGGCATAGAACAACAACTACAACTATAGCTTCCACTATGGCTTCCACAAGAGTTATGTAAAGGATTACACAATGAGGTTTATGTATCTACACATTAGACTTCGTATAGTGAAAAAAAAAAAAAAGGTTTGGAGAATGCATGCATTTCTATTGATATTACACCCTCATAAGGTACAAGCAAGCATTGGATAATTATATAGCACATTTACAGTGTATGAAATAATTTCACACATCTACTTGTCAATCGCACCTTTCACAGATGATAAATTTGCTTTACAGACATAAGGCCAGCATTGAATAATCTACCAAAAGAATATATTTTGCTTCCTCACCTTTGGTCAAAGCCCAGTCCACAGCAGTAAGCATTGCCTTCTCCAAAGGATCTCCCACCAGTGTACCATCATCCAACTGTACTAAAGAGTGACATGTGGCCACCACCCTGTGGGTATCGATCGGTATCTCCGAGATAGGCGTAATGTCTTTTCCATCTCTAAACGGGAAAGTATAATTTAGTTCTTATGCACCAACGCAGTTGAATAACAGATAGATAGACGTCCAGTCAATAAGATTGTCAACAGTAAAGAAAGCATTTAAAAAGGTAACCAATATACTTTAACTATTTATGTTGAGTTTTCCCCTTTTGAACCATGACAAAAAATTACTGGCATGTGGGTAACATTTAGTCAATTATCTCAATTTTATTATACCAAAAACCTTTTACTATGTTAAAAGGTCATTAGGCCTGAATTTGTGGGAGGAGTTATGGCCCCTAGTTAAACTCACAGCTCCTACTAACCTCTGCCGTTCAAGCTGATTGACCCCACCCACCTGCACCCATCATATATTACATTATCTCTTGTGGGCCCTCTTTTACTATAGGCCTACTCGTTCGTTGGTTTTCGGCACACCTCAACCAACTATGCATCTTCTTATACATTCCATAACCTATTAAATTCCGAGCACAAATGAATGAATGAGATATCTTATACAAAAAGTGTAAATAAATTCAGCTTCAAGCAAATATTTAAATAATTACAAATATTAAATACCAGCATTGAATATCTGCTGTGTAATATGACCACAACACGGTCGATTATGAAATTCAGTAACATACACACGTGTTGGACTTTGCTACTAGACTTGGCCAAATTGGAATTGTATGCCATCTGATTTACTGATATGCACTGTACAGTTTTGTGTAAAAGTTTTTATTGCCAATTAAACTTGAAATAAAATTAGACTTTGCTAAAAAAAAAAAAAAGTAATTTACGCACCTATGCCGGTGAAAATACAAGCAATTATTTACATAAATGCCTCCTCATTTCAGCGTCACTTAAGAAGACACATGAATTTATTCTACTGAAATTCAGTCAATTAAAGCGCATTTGGGATCATTTTTCCTCCACTATTTTTCACTTAATTTTCCATCATTTCAATTTGGTAGAAGTAGGAGTTTACTGAATAATGTGTATATTGTTTGGAATTATAATAATTTAAAAAAAAAAAAAATGAAAAAAAATAAAGTTATATTTTCACAACAGGGCAGGTAAAAATCTAAACAAAAGTTTTGCAATTTCCAATTAAACAACTGCAAATGTTCCATGGTGATAGAGCTCAAAGCAATATGTGATGTGCATGAAAGCTCCATTACTGATCTGGAACTTCACTGAGCTCCAGAGCGAAGACAGCCGCAGCAAGATACATTTAATGTGTTCTAAATACCTTCAGAGTTTAGTTTGCACTAATAAAATGCATCAATGGTGTCCCAAACAACAGTGGCAGGTCACTAGATACAAATTTCACACATTTTCAGCTGGGAGAAATTAATCATGCACCTTTTAATATATGCTCAAGGGAATCGATCCATTTAGGCTTTATCTGTGAAGATAAGTTAACACATGTAATTCCCAGACTCACTGATTTGATTGTCCCAGCTGAAAAGCACTTGTGCACAAGTCCGCTGGTCAAGAAATTCTGTCCCATGAACAAACCTCTATATAAACAGTGTCCTTAACTAAATTTGAAAAGTTGGAAGATTCGCTTTTTATCAGAAGCTTATTTCCATCTTCTATAAGATGCTAGGTGGTTCCCACAAAGGAGGCAAGCTCACACGACACTCCCTCAAATGCTGCATATGGTATTTCTGAGTTGCACAGAAAAGAAGAACTGAAGTGGTACACTTGCCCCAAAACACAAAATTTGTACTTTAGTTTATACTTTTATGCAGATGGCATTAGGAGATCTACAGGCTAAAGATGAAATAAATATATGACATTTAACACATGCATATGCTATCAATCTGAAAATGGGGACCAACAGATTTAAAAATGTAAATTGTTGAAAATTCAAGACGATAACGTGAATTTAAAATTTTACACCTAAATAGCCAATACTGGAAAAAGTTATGTTCAGCTATAATAGTGGAATATAAAATTAAATTCTTGACAGAGCACACAATGGTGAATAACCAATAAAACAAAAATATACATAATTGTACATTTATTCTGCCACCAGAGAGCTCCAATAATGTTCTTATCCGAGAAGATACTTACTTAAGCCCAGCTACACCACGTACCACCAGGCTGTCACTGGTTAAGGTGCCAGTCTTATCAAAGCAACAGATCTCTACCTTTCCAGCAAAAGGAATACGGAATGGCTCAGTGCAGTAAACATCTGAAATAGAATGAAAGTTTGTTACTTGAAAAAGTATAAAGCACAAAGGTCATATCAGAGCCATTAGAAAATGAACCATAAACTGCAAGTTTACTTGATTTTGTTTTTGAACTGAAAACTATCACACATTCTGCTAAATAGTATTCCACACTGAATCTTGGAGATCATCTCTCTTTTTTTTTTTTTTTTTTAAAGTATTAATCTTACAGTAACTGGGCTCCACAGCATGTCCCACTAATAGAATATAAATGAGGTCTAGTTTCCTAGCTTTCCCATTGAGCTATTCAAGTATTTCAACTACGTGAGCACACACAGCCTACTCAACTGCTGCTCAAGTCAGTCTTTTTTTCGGCTGTGTGAGTTGTGCTATGAAAGCATACAGGTTGTGCACTTTTATATGCAGATTCTGGTGCTGTGAGCATGTCCAGTCACAGCACTGCTCCAATGACCAACAAAAACTGACCCAAGGGGATAATCAAGAGTCCTAACTAGGTTTGCAGAAACCGATATGAATGTCTCCATAATGTAATAAAATCAGAAAAAAAAAAAAAACACTTACACTGTAAATGTAAAAAGAATTGTCTTTTTTTGTTTTTTTTACTGTTGTGAAAATCTCATACGGCACCTGTCTGCTTATGTAATGCGGTCAGAAAAAATATTTAAACAAATAAATCCAACAATTTTACTTACAGAGTTTTGCCAACGCAATCAGGGATGTGTTTACAGCCAATGAAAGTTCAATTGGAAGTTCAGGTGGGACAACAGAGGTCAAGATTAGTGTGCATTCCAAGAATAGCTTGTAACGGTTCCGGCTTAGATCTTTGGTACCTGCAATCAAACAATTCAAGCAGTGGTCACTAGGTGGGCCTACAGACTGATGAAAGGGAGCTAAAGCCAAATGAATATATATAAGTACTTCCACAGTCTAGTATCAGTGTATATTATGCAGCCACTAGATGCTTACAAACAACTGAATATAAAAATTATTAGGCTGTAAGACTGGTAGAAGCAATCGTCCAACTCATAATACTCAGTCAAACAGCAGGAGGCTGAAAATGATTTCTCTAGGAAACTAAAATGCTGCTTAAGTTATAAGAAATGCATTAGCAGTCCAATAGTAAAAGCATTTTTTTTACAAAATGCTGCACTTATAAGCTACTTGTGCAGTGAAACAGTGACTCATGCACCACGATAATGCCAATAAACATAGGCTGTTGTAGTGCATAGGGTGAAACTTTAAGACTTCTAGGTCACCCCCATGGATTACTACCATCACATGTGAGGGAGCCTAAAGAAAAAATTGAATGAAATAAAACAGATGTCTGGGCATACACTGATCCACCAGAGCAGACTTTTATTGAAACGGAGCAGAAATGTTTCAGCTCTACATTAGAACCTCCCTCAAGCTCTAATGGGGCCAATTGTTGCGGCTCTATTCCAAGAAAAGCCTGCTTTGGATTACATGTGTGTTCAGACATCTAATATTTTTGCTATAGTGATGGGCGTTTAGCTACCCCAGTCTGTGTGGGATCACTGGAAGATTCCCATTATGTTTTAAATAGTTACTCGAAGAACCATGACCACTTAAGTAATTTGAAGCAGTCATGATGCCTGCAATCTGTATGTGCAGCAGTTCCCTTTTAAAGGCTACTCATACGATGATAAACAACTCTGCTGCTGGAGGTGTAACTCCACCTTAGGCAGTATTATTGGGGTGTCTAGCTACCTGGAGTACTGGAATCAGTGAGTGGCAGGATTGGCATCTAGCCTCTGCTGGTCTGCAGAAGCCAGATGTTTTAGATCTGCCTTCAGAAAAACACAAACGGTATAATAATTGGAGTGACCCTTTAAGTATGTTCAGTCCTACATCTGATGTTTCTACTAAAGAAACATATGAGAACTTTATTTTAACACTTCCACTACCTTGCACACAAAAGCAAAGTCTATTTAGTGAAATTAAACACAATAGAAAAAAAACAAACAACAACAACTAGAAGGTGTTGAAAAACATGTTAATTACTTGTATCATAATTATGAGCTATATGTTACTGAATAATAAAACATTGTATCTCATTGAGCATGCTTAAGGTCATTAAAACAAAAGAAAAACCAAAAACAATAATCGCTACACTTTGTTTTAATATGTGAAATAAAACTAGTCTGATGGTTGTGGTTCCTAAACTGACCCTTCAAGTCATAATTCTCAAAGAGTCATCTGGTGCCATCCTCTGGGTAAGTATAAAACTCTTTTGGAGTGAGTTGGCCCTTACCTCCCCAGAGCAGCATAAGTTCAACACCTCTTCTTGGGTATATCTAAAGCTGAAAATCTTTCTCAATGGGTCTCTACATGGATAGAATTTATTGGCAGAGATGGGCGCTTACATTCTGGGTCAATCAATTATACGGGTGGTATTAATGTCATTAAGGCAGAAGTAGCATGTTGCATTAATGACATCAGAATAAGAGGTCGGAACTGAAGCGTTTAGGAGAACCAGGTACGTGTCAAAATGTTTGTCAAATGGATTGACTTTTACCCAGGGGATAGCACCAGAAGATTTCTGGCACTACACCCACTATAGCAATTTTTATGGTGCTTAGGCAATGCAATTAAATGGACAGTATCTGGCTCAGTAGCTCGAGAGAAAATACATTTAAAACACTGCAAAATTACCTTCAATCCACACATATGCAGCAGCGGCAATGGCAAACACCAAGAGAAACAAAATGAAGATGAAAGTTTCCAAATTATTGGCAGTCACTCGCTTCACCCCAAAGAGAATTGTACGGAGAAGTTTACCCTATTTAAGAAAATAAAATAAAAAGTTTACATTTACATTGTGAATAGTGAAAGACACAGGTAACACTCCAAGGTTCCTGATGATGCATTTATTAGAGGGTAAGTCTCCTCACAAATAAGTGCAATTTACATTGTGTTCCACAATCACTAATCAATTTGGTTATAGGGTAGGAAGCAGGATGGATAATTCTATGGCCATGAGTATTATACCACATAAAACATAAGCTGTTAACAGTATGGCTATATAGTCATGTGAAGTGTTACCCAGTATTAGTGCAGAGTGACATTCTCACCTGGGAGGTATTAAATCCAGTTCTTAAGACATAGGCCACACATCCATTATCAAGAGCTGGGAGAAAGAAGAGCAAAGAATTCTTTATTCATAGTCTATTACACCAGTTAAGCTCCATAATTCACCTGAACATATACATACGTTTAAGGCCACTTGTTGCCTTCTGAGGGGGAGTGTGCTGTACCACCTTAGTACCACCAAAGATGACATGCAGCTTGGAATCTAAATTTATATCCAACACATGTTCTGGGTCCAAATCCTCAACAGGCTCCTGCACAAAGTTCAATAAAATTGTTAGCTCTTTAACTGTACAAAACAATTCCAGAATACTTATACATTTTATTTTATTTTTACATTTCAAGCAAACATACACAAAGACAAAACATTGATAAGGTTTCTCATTTTTGTCTTTGTGGACTTCCAAATATTTCTTATACAAGTATCTAAATGCAATGTTAATTCTGTCGACTAACAATTTACGTCAGACTTGGTCAACTAAAATTTTGGAGATTTTGTTGACAAACAATTCATATGACTAAAATACAACTAAAACTAAAATGGCTTTTAGTCAAAAGACTAACTAAATCGAAATTTGCGGTCAAAATTAACATTGGCGAGTAATACACTTTGGAGAGGAGAGGAAATGAGCCACATGGGTGACTGGGAAGGAAAATGAGCACATGGGGAGATGAGATGCATGGAGGGGCTGTGGGGGACACAAAGCGACATAGAGGGGCTGGGGGAGAAGGAGACAATGTGCTGGAGAGAAGATGCACACAAATGTTGCTGTGGAGAGAAAGAAACACAGGGGGGCTGGGGAAGAGAGCAACAAAGGGCTGAGGAAGTGGTAAAAGAGACAAGGGAAGGGGCAAAAAGAGACAAATCGGGCCCTGGGAGAGAGACACCCAGAGGGGCTGGGGAAGGGGCAAAAGAGACAGAAGCTTTAACTAAACATATTCAATTTTAAGCGTGTTGACTAAAATCTACTGAAGATTTAGTAGACAAACTAAAATAATCAAGATGACTGAAATACGACAAACTAAAAGGGCTTTATAGTCAAAAGACTATGACTAAAACGAATTTGAAATTTGCTGTCAAAATTAACATTGATCCACCGTTGTATCTTTGAGGTATTTTTATGGACTATTTCATTGCTAGTCAAACTATTATAGGTTTCGTTGTTTGTTTTTACCCAGTAGCACAGATCTAGTAATTTAAGTTTTGTTTTATAGAATCATTGAAGCATTTCACCTTCATCTGTGGCACTGACTCTCCGGTAAGCATAGCTTCATCCACTATACAGCGACCACGAAGCAGGAGAACGTCACATGGAACCAGATTCTCATGAACGGATCGTCCTGAAATCAACACAGTACATTAAAATAGCATTGTTTAATAAACCATCCAAATGATTATATCATTGACTAAAGGACAATAGAATAATCACAGCTCAACTACATATTTGTACCTTGTCATTTGTCTATAAAGAAAGTGTGTAAAAATGCACTAGTTACTGATTCATCACAGTTCTTACCAACCCCTGCCAAGAGATTTCAGTCATGTAAAAGTAAAATGTTACCTATGGATACGATATCTCCTGGGATTATGTCATCACTCGAGATGGGCCTCCACTTTCGATTCCTGTAAACCTAAGAAACTGTATATTAATTTCTGCAAATAAAAGTGCACTGCCTTCCGGTTGGCTTAACAATAAATAAGTATAGCAGAATTCCAGTTGGCTTCAAAATACATAGAACTGAATTCATCCCTTGCATATAACAGCTCAGAAGTCACTTAGAGAAAAGTGCAATTTTAGCAGACAAACACCATAAATACTAACTCTACTATAGCGCGTTGCATAGACTATTGATTTGTGAAGGTGTAGAACCATGCAGTGTAGTTTATACAAAATTAAATGGTTTGAAACACGACAGGCCTGCTTCATCTTTGTCTGTTTATATTCAGCAAACATGTCCTTCTCACCTGGATCATGTACGGCTTGTTCCCCATCTTTCTGATCTCAGACAGGTTCCTCATCTGCTGCTGGACTAAAGAGGCTTCAAATGCTACCAGCATGAACAAGGTGAATACACTGTAATACCAGTACTCATCCAAGCACCATAGCCCCACACAAAACACCTAAAGGAGAGGTGGAGTGTTAAATGCAGGTTTTTTTTTTGGGGGGGGGGGGGTTCTCCCATATTGATCTACAGTACAGATAAAGTTAAAGCCAAAAGCATAAATTTATTACGATTTTCTAAATCTACCAATTCATTCAGAACCAGCAACACATCAAGAGTACATACATTACTTGCCTAGATGCTATCATGAAGGGGCACAACTCAAACTAGTCAATATAGTAAAATGAAAAATACATTGCAACACAAGTTTAGTGTAAGTGCAGAAATGACTAAAATTATGTTTTGGTGGCTTTTCCACATAAATATTAGAAATTTCAGACTCAATGGAAATAAAAATAGGAAAACAGGGATGTCCAAACCTTGGCAGCAGTCCATCAATAGCAAAAGAGCCAAAGCTGGACATGGTCTGGTGTATGATTCTCATGCCTTAAAAGACCGTACAGAAAGGTCTATAGAATGAGATGTTTTGTTAGTTGTGAATATCTTTTTAAATAGGTGTACTTTGTCACCTCTGACCAAGTGACAGGTTATGTAAAAGCAAAGTGACACATTTAGTCTTGCAGTACGGGTTATGAGGCTCCTACTTTCTCATAAAACATTAAAATAAAAAATAAAAATCCTGTATAAAGTTTAACTGTATCCATAAATGCATCTATAACAATCTATGGTGAAATTTAACACATTCAATGGATTCAAATACAAACTAGGTAAGTAATGCTCAAATAAGGGCTTAAAATTTGGATTCCTATGGTTCTAGTCAGGCTTTAAGAGTTACTCACCACTGCAAGCCAAAGCATAAACACCAGCATTTAATTTCTACTCGTTAGGGCAATATTTTCAATATTTTTGTTCTCAGCATGCAGTGCGCAATAAAATGTATTTTATGCACATAACTGACATTGCCAGCTCGGAACAGAGTGTTATGAGCCAGTATGCGCAGTCGTTTAGCTTAAACCACCATGACCACTTCAAATCATTGATGTGGTCGTGGTGGTTGGAGTAACCCTTTAACTTACAAGAAACCTTCAGCTATTCTCCTCACTCTTAATTCCTAAAAAGCTTCATTTGAATCCACATCTTCAAAAGCAGCATGAAAATGAACCTACAGTTTAACTAGCACTCTTTTGATGTCAACTATTTAGCCAACATCTTCTTTCCATTCTCACTTACAGAACTGGCTTTTCCAAAAACAATCTCCATACTTCTGATAAACATATGATCAAATAGGTTCCCCACAATTACAAGGTGAGTACATGATGTTCCTATTTGAGATATATTTGCTCAAGGACATTACGATTCACAGTTTTTGTTGTTGTTTTTTTTACAATTTCAATGAGTGCTAGCATGGCACTGCGTATGAGGCACGGGAGTGTTAATACTGATTTTAATTGTGAATATAGACTGAGCATAAACATCTTTAGAGTGCAAAGCTTGGCTCAAAAAGAAACCATAAAAATGAGAAATAAAATTAGCTTTCCTGATGTATAGCACAATCTTTTCATTACAAAATGCGTGCCATGCTTTAGAAACTAACTGAAACAACCATGTAAAAACAGAATGATTTTGAAATAGTTTTACCTGGAAAACAAAGAATGGTGCAATGGCTCTCTCCTTAAACAGATGTAAGAAATCAGGTACCACCATTTCCGCCCTGAGAAGAGAGTAAAGTTTATGTAAACTGGGAACAAAACCACAGTAAACCAAAAGGAACATTGAATGATTCTATTCTTTCAGTAGAGTGCAGTCTTGCAGCAGATCTTGTTAGATGTATACAATATTGCCTTTTAAAATAAACAAATAAAAGGAGATTATTTATATGCAACTACTATTTGTCTAATGCATCAAAATACAGCATGCTGACAGCTTATTATATTTGTTCTGGTCAGTGTAGTCAGTCCCTGCAGGCTTTGGAGAAAAGGCAGTGTTTACTTTCTAGCCTAAAGGTACCTACATTGGCCAGAATTGGAGAATTCTAAGGAATCTGAAATGAATTTTAAGCTTAAGGCCAAAACGAAAAAAATTCTCTAAGTCAGTTACACTTTCAGTTCAGGTTCTTAGCCTTAAATTTAAAATTCACTTAGAATGCCCAAATACTCTCACTTCAGTTAACACCTCTCAGGGTTATATACTAAAGTGTACTATGAATTGTCTGCGATTTAAGGTACATTTTGAATTTTAGGGCAGAATGGAGTAAAAATTGGATTCTTTGTTAAATTAATTTGCATATGTCCACCCAGAATCCTTTGCTGTAAGGTGCAGAGTTTAGAGGAAGCAAAACATATATTAGTGGAGTGTCTCTAATTTATGTCATATAAATACGCACACACACACACTATTATATGAACCACTCACATATGGTTTGCTTCCTCTAAACTCTGCACCTTAGAAAGACAGAGATCCAGAAGCATAACTGATATATTTTCTTTGTCAGGATACCAGAGAGGAAAATAAATACCTTCTGAGGTCTTTGCACATTTCAGTGACATTGGCACTTTGTGTGCCCACGAGTGCAGGGGAGGAGAGATATACTTCCCTGATGCCGTCCCCCATGGGCACAGATCTCCTTTCTTCAGCTCCTGGCGCTTCATCCATCAGAAGCCCATATCAGTGCTGTGCTCTAACATACGCAAGAGTACAACAGTGATGTCTATAGAGGGTCATGCAACCTCCAAAGATATTGTCTCACAATTAATGAGACAATGCCTTTATCCTCACAGCCATCGCTAACGAAGGGTGGTGTAAGTGACAACACAACACAAGTGTGGCAAACATGCCTATGCCAGGAGCTCCTTGAGGGGGCTGCTAGCTAGCCTCCTGCCCAAGGACTATGGGACATATACCAAGACCTTGTTTGGGAGTTAACCCTGCCCAGCCGCTATTAGTAGCTTTTCCTGAGTGCTCTTGGTTCGGCACTTTCCCTTCATTCGAATAGAACCGAGCACTAAATCTCCGACGGCCGTTCACATGCAGAAACCCACAAATTGTCCTCAGCGGTACTTAGCCGCGAATGTTATGGAACTGTTTTCGGCATGAAGTGACCGTGCGGTTCCTGGACAACATGGTTTGAACAAACGCTTTTTGGAGGGAAAGTGCCTGAGTCTAAGGGGCACAAGCGCTACCTAGAAGCCAGGCGAAGCACCTCGTATTGCGGCCACAGGAGCTCCCGAAAGTTAACCGGCTAAAGCACCAAACGCCCTGGAACTATCTGGGGCATAGGACCATGTGTGCAGCGATCAGAACTTAAACACAGTGGCATTTTCTCTACACTGCGTGGATCTGAGCACCATTTGGAGAACTTGGGTGCTCAGATCAGGGCTATTTGGGGATGTATTTGTGGGGTTATATACTTTTATGATGTTTTGGGGTATTTTTTTGTTTTATATTTTTGTGTTTGCCTCTCTGTTCCTGGGAGATAATTAGCTTACCGGTCTTTAACGCAATTATCTCACAAGCAGAGAGATTTATGAGAGGGGCTTGTCTTGTATTTAATGGACACCCCATGCTGCGGGCTGTGTATAAGAGCAGGCAACTTGGCCATAATAAACAAGTTCTTTTTCACCCTGCACTCAGTCTGGACTAGTGTTTGGGTGGATCAGCTATACTCTCTGCAAGAGAGCTTAATGACTTGAAGTCGTTCCCAGGACCCTATTCCAGGGCAGGAAGCAACGGAGAGACCACAGCCAAGCTTCAGCGTTTAGGGGCTGAAGCACTACCTGTGTCCCAGAGGAGAGCTAGGAAGCGAGCTTGACGAAGATACCCAGTTGGTGTGACAAGCGGTCCGTCACAGCAAATAGCTCAGTCTTTTGTCAAATTTTAACAGAGGAAAAATAAATAAAACAAAGCCACTTGACTGTATTAGAACTTCAATTAAACTACAACACAGCCTTTATGCGCATTTCATAAAGATTTTATCTTTATTGACAGAGTCACTTTAAACTGCCCTAAGGGCTGAGCAGAAGGAGCGTTGATACTGGTTGTGTAAGTCACCCAGCCATGGGCAGCATGTGTTGAAAGGAATCATATGCTGTGCTGCCCACTAAATACATAGACTGGCTACATCAGCATCCAAATCAAAACAATCCCATCCCCCTCTTAATAAATGCAAAGAAACTGATCTTCAGTCTTGCATGTGATACCTTTTGGCACTGTTGACTTATTCCAATACCGGTTTGACTTCTTAGTATAAAACATGACATTTACTGGCGTTAAGATGCACTTACTTATTTGTTCCATATTTTTTCTCAGCAGCTTTAATATCTGCCTCCTCTAGATATCCCTTGGCACTCTGGTAATAAGAAAGGGGTCGCTCTACTGGAAATACAACGGGAAGGAATGCCTTTTTTTCCTCTGCGTCGTACGAATACTTTATCTTCTGGAATTCAAAGAACAGGATCTCCGGACCATCTTCTTGCTGAAAGATTAAAAAAATTAAAAACCTTTCCCATGGAAATTACAACTGAAACTTTGGAGAGTGTCTTCTAAAATCACAAAGATCGGCATGTTTAACTCATTTTAATTTAGGGTAATTTCCATATCTATTCACAGTTCCAATCATATCTCACCAGGCTATATAATGCATTAACCCAACCATTACCACCAAAAAAGAAAATAGATTGCTTTTCACTGCCCAGTTGTAAATGATAGGATGCTAGGTGTAAGTCATACCAGAAATCAGCTTTCAGCACATGAGGAGATAAAATAAAAAAAGTGTATACCATGATCAAGTTCACAATCAATGAGGTATGCAAGCAGTGACATTCAACTCATGACAATAAGTTTGTAAAGCACATAGAGTAAAATTAACATAAATGTAGTTAATTCTCTGAGTTGGCAACACCAGCAATATTGGGGAGACATTGAGGAGGGCGGCAAGGGGAAATACTTACCTCTTACCCATTTCCAGCAAGAAAATTCTGGCCTAAACTTGCAGTTTCCTTGTCAATTCTAAACAATCCCCAGTTTTGTCAACAAACCCGCTTTAAAGAACTCCACTGGGTTCATTTACTATAGCCAAGGTACAGAATATTTACAAAATCAGCTATTTTTGCCTAAAATCCACAGTTTAGATTTAAGTTTAAACCCTTATGCTTCACTGTATTTTATAGTGATGAAAAATCAGCAATCATGTAGATTAACTTTTCTTTTGAAACGCTACATCATACCATGATTACAAGATCAAACAGATAAACCTAAGAATCATCTAATTACTCACATATTGTTGATGCATATTCTATGACTGACTCTACTACAATGCATTAAAAGAATATGTATGTATATCAAAAACCAATGTTTCTAACAATGCTTTCTCTGTATATAGTTAAACAAACAATTTGGACTCAGCCACTCCAAAGCAGTCACAGGTAAGATAATACAGCCACGGATAGCACAAATACCAGTTTTCTTCCTAAAGTTACCACATGTAGCCAAACAAAAAAAGAACGAAGAGTCAATTTCTTTAAAATAAAAAAAACACGACAACTTTTGGAATTCTGATGCGAAAATCAATACAGTTTTACAACTTACGGGTTAGGATGTAGACATTAATTTCAAACATGAGAGTGAGGGGTTGGTTAAAAACAATGTTGGTGCCTGGGGACTAAGGTTACAGAGACATTTTTTGTAAGATTTGACTCACAATTTGAATGCATTATATATAGAGAAAAAATTATTTTTTTAACTGCACATTGGAGGAACGTGAAACAAGTATCTTTAGTGATCGCTCACTCAATCTTTCTAAAACTTAGCTTAACCACTCACGTTATGAAATTGATGGCAAGCATATAAACACATTGTTTCTTTTTCCTTTGCGTGTGTCCTTTAGCGTTTATACTCGCTTTCTCGATCTCTCTGCTTTGCCAGTGGCCATTTCCAATTCTCTGTTTGCACTCATAGTGCTAATTCTCATCTACAGCATTTCTCAAAGGCAGTTTTCCTAACAGTATTGAATAATTTAATGTAAGCTCATTGGAGTAGTGCCCTCAACCCCTCTGTTCCTGTGCGTCCATTTGTCTGGTTACAGTTAAGTGTCTGTTAGTCCACCCATTGTACAGCGCTACGGAATTTTGCTAGTGCTATATAATACAATAATAATAATAATAATAATTTAGAATTCTTATTAGATTGAGGCCGTACATTCCAAATCTTCTGCTTTCCCACACAATCACCCCTTGATCTCCATGTTTCTTGTATTTTATTTTTAATCTTATCTCTGCTAGATTGCAAACTTGTTTGAGCAGAGTCCCTGGTAACCACTTGTTTCTTGTTAATACTGGTAATTGTTTGCTTCTTAGTTGTTTTTGCTAGTCCCTTAACTCAAATTCAATCAACATGACGAATTTAAGCAAAACAGTGAAATTGTGACCACGTTTGTGTTGGAGAATTTTTCCAGATTGGCTAATGTTACCTCAGTTTTTCCATTCAGATTAAATTTGGGGAAAAAAAGGAAAAACACTACTGGTTGAGAGGAGAAGAAGAAGAAATGGTTTGGAGAAAAAACAAAAATATTTATAATCATAAATAAAACAACTGCATAAATAACTAACAGACTTGTGTATATGCCTGGTGATCCACTTAGGGTGTGAGAGGCTGTAGGAAATATTGTAACTTATTTTATACCTCCAGAAATTCCCTGCGTGACCTGTGCAGGTGTTTACCTACCAGAATAGCTGCCATGTCAGAACAAAGTACAGCGAAAGGCAGATGTAAGGTAGCAAAGACAGTTAGTGCTCGCTCTCCCTGATTTGGCAGCACATGGGAAAATCATACTACCACTAGTCAACTTAGTGGGATTGACAGAAATACAATTCACAATTACAAATCTATTTTACATAGAACACAGATCAAATTAACGAGCATCTACTAAAAATTTATTTAAAAAAATTAAAATAAAAAAGTACCCTCACCTTCTCTCGAAGCAGTGGCACTAACTCAGCAGAACCATTGTTTGGAGTGGGTACAACTTTGGCTAAGGCGGCTGTTTTTGTGTTTGGGTGCTGAGGAAAAAAAAAAGTAGTATTTGATTCAACATAATTAATTTTAATACATTCATTATTAACATATTGTCGGCGTTCATTTTTTTAGCTTTCCATTCTCTGATTTATTTTTGCATGCAATTGTCACTACTTTATGAAGAAAAGTAAACAAGTACAGAGATAGGCAATATTTGTTTCCTACTAAGCTGGGAATAAAATGTCTCACAAAGTTCAACCATCACTGAACTAGGACAGGTGCAGTGGCTGGGAATTCCAAATGTCTGCCATGAAAAAATATCACTCTAGACCAATATCATCTCAAGGTCAGCTAAACAAAATACCGTACATATTTCCTAAGACACTGATCAGCATTTCCTGTGCATAAAATTACTTTTTTTTTTATCCCACTAACAGGAAATACAAAAAAAAAAAATATTTAAAATAAATTTACAATCAATAATTAAGTTGGTTTGAGTGCTGTAATAAGACTGAACTTTTCCCTCTCCCCATAATCTTTAAATCATTGACATCTGACCAGAGACCACAACAACTTTCCTGGGATGCCATATGTTACAAACTTCAAGGGTTGAATGACAACACCATTCATCTCTCTATAAATGTACCAGCATTACTAGGTGATAATGAACATTGTTAGCAGTCACATAGCTATGAATAGCCTTTTTTTTTTTTTTTTTTGTTTAACAGCATCTTACAGCACACCACATGTCATACACTGCCTTTACCGTAATGCTTCAGTCTAGCCCTCACCATGCTGACCTGTCAAACCCTTTAGACCTGTCGTTGACCTATCAAACCCTTTAGACCTGTCGTTGACCTATCAAACCCTTTAGACCTGTCGTTGACCTATCAAACCCTTTAGACCTGTCGTTGACCTATCAAACCCTTTAGACCTGTCGTTGACATCAGCTGACTCTCCCACGGGATGATACCCCAGCACACGTTCTCCCACGGGATGGAACCCCCGCACACACACTCTCTCGGGATGGAACCCTCACACACAGTTTCCAGAGCCCTGGCGATGGCGTGTGACGTCAGACCGGGTGGCACTGACAGCTGGGGAGGCTTATTCCACTCACCTTGGTGCACGCGAGGGCGCAGTGCGCGTGCACGGACCACAGGCCGGAGAGCACGGTGAGCGCGTGCACGACCCCGAGCGCCGCCAGGGCCAGGAGCCCGGCCTCCGGGTACTCGGACACCCCGTACACGGACACCCATGCGTACAGCCAGGCCGGGTAGAGGACGGCGAATGGCAGCACCGTGCCGCGCAGGATGTGGGGCCGGCGGCGGTACAGAGTAACCGAGCGGACCAGCTCGTCCTGCGCCGGTAAGCCGACAGCACTCACACCACCCGCCGCCGCCATTACCCCCAGCCCAGACACTTCCGCCAGCGTCAGCGCTGGCCCTGGCAACACGAACTTCCCCTTCCGCTAGACGCTAGACGGGAGCGAGCACTTCCGGGTGCTTCAGTGCCAGACTTCCGCCAGTAACTGGGCGTTACCAGGGCAGGGGGTGCTCAGGCTGTCATTTGTAGTGTTTAAAGGGGACCTTGCCGGCTGGAGGAGGGGTCAATTTATTATATTTCTTTTTATAATTGATAGATATATATAATTATAAATAATATGCTGAGCTTGGCACTCATGCTAATAAACTCACATAAAATTACCAGATTTTACTAATTACATGGCGTAAAGGGGGAGACCTAATGCGCATGCGTGGAAATGGTCGCGCGCATGCATTAGACCTCCCCATAGGAAAACATTATTCAAAGCTTTCCTATGCGGATTACGGCAAAACTGGAGATCCTCTTGCATAGCGTGGGGACGTCCAGCGTCATTTAAAACACTTTTTCGTGTTTTATTACCCGGAAGTCCCTCTAGTGGCTGTCTGATAGAGGAGGACTTAACCCTGCAAGGTAATTATTGCAGTTATAAAAACTACACAGGGTTAAGGGTGATGGGAGTTGGCACCCAGACCACTCCAACTGGCAGATGTGGTCTGGGTACCTGGAGTATCCCGTAAAGTGCCAATGTCTATAGAAATGTACACTTTTTGTAAATGACCTGTGAGTGCACCTTTTTTTTTTTTTTAGGAATATAACTAATGTGGATTTCAACCAAAGGCAGTTCCTGATTTTATTAAAGGACACGAAGGCTCTTATTAGGCTTATCTCTTTCTTTTATTCCTCAGCAGCAAAGAAAGTTACGGTATCTATGATATAGAAAAAACTGTAGAAATACCCCACAGGGTTAACGCATTACATCATCATTATCTCCCAGCCTATGGGAGCGGTTCATCTGTAATTCTGTAATATCCTGTCACGTGACCTCCTCTCTTCCTCTTTCCTGATGGTGCCGAAGCCATTATTTATTAACAACAATCAACAAAACACATAACTAATCAACAGAACATGCTGGTAGTCCCACTTATTGACGACGACTCCCTCCGAGAGAAGATGGATCCTCGGGAACCGATCCTTTCAAACTGTAGAAGGTGTCCGTGTTGCCGGGAGGTGTCTTTAGTATTCAGGCTAGAAAGGACAAAGAGAACAGGTGGTAAAATATGTTCTCGTCAACTATTTTCATATCACCGTAATATTAAACAATTGTCAGTGCATATAATCGGTTTATACCTAAGCAAGTAATTACTATACACCTGTTAAGCTCGTAAAACCAAACCTTAAAGATGTTAATTCGTACACTTATATCCACATTTATTACGTACCTGGGTTGGGATACAAATTTTTCGAGTGTATCCGATCTGGGTGGGCTAATACTCGCCTCCGTGTCCTTAATAAAATCATGACTTTATGTCATGTAATTAGTAAAATCTGATAATTTTATTAAAGGACACGGAGGCTCTTATTAGGCTAGTTCAAAGCTGTGAAATAACCATAGATGAAACATGTTCTGTAGGTCGAAATAATGTTCTCTAAACATAGATTCATGGGACCAATCTGCTGTTCTAAGAAGGTCTTCCAGTCTACAGCCCAAATTGAAAACCTTTGAAGTCATGGCTCCTCTAGTAAAGTGAGCGCCATACATAGATGTATCTATTTTTGCCAAAGTCATGATCCATTTCACCCATCGGCTAGCGTCACTGAAGATACCAGGTGATGAGGCATTTTGGTAGCCAAAAACAACTTCTGATGTCTCGGACTCCTGAATCCCAGGGTTTCTTTTTTCGTATTCTTGTAGACAAGCCACCGGGCAGCGATTAACATTATGTGGAAATGCAGGATAGGAAACCGAGGTAATCAATGATTTCGTACGTATGGAAATGTTGAATAACACTACGGTAGGGGTAAAGGAGCGTGCCTCTATGTTCAATGCTCGAACATCTGAAACCCTTTTGCAAGATATCAGGCAGAGAAGCATGGCTAGTTTTGCTGATAGCTGTTTAAGCGTGAGTCCCTCGTTCCGTGGCCAGGATTCCAATAAACGGAGTACCAGGTTTACATCCCACAACGACGTGTATCGAGGCTAGGGTGGTCAAGCAAGTTTTATCCCTCGTAGGAGTCGGCACACCAGCAGCTGTTGACCCGCCGGAGTGCCATCTAGACCCCGATGGCCAGCAGAGATCGCTGATCTATAGACGTTAATGGTACGGTAAGCCAACCCTTGGTTATAAAGATTGGTAAGGAAACGTAACCGGTAACTCACAGGAGCACGTATGGGGTCCACCTGTTGTTCCATTCACCAACTAATCCATCCGTTCCAGGCATAGTGATAGGATCGTCTTGTTCCAGGTGCCCATGCTCCTGCCAGTAGGTCGAGAGTGTCTTGTGGAACATCTGGTGTGACCCAGGGTCCCCGGAAAGGAGCCACGTTGAGAGTCTGAGGTTCCCCTGAATCAGAAGGGGGTGTGGATTGCCCTCTGGATCCCCAGTAAAAGGTGTGAGACATCGGGTAGTAATCTTGGAAGGTCGATGGACATCTCCATGAGGGATGGGAACCAAGGTTGAGCAGTTCGGAATGGAGTTATGAGGACCAACGATATCTGAGCGCGTCTGAGATGTACTAGTGTCCACGCCATGAGGGCGAAAGGAGGAAAAATGCATACAATCGACTTCTCTGCCATTGTCAGAGGAAGGCATCCTCTGCTAGGGTGTCTGGGTCTGGTCTCCAGCTGAAGAAGGTTGGTAATTGGGAGTTTAAATGAGATGCAAAAAGGTCGATGGACATCGGGCCCCAGAGCGTTTGAAGTTGTAGGAATGTTTCGCGGTCCAGTCACCAATCGCTGGTGTCTCGCAGATGTCTGGAGTTCCAGTCTGCTACTATATTGGATAGGCCGGGAATTTATTCCGCTTGGACTGAAATATTGCAATCCAGGCAGTATTGCCAAAACTCCTTGGACAGATCCGTCAGGATCCTTGATTTCGTGCCACCGAGGTGGTTGATGTAGCGTACTGCCGATATATTGTCCATGCAATCGAGCAGTTGGTCGCGGCCCCGAGGAGGCTCTTCAGGGCAAAGGAACCTGCTAGGAGTTCCAAACCCTTGGTGTGGAGCTCCTTTTCCTGTGAGGACCATTTTCCACCTGTAGAGGTGGGACCCCAACGAGCACCCCATCCGAGTCTGCTCGCGTTGGATTCTATGCTGAGATCCGGGGTGGTTCCGAAGATTGCCCTGCCGTTCCATGCTTCCATGTGTTGAAGCCACCATGCGAGTTCCTCTTTTGCTGCGCAGTCTAGAGGTACAGAATCTGAGTAAGATTGACTCAAGCATAGGTGTGTGGCCTTGAGTTGTTGGAGGGGTCCTGGGAAAATCTTTGTCTGGAGGCAGAGAGAAGGCCAATTATCCTCGCTAGTTGTCGAAGGGTAAGACCGGCCGTGCCAATGTCCGCTGGATTCCTTCATGATGTGATTTACCTTTGTGGTAGGTAAACTGTGCCTTCTGTGAATTGCATCTATATTTAACCCCAAACTCTATCAAGTGGGAAGGCTGCAAGATTGACCTGTCCCAGTTGATTAGGAAGCCCAGGTTTTGAAGAAGGGCCAGCGCCCAGGAGAGATGTTGACTAAAGCGTTGAGAGGTCGTAGGTTGATTACTGGTCTCATACCCCCACCTTTCTTGGGTACCAAGAAGATGTTGCTTAGGAAGCCAGAGGTGGTAGCTGAGTCCTTGTATATTGCACCTTTCTCTTCTGCTACTAGACTTTTGTCTCCTGGGGAAAACACAATCCGATGTGCTAATGAGAATTGGATCGGTTGTTGTACGAATTTGATTTGGTAGCCTAGAACGGTCTCTAGGACCCAGACATCGTAAGCTAGTTTGCGCCATGCATCGAGAAAATGAGACAATCTGCTCCCCTCGTATGATAGGGGAAGGATGTGTAATGGAAAATGACTCACCATAAGGCCGACAGCCCTAGGAGGATCCCCTGTTTCTGCGTGGGTGCCACGACCTGCCCCTGGTTGGGAAGAATGGTGACGGTACTCTGGGTTCTGGAGGGTGGAATCTCATTGTGGTGGAGCCTCGGTAGTCCCGCCGTCTGCCGGCCCCACCGAAACCTTCTGTGAGAACACTCGCTTCATACTATTCTGTGCCTTGTCTAGTGCCATAAACGTTTTAACATATTTGCCCAGAGTTTTAATGAAATCGTCTCCAAATAGGAGACCTTTTGCCTGTGTGCCAGGCTCAGATATTGCCAGGTTTATTAGTTTAGGCTCAATTTTTTATCAATATGGCTTTACGCCGTTCAGTGGCCAAAGCAGTGTTAGTGTTTCCAATCAGCCAAATGCCTCTCTGGATCCATCCCCTGACGGCCAATAGATTTATTGGTGTGCCCTCGACTATGTCGAAAGTCTTGGCTATAGGCCCGAGTATGTCCAGGACCTTGTCCTGACAATGTCTTAGAGAATAGTCCAGCCTCTTTTTGGCCTTCCATCCCGGTTTACCAAGAAAAACTGTGCGGTCTTGGGATCCACTTCGAGGGTCACGCCGGCCATGTCTGGAACCATGTAGGGCGTGGGCATTCCGCCCTCAGTTTACTCCTCTTGGCCTTATCAAGGGTTTTCCTCACCCTGGTTGCTATAAAAATGGCCACATGGGTCATGGGGTACCAGTCAGCTGAGCGAGGATTATGCAGGGCATCAGGGTCAAAAAGGGGTTTCCCTTGGGGGTCTAAGATGGTGGATTTGTCCGCCTTCTGCTCAGCTTCTACAGCTGGCGGTGTAGTCTCGCTGCGTTCGGGGGAAGAGTCCTCCGAATAAACTGGGTCGATGGCATCGGACCCGTCTGAAACCTCCTCTGAGTCCGAATCAGAGTCGGACAAATCAGGTAGGGCTTTTGCCCTCTTCCAAGTCCGCACCGCTTTTGCCCGGTGGGGGGCTCTTTTACGTGGGAGCACCACGTCCTCAGTCTCAACAGGGCGCAGCCTGTCCGTCATACTAGTTTTGGAGGCAGTACTTATTAAATGATGCAATTTACTCGTAGCCTTGCGGCCGCTAGGGACCATCGGCTTGCTATCAGAGGCCATAGATGCCTGATGCCATGATAGCGGAGGAGATAGAGTGGGACAAGGTGTTCGACATCACTCCCATGGCATTGTAAATGGCCTGTGTAACAGACTTGCTCATGGTCGCATCCAGGGGCAAGTGGAAACTCCTCTGAGTTCATGTGGTCCTGGGATGCCTCCTTTACACCACCAGGGGCAGTAGTGCCTGCGGACACAACAGTTGTGCAGTATCTGCTGGGCTTATTAGAGGTGTTAGGAGCAGTAGCCTGTCTGTCAGAAAGGGATTGCATAGTGGTTAGGTACTGTGTATATACAAGGACAATACCAGATGAAATATGGCACAGAGGAACTGTGGCACAAGTCAGTATGGCATCACTTAATGTGGTATATATATCAATATGGCACACTTTAATATGGCCTAAATCAAAGTGGTACAAGGTACTAAGGCACAGAGCAAGAAGGCACAAATAATATGGCAGTTTACAGAGTGTTCCTTCAGGAATGGCTCCTGGGGAACACTGGTAGACTGCCTGACACCCCAACCAGCCCTTTAGCCCGCGCCCCTCTCTGAACGAGCCGCACGAGCGGCGGGAGAAAAACGCAGCAAATTTGCCAACCACAAGATGGCTGCCGCGATGCGCAGGAGCGAACCGCGCATGCGCGGGTGGGCCGGGTAACAGCTTTTATGACCGCGATTCGGCGGGCGGCTGGGGGCTCGGTCTGAGACGGGGAGATATGGAGGGGGGGGGAACCTCGGAGCCCGAAGGCGTCCCCCAAGTGGTGGAAAAAAAAAAAAAGAAAAAACGGGTTATAAACAACCCAACCGGCAGTGCAAGGGGGGAGGCTTGCCCCAGGGGAGGGACAAGGACCCTGCACTGAACTATGAAGCACCACAGTACAAATACATAATACAGGCAAACAATGTACTAGGCAAGAATAATAGTATTAACCAAAGGTAGTAATAACAACAGAAAAACCAATAAAATACTAATAAAACAGTAAATTACAATACAATTTTTAAGAGCAGAAAAATGATGAGGTACTTAGCTAAGGCAGCAGCAAAGAAAGAGGAAGAGAGGAGGTCACGTGACAGGATATTACAGATGGACTACTCCCATAGGCTGGGAGATAATGATGATGTAATGCGTTAACCCTGTGGGGTATTTCTACAGTTTTTTCTATTTCATAGATACCTTAACTTTCTTTGTTGCTGAGGAATAAAAGAAAGAGATAAGCCTAATAAGAGTCTCTGTATCCTTTAATAAAATCAGGAACTGCCTGGGTGAAATCCACATTAGTTATATTCCTACCAAAAAAAAAAAAAGGTGCACTCACAGGTCATTTACAAAAAGTGTACATTTCTATAGACATTGGCACTTTAAGGGATACTCCAGGCACCCAGACCACATCTGCCCGTTGGAGTGGTCTGGGTGCCAACTCCCGTCACCCTTAACTCTGTGTAGTTTTTATAACTGCAATAATTACCTTGCAGGGTTAAGTCCTCCTCTATCAGACAGCCACTAGAGGGACTTCCGGGTTCTTAAAACACGAAAAAGTGTTTTAAATGACACTGGAGTCCTCACGCTATGCAAGAGGACCTCCAGCTTTGCCGTAATCTGCATAGGAAAGCTTTGAATAATGTTTTCCTATGGGGAGGTCTAATGCGTGTGCGCGACCATTTCCAAGCATGCGCATTAGATCTCCCCCACCGGCTGATGTCGGCGGGGGAGAAGCGTGGGCGGAGCCTGACCCAGCGCCAAGGGACATCGGTGCTAGATTCAGGTAAGTCACTAAAGGGGTTTTATCCCCTTCTGCAATGTGGGAAGGGTTTTTTCCTAGCACTGGAGAGTCCCTTTAAATCGATTAACCTTGTTACACCCATAGGCTGTCAATCAGACAACCTCTCCTGTTACTTCCTGGTTGTTTAGCTACACTCAAAAAGGCAGGAAATTGACTAGACCACGTGCCTTGCTAAGACTTCTCATTGAGTTGTGTGACGGAGCTCCCATACTCCCACCAATTTTCCCTGCCAAGTCTGCTTTCTCGCTGCCACAGGGGACTCTGAAATGCTTCACCCCCAGTTGCTGAAGCATGACTTAGGTCTCTCCAGCTTTTCCCCCGACAAGGCTGCAGGTAGCGTCCCCTCTGCAGTTCTCCTTCTCAGGTAGGTATCCACACCTCTGCCTGCATTGTTACTGGGATCCCTGAGCAAAGCATGACAGAACACACAGTTCCAAAATAATCTAGCTGTAAGGACATGAAGGGGTGCTGCCCTGCAACAGCACTGTCCCTTTAAATGTGGGAACCAACTTAGCAGAGAAATAATGCAAGGACACTATGAATGGAGCAATCAAGAAAATATGTATTAAAGAAAACCAAAGGATATAATATACAAAAACAAAATATGTACAATACCACAAATATATACACACACACACACGAAACCAATATAAATACAAATAGAGCAGGCAGAGTACACGTGATAGTCCTTAGGGCTTAGGCAGGATCGTGCAGCCACCACAGAATATAAGTGGGGCACGGATCCTAAGCCACCAAGCACTAAATAAAAAACACCAAAGAGCAAAGCCCAAAGCAGGTCACACGTAAATAAGGCAGCAAGGTCAGAATCACTGGAAATTAAGTATAGGCAGGAACACAGCAAGCGAACACTGGAACGGGACGCACAGGACACAGGACCAGGCAGAGACGAGAACACAGGAACATAAGGACATCGGAACAGGATCAGGATCAGGATACACGACACAGGAGCAAGGAGTCAGAATCACGGGAACCAGGAAACAGCAGGTACAGGATGAAGGATAGTGATCTGACGGAGTGAGGGGAGAAACCAGAATATATAGGTGCTAAACAAGGGCCAGGTGAAGTGCTTAACGAAAAGAAATGAGAAACAGTGCCAAACAGAACCAGTGGTGAGTGTGAGTACTGCACAAGGGCATATTAACTAAGTAGTGTCGTGACACTAGCACACTCAGCTTTATTGAACATAGCACATCAATTTATACCCCACAGCCTTATTTACATACAAAAGGGTTACAGTGGTACACAGTTTCCCCTCCATCATAACCCCCTCCCAAACAACACAGTGAATCCAAGTCAGCCAATAGCAGTATGGACTTGGGATAGTAACCAGGCCCCGCCGCGGGCACAATAAATCCGCGGAGGGGGAACTAATTCAGTGCTGTGCCCCGGATAACAAGGATACAAATAACAATGGGGAGGGAGCGATGAAAAACTTCAGGAGCCAGCTGGAATCACAAGAAGGGACAGGAAACGCAGGAGCCTCTTAAAAGGTGAGGGGAGGCCCCTGCGACCATGCTGCAACATTTCCTGCCTAAACTCCAATTCCAGTAGAAGCCCTATTAATTTCGTTTCAGCCCCACTAGGGGGCCTTCCACTCTCATAATGGGTAATCTCCTATGTCCCTTTAGCTAGGGTGCTAAGGGCTAGGGAGGGCTAGCGGAGCATCCGTTGCATCCGCCCAAGCAGAGGCATAAGGACAGCAAGGGAGTATCTTCGGCATGGCCATCTTGAATGCATACTGCAGGCGGGCGCCCCAGCTGGGCCACTACCCAAAAGAGGGTAACGCCCGGCCTCCTTGCCGCCGTCACTCCCGCCCTCTCTTTCTGCACCATGCCCTCAAGCCACAAGAGATACAATCTCTTGCCGCCAACCAACAGTCCTTATAATTTTTTTTTTTTTTATAAGCCCGGGTCACCAGAGCCTCATGCAAGTCAGCCAGAAAAAGGTCCAGACCAACAGCGCTGGTGTGGACCCCATCAGGCCTAAAAAGCTCCACCTGGTCGGCATAAATGCCTGGATGCCTAATGATGAACCCATGCAACTCAGCAACAGCCTGACCTACCAGCCTATTAAGTTTCTTCCAAGCCCTGTAAGCGGCAGCTGGAGAATAAAACCTGCTCCAGTGAAGCCTGGGCAACACATTGGACCACCCGATACTCACACTAGGTAACCAAGCAGAAAGCCAGCGGAGATTCGAGCGGATAACCCGAGCCAGGTCTAGCACTGAAACAGACCACAAATCGTTTCCCCCGAGATGGAGCACCAGGATGTGCGGACTCCCCCATCGAGCGTTGTCCGAACCAGCGGACACACACCCGAAAGGGTTGGACCCCCAGAGCCTGGAATAGCGACGAGGAGAGTGCGTGCAATGTAGCACAGTGGATGAAGGAGTTACCCACTAGCCAAACATGCGTGGGGATAGCAGCTTCTAAAAGGAAAGCAGAGTGAATAAATGGATACAAAACAAGCAACACCTCAACTTACGCAGCAGATAGTGGTCAAAACTTTACCCTACTGGCAAGTTGGCATCTCTTCATGAATACAGGCGCTATTTTGTCAACTTGGGTGCTCCGATCGGGGGATGTATAATGTGTGGGAGTTCCTGTATGTTTTTATTATGTTTTTGGAGTGTTTCTGTGTTGTGCTCTCTGTATCTGCGAGATAATTAGTTTAGTGAGCAGCAACTCAATTATCTCCCAGACACAGAGGTACCAGGGTGGGATCATTGTACTGTGAGTAGAGACCCCATGCTGGGGGCCCATGTATAAATGACCGTATTAAACCTAATAAAACCAGATCTAGTCCCAGCATTACGCCTCGACTAATGTATGGGAGGAAAGCTATACATACTATCATCACTACTTACTCGGGAAAGAGCTATAATACTACGGGGAGGGGAATACTTGGCGGCGATACTAGGATGGTCCACCAAAGATGATAAGCAACTGAAAAGTGGGGAAGCATTTGTTAAATAGTTAATTATGCTTTCATTAAGTATGGCCGAGATGCATAGTATTGCATTCACAGAGGTAAATTAATATTAGGGTCAACATCCAACAAGGATTGTACATAACAATAACAAAAACATGAAAAAGTTCAGATCAAAACACAGTTCACATGTATACTTAGCGACTGAGTATATTTAGTGACTGACTTTTATAAAAGTATAAATGTGGCAGCAGTACAGAGTAAATAATGAAATATAAATAGTAGAAACTGTGAAACTGAGAGAACGTGTCTCTGCTATAGTTGTGGAAGACTGAGGGAGGCATCGGCGGAACTACTGATGGTTGCTCCAGGGCCCATATGCAGGGGGTGCTCATCGGGTGGCCGATGCCGTTGGGCACGTGTTATCAGAAGCCTAAATGTGTGCTGCGGCGCTTTAACAGTGCGGTCGAGTTACTTTAATGGTGGCAGTGGTGTGAGGAACTCAGTCGGCCACTTCCTCCCAGATAACAGAACGAACCTCTGGGGAGGGAAAGAGGAGAAGTCAGAGAAGATAGATGTGTCTGTGTATCTGTATCTGTATGTGTGTCAGTGGCGGAGCCTACAAATTCACAAGGTCCAGAGGCCCATGGTCTGCTGTTTTATATTGTGTTGTTGTGAGTGCCTGTATGTTTCCTTATATGATTAAGTTATATGTATTCAATTGAATGTATTGATTGTCCAGGTTGTATGTACCTTTCCACCTCCCCCTTTTTACTGTATTGTTGGTTTCCCAAACCAGTTCAAACTGGCTGCCCTGTCACTCCTTTAAATATCTCACGTTGTTCTCCCCTTGACTAAGTGTTGTCTACTGCTTGGTAAGGTGGGCTATAATCACTGAAGTGGCATTTATTCCAACCTGAAGGGACTTCAGCAGAGATTCTCAACCGGAGTACTGGAGCTCCACTACAGTGTAATTGTGTGTTTGTGTATCTGCACGTCTGTCTATCTGCATGTATGTCGTTGATTGAATCTGTGTATCTGCATGTCAATGTTTGTAAGGATGGGCAGATGGTAGATCACCAGCTGGCAAAGCATTGTAGGAGTTTCACGACAGATGAGATATACCTTTTGGCCACCCTTGTGAAAGGGGGAATGGTGAAAAAAATTATTTCACCAGGACCCTCTCTATATTAGTTCCGCCACTGGATGGAGGTATTGGGGACAGAGGGAAAGGCAAGAAAATTATATCAGGATGGAGTTAATAGAAAGTGTTATATGAAGACGTGAAATGGATACATTAATTGAGAGAGCTAGTTTAATTCTCCCATACAGACATTTTCACATTCTGGTGGCGGCTGGGTGATATTGTATTTGATAAAGTGGAAGTGTAAATTACGTATAATCCATGTGGCCATGTGGCCGAAGTGTTGGCAGTTTCCAGGCGTCCGGGGAAGGCCCTTGGTTTCTATCAAACCATTCCTAAACAGTTTGATATCAAACAGAAGGACAGGGCCAGGGACTCTAGGCAATATAGCCACTACAAAGAGCTGTACTGGTTATGTTATGTCAATTTAACCCCTTAAGGACACATGACATGTGTGACATGTCATGATTCCCTTTTATTCCAGAAGTTTGGTCCTTAAGGGGTTAAACTGTGAGAATTAAGAATTTCCAAAGGGACTATTATTGCATTCTCCACATCTGAGAAGTATTGAAATAGAATCTTTAATGTAGTATGGGAAAAAGTTAATATTGTGAGTCATTTTAAGGTCATGTCATTAAGAAAGTCCAATGTATGCCAAAAGTATATAGTGAATTACTATTAGCTACTAATTAATTAAGCGCTTAGTAATATTATTTAGTAAAGAAACCTCAAAGATTGTGGATATTAAAATGACTGCAAAAAGGCACCTTGAACAATAGGGAAATATTAACGTTACTATAATAAAGGACATCCAAGGTCAAACAAAGTGCTCTTGATTACAATAAGGCATTCCTCTGGACAGGGGATATCGTAGCCATAACAATAAAGAGACTAGGAATGTTATGACAAAGATAATATTACTATAATTACAACAAGGGATAACGTAACAAATGGCAATGTCACCGGAAATAAGCCACTCGGGATGTTATGGTAATTTCAAAAGATGCACTCTTGAAGTAAAACTAAAACAGATTGTGAACTATTACAGTGATTGCAAAAAAATTGCAACACAGTTCAAGATGGTCATTACAATGGGGCATCTGAGAGGTTGAAGAGTATAAATGTACAATAATTCACCTTAGAGATATGGGAAATAACTGCTGGTGCAATATGGCACCTTGCAGTTATATTATAAATATAATTACTGTAACACAAATCTGAGATTAGGGAATTTTTGATGCAACAGGGCATCTCAATAGTGAAGATAACAAAGTATAAATACAATTACCATAAAGCATGTATGACTTAAGGGGATATGTCAATGTAATTAAGCATCTCAATGTTTGGCAAATATAATTACTGTAGGTGTGTGCAGTACATTATGGTGTGCACCGAGAGACAAATATAATCTAAACTTTACTTATATAAAAACTGTGGTACACAATACTTGTTTTTTTTTTCTTTTCGTATTAATGACAAACCGAGGTGTATACCAAGATAGTCATAATTCTCTTTAAAACCATGATGAGCTAAATCAAACTCATGCAAAAAATAAAAGCCATAAAGCTACGTTAGGCAACCTTCCTCACTCCAGATGTTTTGGACAACATCTCTCCTAATGCATTGCCAGTGTTCGATCAGAAATCTATATCTATCGGATTTCTATACCTACGTCACTTTGGTCAGCTGTGCGCATATGCTCTAGCAGGCCTCGGGGTATGGAATTCTGGCTGAGGTGCCCTGCACATGCCCGCCACCTCCAATGACTTGATCAGCTGGGCCTCTAATCTGAAGTGTGTACCATTCATGCGCGCGGCACATCCTTCGGATATAGAGATCTGATGGGTGTACTTGCGCGCAGCATATCTATCAGATATAGCAAACTGATATAGAAATCGGTAAATCTATTAGATTTCTATACCACAGCTTTCACTGTGTAGTAACATACACTGTATAGGCTAATACTGGGAGATGCAGGGTTAATGTGGGTGACACACAGGGATGGGGGATTAATAGGGGTGATACACATGGAATGGGAGTGATACACATGGGATGGGAGGTTAATGGGGGTGATACACAGAGATGGGGGTGATACACATGGGATGGGAGTTTAATGTAGGTGTTACACAGGGATTGAGGTGATACACAGGGGATGGGGGATTAATAGGCGTGATAAACAGGAATGGGGGTGATACATATGGGATGGGGCTTAATGGGGGTGACACACGGGATGAGGGGGTTAATGGAGGTGACACGCAGGGATGGGGGTGATACACATGGGATGGGGGGTATCCTAACCTCTAATAATGAATGTCACAGTCTGTATATTAACCTCTAATAATTAATATCACAGTGTTAATGGGGGTGATACACAGAGATGGAGGCGATACACGGCGATACACATGGGATGGGAGATTAATGTGGGTGATACATAGGGATTGGGGTGATACACATGGGATGGGGGGATTTAATAGGTGTGATACACAGGAATAGGGGTGATACATATGGGATGGGGGTATCCTAACCTCTAATAATGTCACAGTCTGTATCTTAACCTCTAATAATTAATATCACAGTGTTAATGGGGGTGGCACACAGGGAATGAGGAGATTATGGGAGGGTGACACACAGAGAACAACAGGATTATGGGGAGTGACACACAGGGGATGGTGGTTGTGGCGGAACAGACCTCGCCACGTGTTCTTGGAGGGGGCTGCTTGCCCGCCTCCTACCTTCTGACTATGGCCCTGGGATATATGGCATTTAAAAACACTATTTGTGCCCTGTGACAAAACTGGAGATTGTGCACAAATATGACTATTGTCCATATTTGTTATGATTCCCTTCGTTTGTTGCACTGTTCCCCATGTGTTTCATCTGTTGGTCCGGCTGGATAGACTACCAGACAAACCGTGGGGTTACTGGGTGGCCACCATTTCACGTATCAGAGGCACATGGTGAGAACAATGGATGAAGCACATGGTGAGAACAATGGATGGCAGCCATTTTAACTCACAGACACTGTTTGGACGTTTCTACACGGTGCAATCTCGACGATATTTGGCACACAAAGACATCGTGCAGTAGTTTTAAACTATACAACAGGCGACACATTATATAGTAATTATTTTTCATATAGCCTGTATATGTTCTGCGGAATCTGCATTAAATTGTATCTTCCAAACTACTGAACGGATCTGGGTGAATTTTGGATATGTGGTTCACCCAGATCCCCCGTTTCCTGAGGGGTTATTGCATGTTTTGGGCTCCCTGTGATATATTTTATAATACTGTATTTCTCTGCCTGTGATAATTATATTAACCATTGTGTTCAGTAATCATATCACAGGCAGAGGGGAGGATTTTGTGTGGGAGTGTCTGTGTGTATTGTACGGATTGATTGGTTGTATTTCAAAACCCTGTGGGCAGTACTATGTTTGTGGATTGTGAATAAAAGAGGCTGTATGTGCCAGTACAGTCAGTTCTACTTCACCCTCAATTTGGAGTCCTGTCTCTTATTGGGGGAATCTGCTACAAGGGATTGCTATGCTCTGCATATTCCCTTGCTATAATCACTCGCATATTCCCTTGCTATAATCACTCCTGAGGTCTTGTAAGAGCTTGTTCCTGCTTCACTCTCTTGGAGGAGAGGTTCACCCACTGGAACCTGGAGCCTTGTCGTAGGTCCACGGTGGGTAGGAGACGGAGGGACCCCAACCAAGCTGCGGCGGTTTGTGGAGTCTACGGTGGTTGTGGTGTCTGGCGGAGCACTTGGAGCCCTCTGTAAGCACTAGGAGCATCCTTCAACGGAGGTACCCAGGTGATCCGTTACAGGGGTTAATAAGGTGATACACAGAGGATGGGGAGGTTAATGGGGGAGACAGACAGAGGATGTGGGGTTGTGGAGTGACAGTCAGGGGATCCCCTATCCCCTGTATGTCACCATCATTAACCCTCCCATCCCCTGTGCATCACCCCCCATTAACTATCCCCTGTGTGTCACCGTCATTAACCCCCCAATCCCCAGTGTGTCACACCATTAACCCCCTATCCCCAGTGTGTCACACCATTAACCCCCATCCCCTGTGTGTCACCCCCCCATAGACCCCATTAACCCCCCATCCCCTGTGTATCACCCCCAATAATCCCCAATCCCATGTGTATCACCCCCATTAACCCCCATCCCATGTGTATTACCCCATCCCTGTGTATCACCCCATAAACCCCCCACCCCATGTGTATCACCCCTATTAACTCCCTGTGTGTCACCCTTATTAACCCTGCATCTCCCTTATTTAACACCACATTAGCCTACACTGTGAATGTTACTACACAGTGAAAGCTGTGGTATAGAATTCTGATAGATGTACCATGCGCATGCGCTGTACACCTGTCAGATTTCTATATTTGAAGGAGTACACCCATCAGATTTGTATATCAGTTTCCTATATCTGAAGGATATGCTGTGCGCATGCGCAGTACACGCGTCAGATTAGAGGCCCAGCTGATCATCGTCATCGGATCTATCAGAATTCTATATCTGAAGCCTGCTAGATCTTGGGTCACTTCCAGTACAGAAATCTGATAGATATAGATTTCTGATAGAACACCAGCACTTTGGCTGTAAGAGCATTTTGGGAGATGTAGTCAATAACATCTGGTGTGCCAAAGGACAGTATAAATGTGGGTATGTAGTTATCAATGAATTAATGCCATGTTAGGCGCAAAGTGCTAGGTGGCTCTTTTTTATCTGTTTTACATTTAGGTTTTATGCTCTCTCACACTCTGTAGTATTGGATGGAGGTTTGAATATTGTTTTGGGGCAAATCAATTACTATGAGCTTAATGATTCAAGTTGGTTGTCAGCTGACTGTTTAGTTAATGCACCATAATGCCATTGCAATAAGGCTCTTCAGAAACGGAATGTTAATGATATTAAAAAAAAAAAAATGCTTCTTGGAAATTAAATTTTATTAACAAACTAAAGATTCCCAGAGATAGGTGTCTAAATATGCAATTACTGTAAGACATTTCTGGTGTCTGGAGTGTTACTGTAGTTATTATCAGGCACCCCAAGATCTGAGATCATGGTTAACACACAATACAACTTTTAAGACAGCAAGCAACATTTTGTATTGCATTACTTTGCCATTGTCACATATATTCCATATATTAAAACACCTATCTTCTCTTTATATTTTGTAGTTATTTTTTTTCTTACTAACTTGTTTACTTATTTTAAAAAATAAATAAAATGTAGCTGTAGTGGTTTTTAAATTTCTTCCAGCACTCAATAGGTTAACCCAAACACTGACACATAGCCAATCCAGAGCTCTGCCAGTTCAACCAACCAGAATCACTAGGACTCTGAGCAGGAAGTAGAAGATATTTTCCATGTGTAGGCGTGAAGGGTGACTTGAAGTAACAGACCATGTGAGTGAAACAGAACAGTTTTATTAAACCTTGTTTTATCACACGTGGTTATCTCATTACCATGTATCTACTAGATACAGGGACACCTATTGAATACGGATTACATTAACTGGTTAGACTGCTAATTTTCGGTGATGAATGAATCCATTGCTTCCTTAAACAAGTGTAAGACTAATGAATGAATGTATCATTAATAGAGGAAAGCCTTATATTGAGTTGACCATGTGTGTAAATATTTAGATGAGAGGCTTTGTAATTCTGCAAAGACTCAGAGGTCAGTAGGCTGCATGATTAATGTGAGTTTTGTGTGTGAATATATATATTTACTCATTTGTGCTGCCAGTTTCACCAAGTTTTCTTGGACACATTTTACTTTCACATGATGGGCAGCATAGAAATGAAATGTTGAGAATGCACAAATTAAATCAATAATCAAATCTTTGTACTTCCCACCAACATGTATTAGGATTATGTCTGTTTTCAAGAAAACATTGTTAGATCTGGAGACCCTAAAATGATACTCGTAAGCATCAAATAGCTTTAGCTTAACCCCTTAAGGACACATGACATGTGTGACATGTCATGATTCCCTTTTATTCCAGAAGTTTAGTCCTTAATGGGTTAAATAGACACAATAGTCACCCAGACCACTTCAGCTCAATGAAGTGGCCTGGGTGCCAGGTGCCTCAGGTTTTAACCCTTCACATGTAAACATAGCAGTTTCAGAGAAACTGCTATGTTTACATAGCAGGGTTAATCCAACCTTTAGTGGCTGTCTTCCTGACAGCCTCTTGAGGCGCTTCTGCGACGCTGGATGCAAAATTTGCATCCAGCGTGCAGAACGTCCACAAGAAAGCATTGAGAAATGCTTTCCTATGGACTGTAAGAATGTGTGCGCAGCTCTTGCCGCGCATGCGCATTCTGCTCCACTCGGGAGCTGACGGCGGCGGGGGAGGAGAGGTCACCAACGCCGAAGGAGCCTGGCGCTGGATTAAGGTAAGCTGCTGAAGGGGTCGTGAGGGTCCCCCAAGGATGACATAGGGTCAGGAAAACAGGTTTGTTATCCTAAAACTATAGTGTACGGAATACAAATCTGTATTCCTTACACTTTAGCTCCCTCTGTTCTACCCAGCATGGAAAGTGTTAATAATTCTTTATTTACAGCCACTAGAGGCAGTCTTAGTTCTGCAATGTGATTATTAAGGGGAAATGCTCACTGCACAAAGACTAGACCAAGTGATCTTGTGAAACTGTTTTCGGGTATGTACAGAGCCTGTAGCCCAGACTTTACACAATGATTTCTCGGGCTCTGTACATCCGATCACTTTGTAAATCTGCAGGGAGCATAGCTCGGACCAGGAGCTATCCAGGGATGTAGGGCATGTGGAGATGCATTACGGTGTTCCGTGTATTGTGTGGGGTTTTTGTCTGTCTGCTTCCTGTTCTTGGGAGATACCATTATCTCCAAGACACAGCAACGCCGGGGCGGGCTTATGTTTAACATTACTGTGGATGGAGACTGCATGAGGGGGTCTGTGCATAAATACTGTGTATCTGGCCTTCAATAAACAGATCCTGTCGTACCCTTCATCAGGTCTTGGCTGATGTTTGGGCAACCAAGAGCACTAATCACTGCTTCACTTGGGAAATTGGAGAATCAGAACAGATATACTCAGTCGAAGTATAGGGGATCTGTTACAAAACACTTCTATTGCAACTCTTGTGCTGTTTTTCACTATTCACTTATATACATGTCTTCATTATAGGCAGGCTGCCTTGGAGATCACGGCTAAATATTGCCGAAATGAAATGGAGGAGTATGGCCAGTGTGTTACCAGCAAACCAGGAACATGGCAGCAGGATTGCCACATGCTTAAGTTTAAAGTGGCCAAGTGTACATCATCACAGTGAGTGCAGTTTATTAAGTAATAGCCATTGTCTGACTTTTATTGTGGGTTGTAGGTTAAATACCAAAATGACCAGTTTTAAATACTTTGGAGGTATACCCATGAGTAACTGGGTTTTCACCGCCAAGGTTCCCCTTTCCCTTGTGTTCGTAGCCCAAAGTGATTAAAGCTCCTTGCCGCTGTGTTCTAGCTGCCTCACCCACTAGCCAAGGTTGAAGAGCGAATAACAACTGATTTCACGGTCACATGGTCACACTTTTATACCTGGTGCCTCAACAGGAGGTCCTCAGGGAGAACTAACGAATTGCGACTAAGTCCCCCTGAAGTCTATTCAGGTTTTAGTTCATGCGAACAAGATGTCCGCCACCTCGTGGTCGTCCATAGGAATTGCGGCCACCCAGACGAACACTTAGCACACTGCGGTGGAAATTGCTACAAAGTAGCAATTAGGCTTAACAAGCTCCAGGGTCGTCTCCGGTCCGTGTGGCTGTTCAGTTCCCAAACCAACTTTAAAATCCCACAAACCAACTCTGTTCATAGTTTTGTATTTTTTAAAGGGCCCACAGTCTTTTGGTAAGAGGCTGGCCAGCAGGCCCCTCCAAAAACACGTGACGAGGCTCAGTTCGTCACAGGTACCACTCTGGGTACAGGTGCTCTGTTACAAATAGGACTAAACTAAGAAAAGAATGCAGGCAAGGAGAGGTAAAAAAAAAACATGAACTAGACACAGACAAGGGTCAGGAGTACAAGAAAAGAAATGTAAAGAAGCCAGAAAAACGTAACGATAAGTCAGACAAGAATTGGGCTGGTACATGCTTTGGATAGTAAGACAAGCCAGGGACTGGAACACAAAATCATGCCTGTCCCAGAAGCTGTGACTGTGTTGTGTGTGCTCAGTTATTTTTTTTAAATGTTGAACTGGATGAAAGCTATTAATTATATTTTGTAAAAGATATTGTGCAATGTGTATTGGTGTCCAGCAGGAAATTAATTTTATCATATCTTGACCTAATTATGTTCCAGACACCAGAGAGTGGTTTGCATTGTTCTGGCTAAAGTTGTGTGTAGGGCAAGCATGTCAAACTCAAAGGCTAGCAAAAGCCAAATAAACAAGGTTTAAGTTTAAGTGGGCCACAAAAAAAACAAAAATGTACATTTTCATAGAAATGTAGGTTTATTTTGAAAAGTACAGTATTAACAAAACAAAAAAAACAGCGACCCCCTCGTCTACTAAATCACAGTCCCCCGTCTACTAAACCCCTGCCCCTGTTCTAACTTACACTCACTGACAGACCAACAGACACACACTAATTGACAAACAGGCTCCCACACACACAGACTCACGTACAGAGTGATGCCGGGAGCTGGAATGTGACATCATATTCCGACTCCCGGCATCACTGCGGGAAGCTGAGCAGGGAGAGCTTACACTTAGCGCTTCCTTGCCGCAGCCCACGGGCCGCAAACATACTATTTGTAGCCTGCGGACCGCGAGTTAGACATCCATGGTGTAGGGGGATAAATGCATATGGTTTTCCCTGAAATAAACACTTCTCTTGTTTTACCCAGTATGACTGGTCACTATATTGGGGAATTTTACAAGGTTCCAGAGAGCTATTGTGGCAGAACCACTGCTTGTTCGGGTGCCTTCCACCTGTATTGTGTGTTTGTTTGTTTGTTTTTTTCCCTACCTTCCGTATATTCTACCCCATTCGGGAGCGTTCATGTGAAAGGAACTCCTTCGACTCCCGAATGAGGACCACCCCGATATCCCATTTAGAACGCTAGTTAGAACGTTCAAGTAGAACATTCTCACCTCTAACATAGTTGCGAAACTGCAAGGGAAGTAATTATTGAGTTCTCCCCTGTGTGGTTGCCATTTCATATAGATGAACGCTAGCCAGGGGGAGCATTCGTAGATTGTTTTCCGACTCATTCGTCCCCCGAACAAAAACCACCCCAGTGCCCCATTAGAATGTTCCCACCAATTAATTGGAACGTTCGCACCAGCAACATAAGTGTGGAACCGCAAGGGAAGTAATTGAGTGCTCCCCTGGGTGGCCACCATTTTGTATTGACGAACGCCAACCAGGGGGAGCATTCTTACCCTGAAAGGAGATGCTTGCCTTGCAGGTTTCAGCACAGGAACCTCGCGAATAAAGATCAGAGAATGTGCCTTTGTGAGGTTGCCTAAGTATGGTGGGGACACTTAGGGCACTGACTTTTCTGTGCCTGGGAGACAAAGGGATGGTCTCTCTACCCGCACCTTGGCTTCCAGGCACAGAGGCTCATGGGATGAAGACCCCCCGTGGTAGATCCCTCACCTGAGTGGAAGGCTTTACATATTTGGGAGATGAAGGAACAGCAACCCCCCCAAGCATAGAGGATCCTGGGATGCAACCCCTGTTTGTGTGTGTTGAAGACCCCTTGCATGGGGCTATGCATAAAAGCTGTGTGTGGCAATAAAATTGTGTTGTACCTCCAGAGCTGTATGTCATCCAGTTACTGGGGGGAAATGGGTCTCTTTATATTCTAAGTGGTTCTCGAGCGGCTGAAGGAAGCTATTAGCGGAGGTAAACGGTAGGGTTACCCGGGGTCCGCTAAAGCTATTATCACTATTCCTGTAGCTCATAATTACTGTATACTGTAGCTGAGCCAAGGACCAGCTTAGGAAAGGAGAAGCGGTGACCAAGGGACACCCTGCTACCCATGACCAGGCCAAAGGAAAAAAGGCCGGGTCAGGTATACAAGGGGAGCAGATCAGAACATAGTCAGGAAAGCCAGGTCAAAATAACAGTGAAATAAGAACAGAAAAAAATTACTAAGGATACAGGAACCACTGAAAGGGCCCAGAGCAGCTAGATAGCCCTCTCTAAATAGGGACATCCTATACCTAATGTCCCACCAAGGAGTGTTTTCCTGACACACATAAACTTAATAGGTCAATTCTTCTCTGCAATAAACACTCTTCCCTTCAACAACACACCTTACCTTCTCTGCAAGTCCACTTAACCAAGGTTCTTCTCTGACGTCTTGCTTCTTATCAACGTCTGTATTGTATACTTACCCTACTCTATACTCCTTGTCAGGGCTCAAAATTTCCACTTGCCACTTTCCATTGTCGAGTGCAACTAAGGCTTGGCAAGTAGACATTCTCCTCTGAGTGTGCTATTGAGCTCCAGCCTTGCAGTGGTGAGTAACTTTTGAGACCTGGCTAGTAATAGAAAGCTGGAAATATTAAGCCCTGTTCATTGTCTTTTATTTTCTCCACATTCAAGGCATAGCAATTGTAAATCATTTCTTCTAGATTCTGTCCTCATCTTACTGCATGTGTAGGTATACTCCTTATACAAGCACAATCCTTGATACATTTCTGTAAATTGCATTTTCTCCAAACAACATTTTGTCTCAAGGTACAGTCCTCCTTGATTGTAAACTCATGGGCAAGGTTTTATTTTAATTTTGTTTGTGTCTAATTATGTATTCCTGGTTTGTGTAATTAACATTTTTTTTTTATCATAAATTGTAAAGCATTTGGTAAACAGGAGCAATATAAAATAACAATTAGATAAATAAATTCAGTGTTAAGCCATTTTTGAGCGGTTTAACACTAAATAAGGGTCCCTGTCCGCACAGACACACACACAGCCTGGCCTCTACTGGAGGTATGGTTCATGCAGATATTACTCACTTCCTTCTTTCCATACCAGTTCATACCAGCTATGAATGCTGTGATAGGCTAAAAGCAGTTAATACTCTCAAACAATTACAGCCACCAATCTCTGCTTCCTTATTTGCCCGAGCAGCACAGAGTAGATGGACTGCTGGGATCAGTTTTGTAACATTAAAACATTAAAAAACGTTTAATGCTGAATGGAAAGACGGTGCCTGGGTACCTCAGATACTCTAACCATTACAATGAGATGAAATATATTTTTATAGCGTTATTTTTCCTCCCGATCATCTCACAAAAGTAGTTTACAATATACTTCTTATTAACTTACTATTTGCTTTAATTCATGGTGAGAGCATTATAGCACTCCAAAAATCAGGCTAAAATAGCCAGGTCAATAAATTAGAACTTGCATAAAAATACAAATTTGCTATACACTACTTGGGAGCATAATTCAAAAACTAAATTATTTTTTTTATTTCTTGGTCTACATTTTGCATTTCTCTAAAATGTGCAATTTCATTCTAACTTCTGTCGCTCGCAATTTAGTAATTAAAATCCCTTATAGGGATATTCCCTGTCCAATTTTAATTCTACAATAAGACTCATTAGTAGGTGGAATCTTGCCTACATCGAGCGTGAAGTACCTTACCTTAAAAGGACCAAGAGGTTTTCTGTGCACAGTATAAAAATAACTATTTGGCTAAAGTTAATTTACTTTATATACCTGCTTAAATTAATGCGTTCTTACTGACCTTTTATTGAAACTATTTTCTAGATGATAATGTAGCAGTAATCCAGAGGGTGAGAAGTTGTGTTCCTTTTATGAGACTGTGTAAAATAAGCAGCAAAGAACTATTAATTTACCTCTTCAGCAGACACTTCCAGCCCAAGCGCCCTGAAATCTGACCACCCGGTCGCATAAGATAGTCCTGCTATCCTACAAATCTCTACATGATCAGAGTCCAAGCTGTCTAAAAGAACTATTGGTGTCCTATATCCCAACTCACACTCTTCGTGTACATGCCTGGAAGCTAACTATAAAAAATTCAGCAAAAATGTGGTTAACGTGCTTTTCACCCTACTGCTCCAAATTTATGAAGCACATCCCCTAGCACAGTGAAAGAAGCCACTTCACTGGACATTTTTAAACAAAGGCTCAAGGCCTACCTGTTTACACAAGCCTTTCTGGAATAGAATCCGTAACTTCTAAATGCGTAATATATAGCGTCTTGTCTAGAGCGCTACGAGTCCAAGGTGGAGAAAAGCTCTATATTTAAGTTGTTATTATTATTATTATTATTATTATTATTACAAGTTAGCTATGTTGTTAGTTTAGTTATTTTGGCCTGAAATGTATCATTTATTTTGAATTCCTTACAATTCACATTTTAGTGAATAAACTATACATAGAAGTCTGTGTGGATATGTGTGTGGTTTATAAAAAATCAGCGACTCAAATCCTGCTTGATTTTTTTATTTTTTATTTTTTTTTTACAGAATTTCACAGATCTAGCAAAGGAATTTTTTTTGTGTGTGTTCCAATAATCTGTCCAGTGAACTCCCATTCTTGTTCACAATATCAGTTGACTTGCCAAGTAATATATTTTCTTCCCTTCTTTGTCCCAGCTGCATATAAATATAGAATCTGTTGCATATCTTTGATACCCAGGTGGTACAGACAACTGATCTATTTATTGTCTTTTTTTTTTTTTTTTGTTTCTTTCCAGCCCAGTTATTCAGAGAATCCGTACAGAGTGTTCTGAACCATTTGTTGCTTTTGAGCAGTGTCTAAAGAAGAACCAGACATCTGTAGAAAACTGCTCCACGCATGTGACGGAGTTCTTGCGGTGTGCAGAGAGTGTCAAACTCACTGAATAGGTAACTAGACCGGCAGGGAAACTATACCATGCATGTACTACATGCTTGCTTATTCTCATGATACACAAAGCATGTAATTTTAAAGGAACACTATTGTGTTAGGAATACAAAGTTGTATTCGTAACACTATAGTATCCTTCTGTCCGCCCACCCCCACGACAGTTAAAGGGTTAAAAGGGACTTTTCTTACCTTATTACTGCACCTCTCTGTCAGTTCCTCCAGTTCCTCCTCTCTGTCTCATCCAACATCAATCTCTCATAATGTAGAAAGTGTCACAATTATATTTAATACACAATGTATATTAATAGTTAGATCCTCAAAATGTAATGCAGAAATGCCAGAAGTAGGTGTTGTCTTACCCGGGTGACTGGTTGTAACTCTGCCATAAATGTTTTTATCTTAAATTGATTTTAATTGAAATTAAGTTGTTACACTGCCAGGAGATCTGTGGCGCTGGTTCACCTTTATGAGTAAAACTATTCACGAGCGGTTTAACCCCAATCTCTGTGTACCAACACCTGATCACTATCCCCATTGTCCTCCCACTTCCCAAAATTCTAGATAAAATGTTCAGGCAGGGGAGCGGTTGATTGGCTTAGAGCAGTCAGTTGATGGTCAGTCTCTCTCCATTCATGTAAAAAAAAAATATATATATATATATATATATATATGTTTATTAAGATAAAGTGGTCTGGATGACTTTAGAAGTTATTTTAAGGGAAACACCAAGCACAATAACAACCTATTCCCTTTGCAAACATCACTGCATCTCTATTCCCACTTCCTCATTCAGATGCTTCCTCCAGTGTGTGCCTGCTTCCTTGTTCATATGCTATAAACCTCACTTCTCCACTAACTGGCTGGTTAATGGCGCTGTCATTGCACACTTTATTTTTGTTTTTATTTTATAGGCCTATTTGCATGGGCACAAGATAAGGATTTAAAGTTTCCTTGAATATTGGCTATGGTAAGTTGTTGATTTTTTTTTTATCCCACCGTGGCCACCATAACAACTTAAAGGACCACTATAGTGCCAGGAAAACATACTCGTTTTCCTGGCACTATAGTGCCCTGAGGGTGCCCCCACCCTCAGGGACCCCCTCCCGCCCGGCTCTGGAAAGGGGTTAAAACTTACCTTTTTCCAGCGCTGGGCAGAGAGCTCTCTGCCTCCTCTCCTCCTCCGTTACGCCCCGCCGGCTGAATGCGCACGCGCGGCAAGAGCTGCGCGCGCATTCAGCCGGTCTCATAGGAAAGCATTTACAATGCTTTCCTATGGACGCTGGCGTGCTCTCACTGTGAAAAATCACAGTGAGAAGCACGCAAGCGCCTCTAGTGGCTGTCAATGAGACAGCCACTAGAGGCTTTGGGGGAAGGCTTAACCCATTAATAAACATAGCAGTTTCTCTGAAACTGCTATGTTTATTAAAAAATGGGTTAACCCTAGAAGGACCAGGCACCCAGACCACTTCATTAAGCTGAAGTGGTCTGGGTGCCTAGAGTGGTCCTTTAATCTCATTGAAATAGTTATGGTATCTGGAGGTCCTGGGTGCCCTTTTACCATATGAAGTTGAATCGTTCTCAAAAGATTAAATCCCAAAGTCCTTAAGACGGCACTATTTCTAAAGCATTTCTCTCAATGATTGACCAGTAATAGGCTGATGTCCAAGGGAAAGGCATCTACATTGGGCACTGAGGAAGAATGGACAAGGAGGCAGATGTCATCAGGAGTGCTTTGAAGTTAACCTGAAAATGGATTAGCAAATCTAAAAAGAGATATCACTATATGCTAGGAATATAAATATAATAGCGTACCAAAACCCCCTTAAAGAAAGTGTTCCCTCCACTGAAATACAGTACTGAAAAAAGGGGTGGGGGAGAGGTGAATATGCAAAATTGCACCAAAGTGGAAAATACAAATAAATACAACCTAAGTGTGTAATAATACAATAAGTGAAATTTAGGATTGTAACAGAACTTGGTACTCCCTCCTTTTCCAGCAGGACACCTGTAATGATTATAGCAGCTCACCAAACATCAGCCTAGGCTTGATGATGGGTGAAAACAACTTTATTTGGTTAAAATGTACATATTTAGCCACAGATTCTCGGCATGAGTCGTTAACTGAAACAATGGAGATCCCACACAGGCGCCTCTGTGTCTGAGAGATAACTAGCTCAAGAAACCCTGATATTTTCAGCCTCCAGACAACAGGGGGCCTTAACAGAATATCCTCAAACACAGATCTAAACATCACAAAACCCCAGATGTATGGTATCCCTAAAATAGCACTGCAATCTTTTACAAGGGGTCCGAGCTACCTCAGATTACAGTTTCAGCAGTCTGTTTCAAAATTCCTATCCGCTCATTAGTTCCACAGAGTTTCCATATTGGTCCTGGTTGGGCGCATGGAACTCTCACAACCAGTCATTTTGTTGAAGTCTGATCTTTGTATTTTGTATTTTCCACTCTGGTGTATTTTTGAAAGTTTATCCCTGTTTTTGTCAGTACTGAAAATGAATGAACTCCATAATGTAAGACAACACCCAGGAATTCCAGACATCCTAACGTCTTAATTGAGCATCCTTTTGTAAATTTTTTATTTTATATATGTTATTTCAGGCTTGAGGAGGATTATATAATGATTAGTGCCAATTAAATAGTGTACCCTGGCCTTGGAGACATTAAGTATGTGGAAAGGGGCAGCTTTTAGCAACTAAGATGGTGGGACTTCTTATTTACTCTTGGGTAGGAAGAAAAGGCAAGAGTATTTGGTATTTTTGGGTCCTGAATATGTTTGTTTTTTTTTTTTGCTTAAATAAGTGTTTTATTTATGTTTTAAATCTCTATCACAATTGGTTTGATAACCATAGCCACCTGACCCACAATTTCAGATATTAAATAATATTCTTCTAGTCAGCTGCACAATGCATGTTTTTACTGATATTCAAATATTTTCATATATTTCAGAATGTTGGCCCCTTCAATAATACATAAAAATGTATGTCTTTTTACAGTGTTTAATGCTATTCTTTCCAAATGGTCTGAAAATGAACTGAATTTTGCTTCTGCAAAACTGAATCGTAAGACAAATTATTTGTCTTGTGTAAAGGATAACGTCTACAAAATGAACTTAAACAGTGCTACAGACCACACTTTTGAGGATGTCCCAGGTCCTTGCACAATTTAAAACTTGTTGGACTTGTGGTAAAGGAGACTAACATTTTGTGAAACTGGAATATGTACTGTCATTATTCAAGAGCCAGTCAACTTTAAAAAGAACCTTGGCATTTTTACAGAAATTAGAATTGTTTTTTCTATAGATAGAAGAAAGCTCAATAACAAAAGTGAATATGCTTTTCATCTAGCTGTTAACGTAAAAGTGAATCTGGTCTGTGAAACATCCAACTTCCTTCAACTATTCTATGTCTGCTCCTGCATCTTACAATCTGAAAAAATGAACATATAAATTGTTACAAAATAAAATGACTTCCAAAAAATGTATTATTTTTTAGCACATATGGTAAGCCTCATTTTGCTATCCTTGGAAAACATAAAGGGTTGGGTATAACAGGAGGAGAGTTTATGATATTCAAAGACCACTACAGACACACATGGGAAATTGGCACTTTTATAAATTAGAACTCACTGGCTGTCAATCATATAACCGGCCATGTTACTTCGTGGTTTGTTTAGTGTAGCTAAACTCAAGGAGCAGTTGTCCAGACTGCCACGCAAAGACTTCTCATTGAGCTGCTTTGGGAAGTCTGTGATTGGACAGACACGGAAAGTCTGGGCGGGGTTAGAAGAGAAGGGCTTGCAAAGGATGCAGACAAGAGAACTACAGATTTTTCAATCTGTTTTAGATATGGATATATAAGCCTGCATATCAATCTGACACCAACCTTTTATGTGCATACAAGGGCGGCGCGTCCTATAGGCGACTTAGACAGTCGCCTATGGCGCACTGGCCTGGGGGACGCCAGATTTGAGTGACCGGCAAGAGGGTAGTGCACACGGACTGACAGGAAGTGCTCACTGAGCAGTTTCAGTCCGGCCGGGTACAGGAAACAGTAGCTCCTGTACCGCGGCCACGATACAAAGATAGGTAGGAGGCAGGCACAACAAGGAGAGGGAGGACCACTAAGAGGGGAGGAGACCACTGAGGGACAGGGAAGAGATGGGAGAGACCACTAATGGACAGGGGGCTGGAGAGCTCTAAGGACGGAGGGGACAGCTCTAAGGGAGGGGAGGAAAGAGCACTAAGGGACAGAGTGGTGGAGGGGGGAGCTCTGAGGGACGGGTGGGCAGAGCACTAAGGCACTGGGGGGGGCAAGGGAGAGCACTAAGGGACAAGAGGGGAGGGGAGAGCACTATTAAAAAAAAAAAAATAGAGCTGCTCCCCTTTTAACCCCTATCCTTCCCCACAAACCCTCTCTTTTAAACTGCACACATACACAATGCATCCTTACACATACGCAGAAACACACAATGCATCCCTACTCGCACACCGAAACACACAGTGCATCCCTTACGCACACACACTGCTTCTCTTACACAGAAACAAAATGCATCTCTTACACACACTCAATGCACCCCTTACAGACACACTGCATTACATTACATACACAGAAACACACTTTGCATCCCTTACACACACATCCAGAAACACACAATGCATTCCTCACACACTGCATCCCCTATACACACACTACACCCCTTACACAAATTGGTATCCCTATACACTACATTCCATAAGAACAGACAAACATTACATCCTCTACAATAACACATCCCCTATACACACACACTCCACTCCCTGTGAGTGAACTCAGGTGCGGGCCATGTAGGTGGACTTATGGGCTGGCCTTGTAGGCATACTCACGGTCAGGCCCTGGAGGCCCAGACTTTGAGCTGTGTAAGGGGCACCAAAAAATCTGTGCATCGACCCTGTGTGAATATGTTTGGGGTGATCGATATTGACCTCTTATTAGAAACCTTGGCTGCAATACACTTCGTTTGGGGACATAACCACTAACTATTCTCTTTTAATATTTATTGAGCCAGAGATATTGACCGGCAGGGTCACTTTAAAGTAATCTATTTCATTACTTTCGTTTGTCTTCACGGCTATACAAACATTTAGGTGATAGTGCCCTACCGAGTGCCCTTGAATGCAAGTTCAAGATTCTTGTTCTACTAGACGTATTTAATATATCCTTTTGTAGACCTTCATTCTCTTACGGCATTTTTTTATATATAGTTGGTACAATTTAGAACAAAGTAACTATTCTACTTTCTCTATGTCTAGTAGGACAGTATGAAACCCATGTTAACTTGATGCATCTATAGCAATTTTTCTTCACTTTGCTATATTCTTCGGGTGTAGCAGTTTATTAGGGCAAACTAGATATTTCTCTTACTAATTTTATATTATATCGAATAAAGGTTGTTTTATTTCTGTCCCTCGCTGTCTTCACTGCTTAGGGATACTCTCCCTATTAGGGAACACTCATTATTTTTTTTCCCTTTTATGATTGCAGTATGTTTGGGGTGGCGTTTGTGTAGTTGCCAACCCAAAAACTAAAACTGCCTTAACTGTGATGACAGTTCAGCTGGTTTGTATGGAAATATGTTAGATTGGGGAATGTGTGACAGTTAAAGTAAGGTTCTGTAGTTAAATTCTGCATAAGAATAACAGTTTCTCCAAACAATAGATATACATGAGCATGCACACAGCACAGCTGAACATCAAGGAAAAAGCTATCAAATGCATAATTAGTATATCGGTGACCAGTGTCTTTGTATTAACTAATTTCCATAGGCACCTTTTGCAACTACAAGGTTTCCAGCTTTGTAAGATCAGTCTCAAGTGCTTAAATCCTTATTACAATCTAACAAATTGTATACTTGACCACATGGGGGCTTAAGTGTTCCATAGTGTTTGTTCTTATGTGTTTTGCTGTCTTTCAGACTTCTGTATTCAGTTGCTGCATACAGGCTTAACAAAGTCACTAACACAGATAAAATACAATAAAGTAGGATTTGTTTTTCTATAAAGGGAACACAGAATGCTTGTAGAAAGTACGGAGTCATTCACAGGCTTGAGTGTAGAAATTAACTTATAAAACACCAACAGGAAAAAAAATGACTAATTATCCACTTGTGAAATAGCAAGCCGCTGGTAATTACCGCCTAGAGTAAGCTACTAACTGTTTCTCTATTTTTGGGGGGCATGTTCATAAACTGGTCAGATGACGGAATATGGATATAAATATGGGTGGCAAGAGCAAAGTTCTGGATAAATAGCAAGATTATCTAAAGTTATTCTCCTCTGTTTGCAGAGTGTACATAAAATTTGCAGGATAATCGAAAATGATCCAGTTAATTGGGTTGACTGCCTAGTGCATGGGACAGTTTGTAACAATGATTGACAGGGAGCTAAGATGGAGGTGCCCACTTAGTGGGTGTCCATTTGTACACTTAAATTTTAATTTCAAACCTAAAAAACACATTTATTGAAAATGAGGACAACTAAGCATCATATTAAATAATCCTGGCAAGTGACAGTTCCACTTAAAGGTTACACATAAGTAGCTAACAATTATGCTGCATGTTTCCTACTTTAAAGCAATTTTTTTTTATTTTTTTTAAAGTCCTGTGTAAAATATATGTATTTGTATATGTGTAACCATTGCAGGTTTAATTTCCTGTGCCTTCCCTGTGTGGTCATATTGTTTTGTGCAGTTGTTTCTGACTTACCCACAAGTGAGTACCATTCCAGGTATATTCTACAGCTGCCCAGAGGCCTTTCATTAGGTAGCTATGGTACTCCCCACCTTTCCCTGCTACTAAACTCACAACAACCTGGTAAAACGCTTGTTAGTGATCATAGCTGTTATAGCTGGCTCACCCAAACACTAGCCAAGACAGTGTAGGGTGAAGAAGAACTGTTTTTATTGAATTAATGGCACACTTTTAGACCTGGGCCCCCAACACGGGTCACCAGTAGAACAACGGGTATTATAACATGCCATTCACCTAGATGTTGGTGTCTGTATCTGACCGGGAATTTTATTAGCGGTCAGACACCTCGGCCCTGAATAACAGTTTCACATTAAAACCTGGGTTCCCATGCCCACATCCCCAAACAAGTGCCATCCCAGAGAATTCTCCCCAGGGCACCCATTCTGCCCAAAATGCGCTTTAATAGCCAGTGTATAGCCAGAAAAGTTTGCATGTAAAGTTTTGACCGGGCCATGAGCATGCTCCAATCTGGCGCAGAGTTCCATGGTGCTGGGTGGAAAATCCCAGTCACTTTCAACAATGGTGCTTTCTGTTGGTACATCAACCTCCCTCAAGTCCTTGGTATTGTTCGATGCCTCACCACCATCTCTGATACCCCTCCAAATAGTATCCTGTGTGATGGCCAGGCACGGAGAGCGACCTCAGAGATGTTTTATATGACCGCTGCAACTCCACAACTTGACTTAGAGTCCTTGGTGATTTATAGGTTGCTCCTGGTCAGGCACACCGTGGCTATGTGAGTCTCCTTGAGGTTATGGATGTCTCTGAGACTGCTGGAGATGGTGTTGAACTGGGAGGCACGGTCTGGAGGGGTAATATGTGAGTGATTATTGTTCCTTTAGGAAGAGGTGGTGGTTGGGAGCTCTGTACAAGTTCTAAGTGACCGGGTGTTCCATCACATGCCCTATATATTGGATTTACACCAAGGGGCTGGTAGAAAGAGCTTTCAAGCAACACCTAGGACTTTCTGTAGTTCCATAAGAATATTGAAATATTTCAGGAACTACCCAGCAACCATTTAAAGTAAAGATATAGAGCAAGAGACTGGGAAGGTTATTAAAGCGGGTCTGTCACAGCCGCACATGTTAGGACCACCTGAGACATGTCCTCCCACCACCTGAGCCATGTGGGTATGACTAAGGTGCAGTATCTCAGCCATAAGGTAGGTTCTGGCAAACAGTGACCAGAACCCGCTAAGGTAGAGGCTATTGCCAACTGGCCCCAACCCTGTACTAAGACTCAGGTGTTAGCTTTCCTAGGGAACGCGTGCTAGTACCGCAGATTTGTCACTGATCATAGCGCCCTTGCCAAGCCCCTCACTGACGAAAAAGTCCCTTTCCAGATAAGTAATGTGGTCCCTGGAGTGCGAGGCCACTTTCCAGAGATTCAAAACTGCGCTGAGCGAGGAACCTTTGTTGGCAGCCTCAGACCCTACTAAAAAGTTTCTTTTCCACACAGATGCCTCCATGTTTGGGCTGGGAGCTGTGCTAAGTCAAATGGGGGACAACGGAATGGAGCATCCGGTGGCATATTTCAGCTGGAAACTATTACACAGGGAGGTCAGCTATGCCACCGTGGAGTAGGAATGCCTGGCTCTTGCGGACATTGAAGAAGCTACAGCCCTACCTCTACGGTGGTCCCTTCACCTTGATGACAGACCACAACCCCCTCATCTGGCTGAACCGTGTTGCTGGGGATAACCTCTGCTTGTTGCACTGGAGCCTGGCCCTACAACCCTACAGCTTCACCATGCAGTACAGGCCAAGTAAACATAATGGCAAGGCCGATGGGTTATCCAAGCAGATGGAGTTGGAACCCTGATTGCTTCCCTGGACATTCCCAAGCCAACCCATCAGGGTCTAGGCTGGTATGACGCACCAAGGAACTAAGGGGGAGCAATGGCACAAAACTACATCCCTGGTGCCTGTGGCAGAACCCCTCTTCATTCATTTTTAATGTTTTCCCCTTTGTATTATTGTGCTTCCCCTAGCTTTTTGCGTATTATGCCCTGTTCCCCATTCAGGAGCGTTCATACAAACGTAAACCCCTTTGTCTCCCGAACGGGGACCACCCCGGTGCCCCATTAGAATGTTCACACCAATTGATCTGAACGTTCGCACCTGCAACATAAGTGCGAAACTGCAATGGAAGTAATTAATGAGTGCGAAAGGAGACGCTTCCCTTACCCGGGGTTTGCACAGGAGCCGCACGAACAGAGACCAGACGGGAAATGCACGGTGTGGGGGTTCTGGAGGTTGATGGGGACACTTTTGGAACACTAGCCAGTTTGGCGGGCTTTCTGTGCCTGGGGGACAAAGAGACTGGGTCCCTTTTCCTGCGCCCAGGCTCCCAGTTGCGGAGGATCCTGGGATAAAGATCCCTGTCGTTGGGTGTGGGAGACCCCCTTAGTATGTGAGGGCGGACTTTCTGTGCCTGGGAGACAAAGAGACTAGGTCCCCTTTCCCACGTATGGGCTCACAGATACAGAGGATCCTGGGCAGTAACCCTTGGTTAGTTGGGTGCAAGATCCATTGCACAGGGTTATGCATAAAAGTCGTGTGTGGCATTATAAAGCATTGTTGTACCCTTCATCTAGTCTCAACTGATGTTTTGGGATGTGATTGCTGAAACAGCGGAATTTACTTGGGTGCTGCACTTGGGTTTTTGGGGAACGTACGAATCAGCGCCCAAACCTCAAGCTATAATCACTAAGTACCTAGCAGTTCGGGAGGAACCAAACGAACGGGCACACGAAATACCAGCGTTCGTTACAGTCCCTAAAAAAGTCTGCATATATTGAGAAGTCTTGAGTTGCCCAAACCTTCTATTTGTGGTTGCAAAAGTTTTCATTTAGTAAAACAAATAAAATTTAAAAATCAAAAGTACACATTTTTATATCCATGCATAAACCTTCTACTATATACCTTAACTAAACTGTAAATTGATGGTGCACTGCAAACTGTTGGCCAAAATATCACCCTGTGTTGTATGTTCTTTATAGGAAATTAAAGAGATGTTTTTGATGGCTAACAAATTTAATACAAACACCCATGTTTCAATCAATAGAAAAAAGTTGACATTATAGATTCACATAAACTGTAGAAAACATTTAGAAAAATACACCATGCATAATAAACAACCACAGCAGAATAAGAATTCCAGTTTATTGTTAATTTATAGTTAACATTCTGAGATGAGCAATTTATCCCTTTTGGTATTTGACAATTTCCAACCTATCTTGTTTAGCGGTAGAATTTGTCCATTAAGGACCATGGCATTGATTTAATTTGTTTGAATCAACATGATTTAATCTGTTAGAAATTATTTATCTACAATGGTGACCTCTGTAGCGTACATACCGCGTACATACCGCGGTCGCAGAGGTCGCAGAGGTCGCGGCTGTGACTGGGTCTCCAGGGGGCCCAGCCGCCCTGCAACCCGGTATGTACGCCAGTGTGGCCACATTTTGCCAGCCTCTTCTTGTGGGGGGCCCAGGAACTGGCCACCTCAGGGCCCCCTGAGGCTGACAGTGGCTTCACTTTGCTGGCGAGTGGGCGCGAGCACGCTCCCCTGAGCGCCTCGCGAGCACCAGAGCCAGAAGATGACAGGAGGATCTCAGTGCTCCCTCGCGCACCTGCAGGACCGGCTGCCCAGCAACACCACTGGACCCCAGGGAATCCCCTCAGCACTCCCAAAGGTAAGGAGGGTGGGGGATTAAATGTAAAAAAATAATAATATATGAGTGTGTGTGTGTCTGTTAATGAGTATGTTAGTTTGTGTCAGTGAGTGTGTGTGTGTGTGTGTTACTGTGTTTGTGTGTGTCAGTGTGTGTCTGTTAGTGTGTGTCTGTTAGTGACTATGTGTTTGTCAGTGAGAGTGTATGTTTTGTAAGTGAGTGTGTATGTGTGTGTGTGTCTGTCAGTAAATGTGTGTGTCAGTTAGCTAGTGTGTATGTGTCTGTTCATGAGAGAGTGTGTGTGTGGTTAAAACCCCTTCAGCACTTACCTTTCTCCAGCGCCGGGCTCCCTTGGCACTGGGGACCTCTCCGTCCCGCCTCTTGGCTCCGAATGCGCATGCACGGCAAACCACCTATAGGAAAGCATTACACAATGCTTTCTTATGGACATCCAGCGTAATCGCGGAAGCGCCTGGATTAACCCTCAGTGAAAATAGCAGTTTCTATGAAACTGCTATGTTTTCAGTTGCAGGGTTAAAACTAGAGGGACCTGGCACCCAGACCACTTCATTGAGCTGAAGTGATCTGAGTGCCTATAGTGGTCCTTTAAGTGTATGTGTATCATGCACTGGCGTGCACACCACGGACGCAGCCCTGCGACCAGGTGCCTGCCGCCATATGTGGCGGCCATGGCCCACGCAGAGTAAGCGCCGGGGCGGGGTGGGGGGGAGGTTACGGATGCCCACTGATCAATTTTCGCACCGGGGCCCCATGGATCGTGTGTATGCCACTGCTCTGTAGATAAGTAATTTTAACCATGTATTTAACAGATTGTGATCATTAAAAGCTTATCCAAAAGTATTAAATCTAGGCCTATGTTAGGCCTCAGACATGTACATTATCTAATAAATATTGTCTATTGTTAAATAAAACAAACTGAGTATATAAAAAAGTCAAAAGTGCAAGGTAAATACAGGTTTATCACTTAAGACATGTGTGGCAGCTTTCCACTGCTTTATACTTAATGCAAATGTTGTGTTTTAAAACTTGAAATCTATTTTGAATTGCACACATCACAAACATTTTGATAGAGCTGGATTAAGAGTTCCTTTAACCTTAAAGAGACACTAAATTCACCAAAACAACTTTAGCTTAATGCACTCTGCAGTCTTAATTCTCAATATGCTGTAATTTGGGAGTTAAAAACACTTTGTTTATGCAGCCCTAGTCACACCACTCTGCATGTGACTAACACAGCCTTCCTATTGTTTACACTTCCTTTATTGTTTAATTTAGAATTTCTTATCTCCTGCACTGCCTCCTGTATGTAATTAAAGTCCAATTTACAAAGCAGGAGATAAAAATGTTAAAAGTAAGATACATATGATTGAAAATGAAACCATGTTGTTTTCATGCAGGCTGTCAGTCACCATAGTGATTTAACTCCTAAATAGCAGAGAATTGAGCAGTGGAACTTCAGATGCATGATCTATACACTAAAACTGTTTCATTAAGCTAAAGTTGTTTTGGTGACTATAGTGTCCCTTTAAGTTATAGCCTAACCCTACATTCTGCAAGCAGAAATACAGTGATAATTCATCAACGATGTTGCCCATAATACTCAGTTAGCCTTCTGACTGAGCATTCTAGGAAATTATAATTGTGAAACATTTGCTGTGCTAATGCTAGCCATCACTTCTCTTGTCCATTCCCTAATTTCATAGGTAAAATACTTTTGACTTGCACATCCCTCCCTTACCATGCTCGTGTTTAATGTTCTGCAGTATACATTGACTATGTAAGTGGCATTCTTTATCTCATTTGATTAAAGATTATGACCACACACTTATCCTATCCATCAATGGAAACACAACCAGTTAGCAGCATCACCTCATTAGCACCATGTATGACTCTTTTAGGCTGCAAGTTTAGGCTAACTGAAGGCGCAGTAGATTAGTGTGCTACTCTACTTGATGTGGGACTGCAACTTCTCGAAAACCACAGATACACTTAATGAGTATTACATCTGGATATAAAGTTCCCATTTTCTTTTACACTGTTGAAAAATAGTTACATGAATGTTATGGTGTACAGCCCTATATTTGAATGTGTTTTCATGTTGACATATGTCAAAAGCCACAATTAATAGATGTCTTGTTTTAATATGTAATTTATATGACTACTATCCTGCATCTTGTATTTTGTGTATTCTTGTGAATTGAAGGATATCAGGTCATATACTTATCCATACTCAGATAGGCCCATCTGTAGGCACTCCAACTGCTTCATCTCGTTGAAGTGGTTATTGTGCCTGAAGTCCCCTGGCACTGCCCTCCCACCAGTGTTAAGCCACTTTTAAAAGGTGCAAAGATAGAAAAGAGCCTCTGGCTGCCCTTCTGCCCTGTGCTGCTTGAGCTAATGAGAGAGCATTAACCAGAATAGAAATGGACAGCTGTGATTGGCTGAGAGTGTCAACTGACTCCTCTCAGCCTTTCACAGTCACTTATTTAATATGGATTGGTATGGGTACTGAGTGTTATATCATCTTTTTCAATATCTCTGGTTGGGGCTAGATCATGGTTGCTCATGGACCCTCTTTCACTGTTAAAGAATGGTTTAATACGAAATTGAAGTATGGAGCCATAAGACTCCAGGCACTAATCCTATTGAGATGAAATGACCATATTGTTACCTAACCTACAACCCACGGGACACTGGTCTCCATGCTGGCTCTCCTCCTCCCTGGGTGAGATCATCAGTCTCAGTGATCTCAGCCAATCCAATGCTTCTCCATAGGCAGAATGCTATGCTGCACCAATCCAATGCTCTCAATGAGAGTAATTTGAGCTATACCAGAGTTTAATTAAACAGCAATACTTACAAGTACAATGTCAAACAGACAGGGACATGGCACCAAGACCGTTCCACGTGGAATTCACGTTTTAAAGCCAAAATCTAAAGCCAAAATAGCCAAGCTGAAAACATAATTGATTTGGAGAATTTTTCCAGTGTGGTTATGCTCGCCTAAATTTGGAAATTTACTTTGAACTCCCAGCAATTGTCATTTTTGTGAATAACTCTGTCTGTATTTTACAGTAAAAGGACTAGTTGCATCTAAGTCTAGCATAGTAAACTCTACACTTAAACCCCTAGATTGGTCCATTTCCTAAACTTCCTCTTCGCTTAAATCCCAGGGTAATGAGTCATTTATACATGTATATCAATATTCTTGTTTCAAATAAATTGTGTGTATTTTAAATTGTTGACTTGACCTCACCCTTGTATGTGGATTCAATGATGAGTGAGAATTGGGTTCCTTCCTTGTAAGTACCGCTGATAACTCAAGCACTAGCCTATTAGAGATACATCAGCATGGCACATACAACAAGGAGCAAAACATGGCCAAGGCTTGTTAAAGACAAGTTAAAAGCTAAAACTTCACCCACTTGACTTCTAGAAGACATTAAGTCATCATTAAACTTGAAGTGCTTCTGGATGATTTTTTTACATTAATATTTATGTTCCTCTTGTTATTGGGTGTATCCTCCTATCAGTACTTACATACATTGCACTAAAATACTTACAGGTGTTATGAGTTTATACTACAGAAAATAGCTTAGTTGCAACATTTACTACCTTCCTTCCAAATCGAAGATAAACATGAAATTAAAAAAAAAAATATCTCCAAATCTTCCCTCTCACAATCAATATTAAATGTACCAACCACAAAGGAGTGAATAACTGTGCTGCACAGTTTCTGATTATGAAAGCTTTTCCAAAAAAAATCAACATATTACATTGATATTTTTGGATTTTTAAGAATATTTCTGATATTTTCTCAAACCATCATTAACATTGCTGTTTACTTCTGCACAGAATATTCCACTGAGCTAATATTGCAAACACGAGAACCTAGATATGGTCTTTGTAGATAAAATTATAGCAGGCACCAATTCTGTTTTCATGGAATGAAACATGTAGGTGTAACACAAGTTGCTACATTAAAGACTCAACAAAATTAAATAGCACAATAATTTGTTCAATAATGCCCTAGTTTAACAATATTCTTGGCAGATCAGGTCTTTAAAGTCCCACAGGGCATAGGTATATATCTACAATGCAATATATTTTACAGTATGAACATTTTCTGATGATTTTTATCCATGGTCTTTGTTTTTGAACATCTTCCACTTATTACAAACAGTTTTATAACCAAAAAACACAACCGGAAGGTTTAACGAAAAAAAAAAATAGTGTTTTTTGTTGTTTTTTTCTTGTTCATTTTTTATTTACAAAGGTCAGGAGGCAAAGTAAGAGCTTTGCATGGAATAGAGGCGGTCAATAGGTCCCACTCGGGCCTGTAAATTGTTGGACTCCGATGATGTTAAGAGAGACCCTCCAAGATAATTGAGATTTTCATTGTCCATGTCATGAAAAACAGTCTCGGCATCTGGAAATGAAGTAATTCAGTATTACGTTAAACTGCATTTAATACAATGACAAAAATCTAGAAATGAATTAGAAGAGAATTTGAGTTTATATAAAATGTGCATTCACCAAGTAAAAGGAAGACTCCAGTCCTCTGACAGAGGTTATTACTAAAGTAAGAAGTAAAAGTAAATTGGAAGTGAAGTTCAAATTCAAGTTAAAAATAGCAGAACTGGAAAAATTCAAAAAGTTAGAGAAAATTCCAGTTTGGTTACCTTGACCTTAAATTTGAAATGCACTTTGAATTAACTCTGAATTCTCACTTTATTGAATAAGCCTATAGCTCACTTTAAATGGCTGTCCTTGTTCTCTTATTTCATAAACGTCCTTAGTGGTACCTTCCACTCTGTCAATCAAGCATTGAAAGCGATAGTGAGTGTTCTCACATTGAAGCAGTATTGATGATCTCCTGAGGGTGGAAGGAAAGGAGTTGTGGTGAGAAGACGGTCTCACCACTGGAAAAAACAAGAGTACTCTAAGGGACACTCCTACGTTAGATATAAATACATTTATTTCTAACTTTGGAGTTTTCTGGTAATCCAGACATTCAGTAGTCATTTTTTTTCAAACTAGTGTTTTTAACCCTTACTCAACATTATGATGTGCTATGCCACCCCACAAAAGGAGGACATTAATCTCCTTGGGGTGTAACTTTCCAAAACCCCTATAAAACTGTACATGGAGAAATTGCTGAACACAGTGTTTCTGAGCAGTAAAATGTATAAAGATGATGATATCATCAGTGAAAGTTAAGTTTTTGTGTATAAAAAAAAAAAGCAAAAAACATATATGAACACTAACTTTGGCCAGGGTTTGTGACTAAACAGCTACAAGAAAATACTGGAAATACCATATTTTGAATAACATGGGTTGTCTACTTTTGCAAATGGTCTGCCAAGATGGGGTAATCTCATTCCTGGGCTGCCATCATAGGCGTGCGCAACCTATTGTATAAGGGTGTGCACCCTAAAGCACAAACACACACGCTGCGTGTGTATGTATATATATATACACACACATATACTGCTGTGTGGGTGTGGGGGGGCACTGTGTGTGTGGGCACTGTGTGTGTGTGTGTGTGAAGGCGCTGTGTGTGTAAGGGCGCTGTGTGTGTGAAGGCGCTGTGTGTGTGAGGGTGCTGTTAGTGTGTGTGTGAGGGTGCTGTTACCATGTGTGTGTAAGGGTGCTGTGTGTGTGAGGGTGCTGTTAGTGTGTATGTGTGATGGTGCTATGTGTGTGAAGGTGCTGTTAGTGTGCGTGTGTGTGTTAGGGTGCTGTGTATGTAAGGGCGCTGTGTGTAAGGGCACTGTGTGTGTGTGTGTGTGAAGGCGCTGTGTGTGTAAGGGTGCTGTGTGTGTGAGGGTGCTGTTCCTGTGTATGTGTGATGGTGCTGTGTGTGAAGGTGCTGTTAGTGTGTGTGTGTATAAGGGTGCTGTGTATGTGTGAGGGTGCTGTTAGTGTGTGTGTGTAAGGGTGTGTGTGCTGTATGTGTGTAGATGCTGTGTGTGGGGGGTGCTGTATTTGGGTGCTGTATGTTTGGGTGATTGTGTGTATTGTGTGGGGGCCGTTTAGTAAATATCCCCCCTCCCTTCCTACCTTATGCCTGGGAGGGGGGATCCTTTCAGCTGCTTCCATCCCTGGTGGTCCAGTGGAGAGTGAACTCTAGCCTGCTGGGCTAGAGTTCACTCTCGCGAGTTCTGAGCGTTGCCACGGCAACGCTCAGAATCCCGCGAGAGGAACCCGGCGGAGCTACTGGCAAGAGCTCCCCGGGTCCTCTCCTGCCTCCCTCCCTCCCTGCCTGTGGGTCGGTGGGGAGGGAGGCTGAGAGCAGAGCCGGTGCTCGGATAGCGCCGGCTCTGCATGAGCCAACAGGGGAGATCCTGAGATCTCCCCTGCCAGTCTCAATATACATAGGCGTGGCTGCCATAAATTCTCACTGGCAACATTGGACCAGCAAACCAATCTGGACAATTTCAATGTGTAAAAACTGAAATGAGCAAGCCCTGTATTTGACCCTGTAACTTTCCAAACCCCATAAAACCTGTGAATAGGGGTTCCTGTTGTACTTATAACACGTCACTGAACACAAACATGAGTGTTTTAGAGTAGTGTATCATATAGTGACGACTATATCATCAGTGAAAGTACAGTTTTTGTGTGAAAAATGCAAACAACACATATAAACACTAAATTTGGCCAGGGTATCTGACTAAGTGGCTACTATATCCCTACTTTGAATATCCTGGGTTGTCTACTTAACCCATAAATGTCAGAATTTAAATATTGTGTCTTCCTTGTTGGATCATACTTTTCGGATTGCCAAAATAAAATATGTATGTTAAAACGGGCGATGTATTTCATTAACCCACCATATGGATGCAAGTGGTCACCAGGCATTTGAGGCGGTGTAAGGCCCTGTCTGAAGAAGTCTGTGTTAAAGGAACTTTGATCCAGTGGTAAGAGCTGCTGCGATATTCTTGAGTATGGGACCATCATCCCTTCTATGCCACTACCACCATCTGATGAAGAAACAGAAAATGTTAGACATGTAAGAACATATCAGGGCCAGCGCAACAGTTAGGTGATGTAGGCATTCGGGCGGCCAGCAGAGGGCGCCCACGGGATGTGGGCTGTCTTGTGCCGCAGCTCTTGAGCTAAGGCTGGTTAGATTTTTTTTTTACTTTGTACGATTGCATTATTGTATTTGCCCTTGCTTCTGTCATTGTGTTTATTTATATTTTTTTCTGTATTTTTTTCACTGTACTACTTTTTGTACAGAATAAAGTTATACTTTTGACTATTCGTAGTGGTTATAGTGTGCATTCTATATTACATAGATATTTAAATACATTATTTATCACAGCGATAAATTATGTATTCAATATACAATGTATGTATTAGACAGTATGTGTGTTTATGGATGTATGTATTAGGAAGTATATGTGTATGGATGCATGTATAAGGCACTATGTGTTTGGATGTACACATTAAGCAGTATGTGTGTAAGGATGTAGTTATTAAGCAGTATGTGTGTATGGATGTACGCATTAGGCAGTATGTGTGTATGAATGTAGGTATAAGCAGGGTGTGTTTGTGGATATACGCATTAAGCAGTATGTGTGTATTAGGCAGACCTAACTGGAAACCATGTGGCAAAATTTAGGCAAAAATAGCTGATATAGAAGAATTCTCCGATTCGGCTACAGTCACAGTTCGGCTGTTTTTGCTTAAACTTTGTAATTTGGTTTTCAACTCACTGCAGAGTTTAGTGAATAAATCTCTGTGAGATTGTATTTGCTTTCATGAGGGGGCGGCAAAATAGATCTTTGCCTAAGGCGGCAGAAATCCTTGCACCGGCCCTGGAACATATTGAAACAGAAGTGGTATCAGTCAAAATATGACTGTACAGGGAAAATAGCCAGTTTTAAGAATACCTACTAAAAATTCATAATGGTATTTGTTTTCATAATTGAATACCCTAAGCTCCAGTCACATTATACTTTCTTTTCAGGTTTTATATCTCATTTCTATTGTGCACATGGTTTACTGAAGGTGCTGTTTAGATGGCAGTAGAAATGAACATGCACAAGGTCAGGAATGATTAAGGCTTCAACTGGAGCCAAAACGTTGTGATTCTTCTTCTGCAACAAATCTGCCTTGCTCTTCATACCTGACTTTATGCACAGTCCTTTCTCCTACAATCTCTAGTGAGTTACATTGGTCTATAGCACCTTCCATAAGCCTAGGCTTGCAGCCTGACATTATAGAGTAATGCCTGAAGCCTCATAGGTGGTGGGTTTATTTTCAGTGTTACGTTTGACTGAAGATAATGTTAGAAAGAAGTGAGTTTATATTGTTGTGTCTGTGTGGGAAGTATATATTTTGTTGCCCTCAAGAAGTCCTCACTACGAGTGCCTTTTTATTTACGTATGTACATATCCCTAGCTGCTAGTCAAACATAATACTGTACAGTACACAGAAAACATCCCAAGTTGCTGAATTATAGAAGACTAGTAGCTTGGGTCTGTTGTATGTCCTCCAAGTCAAATACCTGAATCATGACCCAAGTTGAATTATTGGAGTCTTGAATTTGAATATGTCACTGTTAACGAGTGCCATCAAGCTGTAGTACAGTTCATACATAGTTTTTGAATTGCCTTTTAGTATAAGTTCAAACAGTAATATATTACCTTCACTGTCATCATTGCTCTGTCTGCTGTTGCCCCGGTTTCCACGGCCAGAGCCCAGTCGTTGTGTTCCTAGTTGTTCATGGTCCTGCTGTTGTTGCCTTCTAGCTATTTTCTTCATCTGTACAAATAATACTGTCATGAGCAATTCTGTTAAAAATGTTCCCTAATTTTATAACAGTACAATAAAATCATTGGAGGTTGGTTGGGATGGGGTAGGATCTCCCAGTATAAACTCCAACAGTTTAATTTTGGCAGGATAACTCTGATTGCCCTGGATTTGATTATTGGTATCCTACGTCCACACCCTCCACTGTGCATTTATGTGTGGGGGGCGGGGGGAGGTTAGGGGTGGACCGATAAGGCTATTCAGCCTGGTGTGCATGCAAAACAAACTGATAATTCTCATGTTTTGAGGAGGTGGGACCAGCCTCTGCATCATCACCAAATATGAGAACATAGCCTTCCCCATTTCTCTTCCA